GATTAAAAAGATTAAAAAGATTAAAAAGATTATTACTATAATATATTTAGGTCGTTCTGGCCTGCGAGTAGAGCTGCCTTTAATGTAGAATATAGCTCTAAGTTGTCTTTCTTCCATAGCTGGTTGTTCGGGAATATTATCCTGCGAAGCTTATTTACCAAGGCGGCTAATGGCCTATAATATAACGAGAAGTGCTCCGCCGTCATCCGTAGGAAGAACTCCTCACAAGCCACGGTGCCAAGTTTCGACCGAGCCAGGACATCGTCCTTCTCGTAGTTCCAACTTTCGAACTCGGACGGGCCTCTGTCCTTGCCAGGGCCGTCGTAGTGAATACAGATCCAGAAGAGCACCCAGAAAAACGATTCCAGATCGTGCATAAAGGAATGCTCGTCGCCCAAAAGAGCCCCAATAGCCATAAATGCGCGTGTGCCGGCTCTGACTTTTGCTCCGGAAGCTGCTAGCCGCGGCAATTTGATTGCGAGATCAAGATCTATTATAAAGGCATGCCTTTCATCGTCGCTAATGAGAAGATTGTTTATAGATATGTCCCGATGGAGAATTCCTTCGTTCAAAAGCGATTCGTACCCTTCTAGGCACTGTTCAAAGGCCATGAGCAACGTCTTCCGAGAGCTTGCTTCATATATAGGCTTGCCGCAATCATGAAGAATAAGCCTTCGGTGAACCCGGTTCTGCCCAGGTCCGAGGAGACTGGATTCGGTTGGCGATGCCGAGTAAGTGCGTCTAAGAGGAGAGCTCACATTGGCAAACAAGTTAAGCCCATGCCGGACGTTCGTTGAGACGTCATCGACTGTGCCATCCACGAACACGGTTGTATGGTGGTAATATCGTGCCACATTAACCACGCCTTTTTCTGTCACGTAGCGAAGCATCTCGCCTTCATCAGCACGCTCTGGGTACTGCCATGCGTCTTTTACAACGAGCGGAGTCGCTGGATCGAGATCGGAATAGGCTTTCCAACAAGTGGTAGCTCGGCCAGCAAGACAGCGTGCTCGCCTTATAACTTTTTGAATGAAAATGCGTTCCTTTTTGCCATTTCGCTCAATGTCAATATATCGCTGGGTGCCCTCCTTTATGATCGTCGGGTCATGTCCAAGGTCCTTGTCACTCATCTGTATAAAGCCTAAGATGGTCGCAACGAATTGTCGGCCGTCTTCGTTAATATTGAATCGCTCTGAAGAAATACCGCCCAGCCGGTCAAACACCCAAATTCTCATTAGTGGTCCGCATAGCGTAAATGCAAGTACAAAGCGGCGCGTGTCTTGGGAAGCCAACACCTCTCTCGCGTACCGGCCTATGTCCAGCCAGGCCTTTGCCGTAGTGTCTGCTGAAGGGTTGCTTTTCAACTCTCCCGCTATTTGTATTTGAGACCAATGACACCTGGCGTTTTCGTCAGCCTTAGGGTCGCTTATAAATCCGATATCTAGCTTGCGTTCGCTAGTAGAGCCCTGAATAGGCCTTTTGGGCACAGCCAAGGGTCTGCGAATGGCTGGCGGAAGATCCAAATCGTCAGCCTTTGCTGCCAACTTTTGAATAATCTCTTTTAACCAAGCGAGTACATCGTCCTGATTTGCATTCTCTGGCCATCCATTCCAGCCTTCCAGGAAGAGCGGGGTATCCCCGCTCGTGCACCTCTGAAAGACAATGTCGGCAGCTTGAGACAGACCTTTAACGCCTCCGAAAAAAGCGTCGTGGAAACCAGGCAAACCGACATGCAACGGCCCAAGCTCCCGCTTAAGGACTCGGTCAATGTCCTTTCGATATTCAGACGAGTTTGCAAAGCCGCCTGTGCTGTTCTTCCATGGTGTCTGTTGAAGAGACGATGTTATTGTTCGAGGGGGTGTAGATTCAAGGGCGGCGGCAGTTACAAGATCCCATATCTGTGAATCCAGAGAGTTGTGATCAAGTGCTGCCTCGAGAAGCGGTTTCGTACGATCGAAGTCGAAATGGTCGCATGATATTACGAAAAGGAGGTGCAGAATGTCTTTGCGAATATATCCACGTCCGGATGGCAAACGGCGTGACGCGGGAAGGGGCAGGAGGGCTGAAGAGAGCGCAAGTATAGCACTTTGAATGTCTATTTCGACGATTAGTATTGCCGGTCGGCAATTGTAAAGTAGCACGAACCTTCACAGCTCAGGTTAGCCGCAGCCGCGCCAGACGTAGACTGAAGGCTCGCGAGGAGCCCACGATGTGTGGAGCGAAATGCGTCAAGACCATTTGCAATAGGATAATCACGGATGACTTCGGCTCTTGTCTGGTTCGAGCTGGTCATAGTTATGGATGATGGCAATGTATTCCTGTGGCTAGAGGCTGATTCTCACGCGGAACCTATTGATGCCCCCGTGGCATCTTGTAGTACCCGCTCTCCAGCCAGGACAGGCACGTGAACAACCAAGGCACCGAAATGCACACGTAAACACTTGGAAAACGAAAGTCGATTCTATTAATAAATTCTGATTACGGATGTTTGCCCCAATGTCTCGCATGCTGTGGGGATGCGCAGCCTGTGTTGGTAGCACTGCTGTGACTCATCCGCATTGGCACTCAAAAGTTTGATGCATAGGGAATAATACCGAGTCTATCAATTTGTCCAGGTCTACTGTAGACAACAATCTGCAACCACAGTACCCTCGTCATTTACCAGTGATAGAAAACCCAAGGACGTGCTCGGCCTGCCAACACATCCTAAGCGCTCGCCCCCAAACCCGCGCCCATGTCCTCCGCCCAACCCACCATCGTTGATCCAGAGACCCGTCGCGGCCGGCAATACGGCACGTCCACCGACGGCACGCCCTGGACACGCCGAGTGCACCCCACCACCGGCGCGCCACTCACGCCCTGGACCCCCGTGGAGCCGGTGCTGCCCCCCTCGTCCTCCCCGCTCGTGCTGTCCCTCATCACCGAGAACCAGTCGGACAGCGAAGTGCGGCACTGGTCGCTCTTCTGCCACCGGCCGCCGGGCAGCCCGCGCGGGCGCGCGTGGCAAGTCACGGGCGACGCCGAGTTCATGGTGTGCAACCACGAGCACGACGCCGACAAGCTCGGCGGCGACGCGTTTGCGTCGTGCCAGGTGCTCAACGACGACCTGAGCGCCGCGCAGCTGGCGCGCGTCGAGCACGTCGTCGCCGCGGAGCCGCCGCCCCGCGCGCCGAACCGCAGCGCCGTCACGGAGAACTGCCAGGGCTGGGTCGTGCGTGTGCTGAAGCGCCTGGCGGCCGAGGGCATCGTTCAGCAGCACCGCGTTGCCGAGCTGGAGAAGCGCCTGGATCCGGTCAACTGAGGACAGAGAAGCGATGACGGATATTGTACATTTTTTTAATTGCTAAAGTAGGGGCTTGCACGGCCCCTCTATGATACAAGTGCTGAATAAAAAAAATGCCCGACCTGGCCTCACCATGTGTCCACGACACGAAAGCGTACACGGGCCTCGCTGCCAATTCTGCTCATCTCCTGGCGCGGGCAGGGCCGCGACCGACCGGCACAGGCACCGCCTCCGCCTCCGCCGTCGCGACCACCTTTTTCTGCTCCTCGGCCAGCCTCTGCATGAGGTAGCCGTCGATGGTGCGCTGGCCGTCGACCAGCAAGCCCTTGTCGGCGCGGCGCGCCTCGGCGACGGCGGTGTGCGCGCGCTGCGCCGCCAGCTCTATTTGCCGGCGCGGCGTCATGCGCCACGCGGGCGGGAACTTGGGCTTCTTGAGCGTCTTGCGCGCCTTGTGCGCGCGGTAGTAGTGGCGCGTGTCGAGCGCGACGTCGGCAAAGGTGTCGCGCGGGTCCTTGGCCGCGGTGATGAGCGCCTGCACGAGCTGCTCCAGAGACCGCTTGTTCTGCGCCTGGTGCTCGTACCGGCCGCAGCTCATCTGGACCACGTCGGTCGCGGGGTTGAGGCGCGCGCCCGCCAGCTTGCGCAGCTTGTCCGTCTGCACGTCCGTCAGGCCCAGGTCCGGCGGCGTGAACTGCACCACGACCTTGCTCTCCGCCGGGTGCGCCTCGCCCATGTACGTCGTGTATCTCCACCGCAGGACCTGGTCCGTCTTGGGCAGTTCAAACGGTTTCGCAAGTTCTAAATCCTTCCCGTCAGCTCCATTCAATCTCCAGGTGGCAAAGGGGGGTGGCAAAGGGGTGCAGCGTACTCGACAGGAGCGGCATCTCCCACACGGCCAGTCTCGTATAGTGGCGCATCTCCCGCACTTCATCCAGCTTATTGTGCGCCATGGACATCATGTCGTCCTCGTTGAACTCGTCGTGCTCCCCGGTAAACGTGTCCGGGTCGTCCTCGTCGTACCAAAACGCCCGGCGGTCCGGCCGGCCGCCCGAGTCGTCCCGCACCAGCTCGTCCGTCAGCAGCTTGTCCTGTGTCGAGAAGCCCGGCGTGTAGCGCAGCTTGTCGTTGAGGTACGCCTCGATGGTGTTGTGGCCGTTGAGCTTGGCAAGCCGGTCGAGCTGCTGTAGGCCCTCGGGGGTGGCGCGGTCCGTAAACGCCTTGTTGAGCGCCTTGAGCTCGACGGGTGCGCTATATCCGCCCTCGTCGCCGTCAAAGGCGCGCTCGGCGGCGCGCGGCGAACTCGTGCTGAATGCGGCAGCGGCCCTCGTGCGGTTAATGCTCGTCATGTGGTGATGGGCCAATTGCGGTACCGCCCGGCGGCAGGCGACGGCGCATATGCGCGCGACGCGGGGGGCGGAGGCCATGTTGATAGTGTCCACTGCGCGAATGACAATTCCGAGATTGTGTCGTGGTGCGCGTTGCGGAAGAAAAGAGACTTCCCTCATCGAAGCTTCAAAATTTCGGCGGAGAAGTTCTGGCTGCAAGCCCCTGGTAGAGAAGGGCTGCCGAAGTTCAGCCTTTCCCATAGTGTGGGTAAACACCGGCTAACAGCTTCACTCGGACCAAGTGCCCACAGCTGTTAAGTTGAAGCTCACTCACTTACACCTCTCACTTACCAACTGCAACGCATTTCAAAGGAATCAATAAAATGACTGCGGCAAAGGCCGCTGAGAGATGCTGCCTAGTCACTGTCGGTGCGACCGTCGGCTTCCGAAAACTGACAGCCGCCGTTCTCGAGCCCGACTTTTGGCGCCATCTGGCCGGCCACGGCTTCACGGAGCTGCGTGTCCAGTGCGGGCCGGACGAAGCATGGGCAGCCGCGCAAGTCGAGCGCCGTCGGGACGAGATTCCCGAATCCTTGGCAGTGCAAGTCTTTGCGTCGCGAAACAATCTGTTGATGGAGGAGATGACGCTATGCAAAGCGTCGGGCACTGCGCGCTCAAAGGGCCTCATTATCGGGCACGCTGGCACGGGCACGATCCTGGACGCGTGGAGGCTCGACGTGCCCATGATTGTTGTTGCCAACACGGAGCTCCTGGACAATCACCAGAGCGAAATGGCGCAGCACCTGGCCGCCGAGGGCTACGCAACCCAGGCCACGGCAGAGTACGTCCATCTCCCTGTTACCGTGCTAAAACAAAAATACAATCCTGCTAACGCGTCCAACGCCGCCAGTCTTGCTGATCTCCAAGCGGCCGTCGATAAGTCCAAGCTGCTCGTGGAAGAGAACAAGAGCCGGAACCCGCCTCATGCCGTCTCGTCCGAGCGCAAGCCGGCGATGCGGCTGTGGGACATTGTCCCGGCCGAGGTGCAACAGGAGCAGAACCAACAGATGTGCACCGACTAGGAGGGCCAGGCACATTTTCTGAGGACGCATCTCCAAATATGACACGGCGCAAACACATGCTTCAACTTTTGATACCCCGACACGACTATGATTTCTACTTGATTTTGCTTCTAAACTAGCTCCTATTTTGAATTGCATGGCTTTATAATATTCATTGCCGTACAATTCACGGCAAGTTTTGCACGTCCCAAATCTTGACAGTCGCGTCATTGCCCGCGCTCGCCAGCTTGCCGCCCTCGATCCACGCCACGCCGCTGACGCCATCCTTGTGCGCATTGGCGGCCTTGATGCGCTTTCCCTGGTTCTTCTTCTCCAGACACCAGACAAACACGTTGGTGTCCAGGCTGCCGCTGGCCGCGTACGCGCCGGTGTCGTCCCAGGTGATGCAGGTGACGCGGGCCGTGTGCGCCGACCAGCGGTCGGCGACAACGTCCCAGCTGCCCACCTTGTATACGTAAATCTTGCCGACGCTGTTGCCCGCGGCCAGGTGCGTGCCGTCGTGCGAAAAGGCGAGAGAGGATATGGTGCCGGTCGAGTTGGCGAGACTCTGGGCTTCCTGCAGGGCGCCGTTGGAATCGGCCTTGTACACCTTGACAGAGTTTTGATCGGCGCCGACAGCGACGAAGCCTGCGGTGGCTGCGATGGCGCCAGGTGTGTAGGTAGTAGAGGTCTCCTTGGCCAGTTCGCCGTCTTTATAAGCAGCGATGCCCGATGTTGTGGCAACATACACGATGCCGTCCGCTGTCGCCACTCCCTTGGGCTGGGCCGGCAGGGTGACGCTTTCGCCGAGGAACGTCTTGGCGGCCTCGTCCACCGTCCTCAGCGTATCGTCCCAGCCAGCGCTGTATGCCTTGCCTGAAGCACCAGCGAGCTGGGCCACCTGGTTCGTGTGGGACTGGCCGTCGACGACAGACGCGGTGCCGGTCTTGACGTCCCAGTGGCAGACCCTCCCGTCAAAGCTACCACTCCACAACGCCGCACCCTTGTTGTCCGACGTGCGAATCAGGGTAGTGATGCCCTTGTCATGGCCCTGAATCACTCTCACGGGCTCATCCTTGCCCTCTTGTAGATATGTAAGCTCGCCTCGCAGGTTCAGGCTAATAATAAGGCCGTCACTGCGGCCATGAGGAATGACAACACCAACTTGCTGATCGCTGACACTGACACCATTGCCAAACTTCCAGCTCTGTGTGACCTTGCCCGACTCAACGTCCCAGACCTTGACGCTCTGATCCGCACTCGCCGTAGCAATCTTCTTGCCGTCCTGCGACCACGACACGGCAAAGATGGAACCAGTATGTTCGCCCTCGCCAATCTGCTTGCTCGGCTCGCCCGTCTTGCCATCGTACAGCTGTATGCGCTTATCCGCGCCGACGGTGACCAGCGCGCTCCCGTCCGGGGCGTACGCGGCGCCAAAGACGAAGCCCTTGTGCTGGGTGCTCTTGTCGTTGAACTTGTACGGCGCGCCGTGGTAAAAGACCATGTTGCCGTCGTCGCCGACGGTGGCGGCGCGGAACGGTCGCTGGGCCTTCATCGCGACCGCGTTGACGGCCTTGTTGTGGCCAATGACCTCGCCGACCGAGTTGCCGCTGTCGGCCGTGATGCAGCGGCCAAACTGCTCGCGGCCGTCGCCGACGGCGATGAGGCGCTGCGACTCGCCGTCCCACGCAATGTCGTGGAGGCGGCCGGAGATGATGCTGTACTCCTTGCCAGCGTGGCCAATGTTTTCGGGCTCCCAGACGCGCAGCGTGCCCGCGGCGTCGCCGCTGGCGATTTTGAAACCGTTGGGGGCGAAGCGCGCTACGGTCGTCGCGGCCGTGTGGCCCGTGTATTCCTTGCAGTCGTCGGGCGAGTCGATGGATCGGACAAATATGGATTTGCCAGACTAGAAGTAGCGTCAGTAGGGATTCGGCGGACAGTATCTGCCGCAGACGGCTCTGAAGCAGGTCCCGGGAACTGACCGCGTAAGCTATGCGCTGTCCCTTGCTGTCCGTGGACAGCGGCGTAGGCTGGCCACGGGTGGTGGCTGGAGCCGCAGCCAGAATCTTGCTAATGGTAATCGAGGGGGTAGCCATCTTTCAGCGTCTTTGTCATGGGCAAGGTGCAGGCGGTTGGTTATGTTGAGGGGTTCGTGTTTGGGCAGCGTGGGGATGAGCTTGGAGGGGCAACGACCAAGAGGGGCAACGGATGACGTCTCGGTGCTACAGTCGGTGTAAGTGAAGCCAATAAAAAAACCAGAAAGATAGCGAAACTACCAGAACGAAAATTTTGTATTAGGAAAGTATTCAATGAAATTTACGTTCAATGAAAAGGTCATGCCTGTATGGTACTAATTAAGACGATTGTTACGCTGCTGCCTACAGGCGCCGCAATCGTTCGGGTCAGAGCCGTTGGTGTAAGCGGTGAGTCAAGTTTCCGGCCATGAGGCAAAGGCGCTATTTCCAGAAACCAACCAGAAATATCAGCGTCGACTTTTCTGACTTTTCTCACGGGAGAAACACGCTCGTTGCCGCGATTGGACAACCTGAAACTGTAAAATGCTGACATTCCCCAACCAGAGCTCTAGTAGAGTCCAGAGCAGGTATAGATCAAAGTACGTTTCCTGTATCCCGAAAATGAACGTGTATCTGTACCAATACCTTGGGCTAGCTCTGGGTATATTATCAGGCGCTCAGCTACCCCGAAGGACGTTCAGTAGAGTATTAGACGGAGCGTCCATGTTGAGCGACCAAACCATGGCGCCAGCCAGACCCCTGGACGCCGCATAGTCGACCTTGACCTGGAGACTCTGCGGATCGTCGTACGAGATGAAAACCCTGGTCTCCGGATTAAACACCCACGGCGTCTGCGACGTATTATCCCACTGGCGGACCCACGGCTCTTTGGCCTTCGTCGGGCTGCTGAGCACGCCTTGCTTCATCATGTGCTTCCACTGCCAGATGCCCGAGTTTGCGGTCGTGCCCGCGCACGCATCGTGCCACGGGGCATCCTCGCTGTCCCCGAGCGGCACTGTTTTCGCCTGCGGCTGGTACTGGTTGGTGGGATCCAGCATCATGTCGGCGAGCGCCGTCGTCGAGCGGCCGTAAAAGGCGTATCCGGCATTGAGCTTGTTGGCGGGCCACCCGGCCCTCACCCAGGCGTCAATGGCCGACACAAACGACACCTGCAGCCCCTTTCCGCGCTCGCACCTCAGCGGCGCCAGCGGCCCGGTCGTGCGGTTCCAGCCGCCGTTGACGTCAAACTGCATGAGGCTGCCAAAGTCGGCCACGGCGGCGAACGCGGCGACGTCGGCGAGCGGCCGCCCGTCCGGGCCGTCAAACGGCTCCACGCGCAGCGCGAGCGTGAGCAGCTTGCGGCCCGGGCCAAACGCCACCTCCATCTGCTGCCGCAGCGCCCGCAGGAAGGCGAGGTAGTTGCGCGCGTCCGCCTCGGCGTCGAACGCGTTGCAGCTGTTGCCCAGACGGCCCGGGTACTCCCAGTCGAGGTCCACGCCGTCCAGGTCGTATCTCTGCATGTAGCGGACAATGTTGCGGATCAGGCTGGCGCTGGCGGCCGCGTCCTTGAGGATCGGCGAAAAGTGCTTGGAGCCCGTCCAGCCGCCAACGGACAGCATGGCCTTGACGCCCTTGCTGTGGAGGCTCGAGACGACTTGCAGCAGGAACCAGTCGCCTTCAAAGAAAAGGCCGCCGTCGCGGGCGGGAATGGCAAAGGCAAAGTTGATGTGCGTGTACAGTCTCAGGTCCATCGCGTCGGCGTGGTGCTTCTTCCACGACGGGTAGTAGCCGATGACATTTTTCCCCACGACGCCGGTGGTGGTGAAGGCCAGCAAGGCAGAAAGGTAGGAAGTGATGCGCATGTTGAAAGCAATTTCTGGCTGCTGGATTGTTGGAGAGATGTGGTTCTGCGTGGCTACATGGCCCTATTATATGCTCCGAACCCTGAGTTTAAGTCTCGTTGCCATTGCCATGCCGTCAAAGCAGCGTTGCTCTGCCAACATAGGTTAACTTCTGAATTGGACAGTTTCTTAGACGTCATAGAATTTCTGTCTAATAATAGAATATTCGTAATATTTTAAACCGAAGACCAGAACATTAGGCTGGCCCGCAATGGGGGGCTTCTTGGCCGGCTTCAATGTAGTACGAGTCTGGACGACAAATGCCCCGTCGGCGACACTAGCATCGTGCAATAGAATATTTCATCCACCATAATGTACCAAGGGCCGCAATATCTATTATGTACACATTACTCTCGGAGAAGTCTCGTCTGTCTTGCGCATCTATGTGTGAGGGCTGCCACTAAGCCATCTAGTTGCAGCTTCGGCGCCAGTAGTAAGATGGTACATCAAAAATACTCGTATTCACAGCCTACTTTTCGTAAAACTTTCATATGTACAATTCCTTTGACTTCTTGACCATCCGCTTTACAGAGAGCCTCGGATTTGTGTCTGGTAGTTGCCGTTATTGACCGCCAACTGAGCTTCCCAGAGCATGGCACCGCCATAGTTGGGCAAATTCATAGCTTTCACCCCCTCAATCGCCGAATTGAACGTGCTAGCATCCACGAACCCTTGGTCTCCGTCTGCGCCACTGGCCAAGGCGCCGATGAAGAGCGTGGCGTTGCCGATGCCTCGACTCCAGGTCCGCACGGCGTCGTTGAAGCCCGACTGGGCAATGTTGCAGTCTCCGTTGTTGTAAAACTGCACCCACACGTAGTCGAGCAGCTGCACCACATCAAGAGGCTCCGACGCATCTGGAAAGGGGCATTGCGGCGCTGCCGTGAGAAAGTACTGCTTGCTGGCGTCGGCGTTCATGAGGCTGCGGAACTTTTTCGTCATGGCGACGTAGCCCGTGGGGTTTGCAGACTCGTTGTCTACAACATATCAGAGACCAGTAAGACAGAGTTCGTTATCTACTTACCCAAATCCACGCCGTCCAGCTTCACGCTTCCAAAGGGGCGAAGCGCCGCATTATTGGTGCCGCCGAGGAACAGGTCCCAGACCGTCTGCGCAATATGCTCGCCCTGCGCGTCATCCTTGAGCGTCACGTCTGCGTACTCTTGCGCGCCACCCATGCTGAGTATGACGCGCTTTCCGCTCCGCTGGCACTTTCGGAGAGCCGGCACCAGCTCGGCGCCGTCCTGCAGGGACGTCGCGCCTGCCGCCTGCTGGGCGGGCGACGGGCCGCCGAGCGTGCTGATGCTGAGCTGGGGATACCCGCCGTCTCTGAAAAAGTAGCTCAGAAAGGCGAGGTTAACAATGTCGTACGAGGGGTCGCTGCAGACATTGTCCAGGGTGGTGCTGGAGTCTTCGGCGCCCCAGTACACGGTCAGCTTTCCGCGGGCGGCGCGGGGTGGGATCTGCGTGGGAACGGCCGCGGCAAAGGTGCTCAAAACGATCACCGCGAGTAGGATGCGACGAAACATTGTGAGTGAAGATGCTATATAAAGGAGTGAGGGGGTAAAATGGGCAATATGTACAAGACGAGGTGAAATATGCGCGAGGGCGAATCAAGTATATACAAGGAGACTGCCACTTCAAGTCACCAAGTCGGAGAGAGATGGTGTGGTTTTCATACCAAATGACAAGAAAATTGCGACTTATATCGTCGTCATCCCAAAGCCGAGGATCCTCGCGAGGCATGTCCCAGATGGCACCGTGCCGTTACATGAGCATGAGCAAGACATCAATATACATTCCGCTACGCAATCGTTGGCATGAACGTTACATAGTGATATACACCGACAGCTTCCTACACACCACGGCGAGAAACGGGGGCGGCTTTGCTTCCGACAAGAATGCGACGGATCGCCGTTGCCCAACTAGGCAGGTAGCGATCGTGGCTGTCAGACTCGGGTCTGAGATGCCGTACTTGGTGGTGGGGGACAGAAAGACAACGACAGACAGGCGTAATGGGTATATTACAGCCAATTTCGGGGTTGGATTTACCACCCTTCTTCTAGATGGGTGGTTGTATCTGGTAAGAACATGCACTGGCTGCAACCCTGCAGGATGGCATGCATGGGAGACCAGTCAGCATTTGGCGCAGTGATTGGAAGAGGAACTGTAGAGCGCCAAAGAGATGCCACTTTCAATTTCATCCGGTGTTTAAGACGTGCGTTTTGTAAGTGCTCGCTGCCCGTGGACTGTCGCAGGCGGAGACGTAGGATATCAGGGTCCTCCCGCTACGCTACCCTGTGGTTCTAAATGCAATGCAGCACTTGCTGCGTCGCCGTTTGGTCGGTCTATTCTCTACTAGGTATCAAGTCAGAGAGTTATCAGCATTATGAATTAATAACAATAATTATGTAAATAATGATGTAGGTGTTCTTTTCATGACGTTCGTGATCTAGCTGTGTAGATGTGCGGATGCTCGTGCTGTCCACCTACCCTACACGCAGGTCGACCGTACTGAGGTACGAATTAGTTGACTTTCAATCAGAAAAATTGGTGTTTTATTTCCCCTTTGTCTCATTTTCTGATGACAGTACGTGTGAGTCGATAAAACGGAGAATAGCAGATTGGAAAACCTGACATGCATCGGCCACTACACGCTATAATAAATCATCTTGATTAGTGTCCCAATTAACACCTCTTTCATCTCCATCTCATCATCCAATTTGCACGGCACGGGGCAAAGCGGGTCGCCGCCACCCATCGGTCCTCGGCTTCTTGCCTCTCGATCCCCAACCCAACCGACCCTCTCTCCCCATCCGCTTCTTTTCCATCACCACCCATCAACCACACACACACAATGAATCCCCTCGCCATTCTCCGTCCCGCCGCGCGCCACGCCGTGCGCACACAGCCGCCGCGCCGGGCGCTCTCCCTCCCCGCCGCGCGCTGCATGGCCGTGCCGTCCGACGCCTACGGCAGCGCGCGCATGCCGCGACTGCGCGCCGACCCGGAGCCGACCGGCGAGCTGGCCGTCGGGGAGCTGCACGGGGCCACGTTCCGCGTCGAGCCTCTGCGGCGCGTCGGCGAGACGGACGCGACGAAGCGGGCGCGGCTGCTGTGTACGTTCCTTTCCGGAGGAAAAAAAACGGTACTGACCAGAAAAAAACAGACCAGTCTCGCAAACGCGGCATCCTCGAATCTGACCTCGTCCTGTCCACGTTTGCCGCTCAGCACCTGCCCACCATGACGTCGGCGCAGCTGACCGAGTACGACCTGTTCCTCGACGAAAACGACTGGGACATTTACTACTGGGCGACGCAGCACGAGCCGTCGTCGTCGACGAACCCGTCCGTTGCCAGCTCGCCCGCGTCCGCCGGCGCGGCCACGCCAGCAGAAGTCGATGCCGCCAGGGCCTCTGCCGAGGAACCGGGCGCTGCTGACGCCCAGGAGAGCGGCGTCGTGATGAAGCGCGCGCCCGGAACCGGCGAGTGGGCGCAGACGGTCGGCACCTTCAAGCCCGCGTACCGCCCCGTGCCGCAGCGCTGGGCCGACAGCGAGGTGCTCGCGCTGCTGCGCGCGCATGTCCGGGATAAGAGCGTGGATGGCGGCGACGGCAAGGGTATGGCGTTCATGCCGGCGCTGAAGGAGTCGGACTTTGCGTGAGCCGGGAGGGGCCTGCTCGTCCGTGAAAGAAATGACGGATGAGGTAACGGTCTTGTATAATACACTTAGATGGAACACGGTTTAATACTTGAACTTTGTCAAGATGATGGGTTTACTCCTGTCGAGGAGATTCTGGTGACTTGGCATGTATATACACGAAACATGTATCCCAATAACAGTTGAACTTTGTCAAGCCATCAACAGTTTTCACGCCAGCATCACACCCTCAAGATCCCATAGCTTGTCGTGGACAATACACGCAGCGTCCACCACCGCTCTCTTCTTTCATTTCATAAACCTGTTTGTCCTAATTCTCCCGTCCACATGATTTCATGTCCGTCCATAAACGCCCAAAATGCACAGACGCGGTGGTCATGCTTTGCCCCCCCCTCCCAAATAACAAAAAAAAAGAAAAAGAAAACACCTAGCCTGTATATATGCTCCTTGCAGCAAGAAAGCGCCCCGATAAAAAAAAATCTGCAAGTCTTTTTCAACAAAAAAATAACGCTGAATCCCGCCATGTCCCGCAAGTTGTTCTTGTCCCAGCGGAGGTATATAACAAAAAGAAGACGAAAAAAGAAACACGCCCCCGGCCCCCACGAAGCGCTATACGTCGGGACCGCCACCTCGTTCGGGCAATAAACGGCCTAGGCTCCGGAGGACCTCCATCAGCGGCATCTCCTTTGTGCCCGCGGCGGTCCTCTCCCTGTCCTCCCTGCGCTTCAAGCGCGCGGCGGCGGCGCGCAGCACCGCGTCGGCCTGCCGCCCGGCCACGCGCACGCGCTGCGCCAGCTTGTGCACGCCGTCGGCGAGCTGGTCCGCCTCCCACTCGAGCGTCGCCTGCACGGCCTGCAGGCGGGTCAGGGCCTGCGCGCGTGCCTGCGCCGCGGGCGCTAGCTCCGCGGCGAGGTACCGGTGAATACGCCCCTCGTCGGCGTCGAGCAGGTCGATGGCGGGGAGCGCAGGGGAGGAGGACGGCGAGGGGGGGGGATAGTTGGGGCTGTTCCGGGGGTGGTTTTTGTATTGATAACCACGCATTCTTTTCTTCTTGTAGTCTGCGTGTCTAGTGTTAGTCTTTGATTCCATGCGCGTTTCGGTGGCGGAGGCGGGGGGAAGGCTACCTTTGTATTCGCGCTTCCAAGGAAGCCCTCTTCTTGTCGAGCTCTATATTTCGTGGATTCGGCCGCAGCACCCTTGCCGCCGGCGCCACACTCTCATCCCTTGCCAGCCAATTCGTAAATTCCGGCCTCGTCGAAAACTCTTTGAGTAACTCGTCCAGAATCGCACGCGCTATTCTCTCCAGTTAGCCAAGCCTGCCCTCCTACTAAAAACCACATCTCCTGCAAAAAAACATACCTCCTAGTGAAGGATCCGTGCTAGGCACGCCCTGCTTTGGTTTCGCCGGCAGCGCTCTCTCGCCACACCACGTCAACAGCTGCTTCATCCGTAGCGGTTCTGGCAGCCCCTCGGACGCGATGTGCTTGTAAAAGTCCTGCGCGTCCAGGTCGCGGTGCGGCAGCGCCGTCTGCCCGCTCTCAATCAGCGTGCTCGCGCGGCGGCCGCGCGTCCCCAGCGAGCTGCGCCTGTGATTCTTGCTGCCATTGCTGCCGTTGCTACCGCTCGACAACGACCGCGGTGAGGCGCCGGCACCGCCATCGCCCTCGGCGGCCTTTTTGCGCATCGCCTTGTTGCGGTCTATCACGGGCGTGTCGCTCGTGGGCAGCGCAATCGTCGTCGTGCCGCGCGGTGGTGATGGTAGGCTGTCTCTAGAGGGCTCTGCATCTTTGTTGGCGTTGCCGTCGCGTCGGCTCGGCTTACGGTCGTCGGCGGCGGTGGTGGCGCGGGCGGCTTTGGCTTCCCTCCTTCTGCGGTCCGCATCGCGCGAGGGCGACGGCGCGGCCATCGGCTTCTTATGCGTCGTTGTCGTTGTCGTCGTCGTGCCGCTCTCCGTAGCCACGGGCTTGTTCCGCGGCGACCGTCTCACGGGCGGCGCGGCCGCTGCCGCCGCCACCTCGTCCGTCCTTTGCTTCTTCGCCTTGCGCGTAAACACAAAGCCGTCGTCATCTTCCAAATCCTCTGCGGCTGCTGCGTCCTCCCTAGTTAGCATCACCGTCGTCGTGGCCACGCGTCGCGCTGGAGACTGCTCACCAGCTAGACGCTTGCCTGTCCGGCGGTCGGGTTGTTTGCTCATGCTCAGGTCAAGCGGCAATGTTCGAATAGCCACAAGCGTCGTCATGGATAAAACGTCTGTTCAAAATGTGGTTGTTTTATTTATCGCAGCGGCATGGGGACGCGGGTAGGCGTCGGCCGCCCTCTGTACGCGGTTTGCGAATTCGTTGTGAGCGTTTTCCGGGCCGTGGTCGCGTTTCGGCCCGGCGCGTATCGATGGGAGGAAAAAGTCGCAGGTCGGCCCACCCTTGAGAGCCGCGTAAGCTCGAGCAAAGGCCCTGCGATTGAGTCGTGTCGAATGGACGTGTGCAAAGGGAGATTCGTGCGTTTTTATGAATTTTCGTCTGGGGGGCCGATGAGTCGCGAAAACGGTTACACTTCAAAAAGGTGGTGGTGGCAAGCGGCGTCCTTGTTTACCTTTGGAGGTGAGCGACAATTCCCACTCGGTGCGCTAGTCCGTTTCGGGAAACGCCCCTCCACCAACCTCAATGGGCTTGGACAGGCATTTAATAAGTCAATAACTACTATCATGTAGGCGGTCAAGGGCTGTAATATATGTAGAACAGTTCATCGCATTAAAATGCGCATGAATGAGATCGTTTCTATGTTATGTAGCATATGGTCTAGCTACTACTCGTATACATCCTGCAGAGTCTTACAGCTAACCCGAAGGCGCAACGTATAGAAATCCCCAACGCCGAGGCCAGAACCACCCGGCCGACTCCTTTTGATGCGGCCTCATCCGGGCCGTCAAAACATCCGATAAATAATGTACGTACGTACAAGGGAAATTGCGACAATATTCTCATCGCCAGGAACAGATAAAAAACATCAACTCAGCGCGTCAGTAGCAACGTGGCTCGTATAGCCCGCCGTTGACTGACCGCGTACCAAACCACGACGAAGAGTATACGCAAACGATACGTCTCTTCAACCTAAAAAAAAGTGATACAGAAAAAGTGTAACTGCAAAGCAGAAAAAGAACAAAGAGGCATCAGCAATCATAACTGGGCCTGCTCCTGATGCGACCCCGCGCTTTGCCAACGAGACAAGACCTGCCAGTCATCCATGAAAAGGGATATTGCAACATGACTGATAGCATCGAAATGCAGCTTTGCGCAAGGGTCATAGAGGAGCAGTATATCAACTAGGAGAATCGGCGCGGGACGCCTTGGCCAGCCATGACCTGCTGCTGGTTAGACATGGGCCCAGACATGACGTAAGGGTTCATCTGCGGATTCGGAAAAGGTTCCATAACCGGCTGCATATAGGCTCCCTGAATGCCCTGCTGCTGGGTAACGGGGCAGTCCTTGTGAGCGAGCAATAGAGTCTTGAGGTTGACCACTTCCTCGCGGAGCTGAGTGATTTGAGATGTCAACGCATCATTCTCGCTGCTAAACATCTCAACCTTGGACTGAAGATTGGCTAGCCATTGCTTCTTGCGTTGCCGACATTTCAAAGCAGCAACCCTATATCAGTTAGAAGTCTGCGCTTGTGCTATATAGCAGGGACAAACGTACCGATTGCGTTCCAAAAAGTTCTTCCGCTTTTCCTCGTCAGTCATCTTGGGTTTGGAAGGGTCGTTATCATCCTCGTCTTCAGAGACATCGGATGGTTCACTAGGCGGAGGAGGAAAGGCGGCCCCCTTGTTTTTCTTGGCCGGTGGCGCCTTGGCAGGAGGCTCATCGGCCTTTCTGCGATTGTTGGCTGGTGTCTTCTTGCCTCTACCGCGGGCAGGTTTCGCGTCGTCATTTTCCTCGGAGCCGTTGGTGGCCTCACTGGCACCACGGACGTGCTGAACTGTGTTGGCATTGGCCTTTGGTACGGCTGCTAAGGCAGGATGTGCGTGGTGCGCAGAAGGGCTCAGCCCTTCCCTGCCGCGGGCAAGCAGATAGAGACCATTTGCAGCGTCGTTGTCATGGCCATTAAACGGACCCGAAGAGGGCTTGGCCTCATCCTTGACTATTGTGCCGTTGGACATGTCTTGGGGTTGTGTGGTGGCTGGCTGCTGCGCCGCGGCTTGCGACTGCGCTTGCACGGCCTGTTGTTGATTATGTGACTGATTATGTTGTTCGCGCTTGGCAGCGGCACTCAAAGCCGTGCGATGAAAGTCGAGCGTACTGGGGGTGGCGCCGCCGCTGGCGAGCTGAGCAAAGAGAGCTTGGGAGTTAGGACTTGGCGCGGGGAACATGGAACCACTGCCGCCAGGGGTCAAGCCAGACCGCAACGAGGACTCGTTGGGAGTGGGAAAGCCGCCGCGAAGGTGACCTTCCGTGAAGTAATCGGTAGCCGGGCCGGACAGCATGGCAGGACTAAGGGGACCGGTGCGCAGAGAACCTGGGCCCCAGTTGAAAGGTGTCGTACCAGTGCCGGGCAGAAGAGAAGAGGGCGAGGTCAAGGCCGCGACAGAGGGCAACTTGGTGCCTCCGGGCGTCTCGGGACCACCTCCTCCAAAGGACTGCTCAAAGGGATTGGGCTCCAGGCTGAGGGAGCCGCCAGGCTGGGGCGCAAAGTAGTCTGGAGTGTTGTTTCCTTGTTGGCCGGGTCGGGGAGGGGGGGCGAGAGGTTTCGCGATTGAAGCATTGGACGCAGCGTCGGGTTTGGATGTCGGGTCGGACTTTGCGTCTATGGGGGACGAGGGGGGTCAGTACATGTGATTATGTGATTATTGTTGAGGACGGTTGCGATGCTGTTTTGGCGTTGCGGCGCGGGGGGGCAACGAGGGGCATGCAATGACGTCGTAGACAAGCGCGATTGCATGTGCGATGCGACTCGAGATACAAACGGTTGCGATGCAACAGATATGGACGCGCAGGGGGGGTGAAGAGTGTAACACGAGGAACTAAAGAAGGGAAGGAAAGAATAATGACGGCACTGACCTGGACGACGTGGCGGCGAGGGGTTCTTAGAGCGCACAGGTGACTTGGCGTCAACCCTCGAGGCTACTGGTGCGGACGTCCCCATGTTGATAAATGATGACGATGATGTTGTATAATGTGGGCTTAGGAAGCACTGGTGTGTGTGGGGAACGGAACACTTGGAAGACCAAGATGCGCAAGAAATGTCGCGGAAATAGAGGACGAGGTTGGATTGATGAGGTCAGAGGAGACTGGGAAAGGTAGCGGAACAGGGTGTGAAAAGGACCCAAAGTAGCTCCTGCGCACTTGTCGCAGAAATGCAGCGCGAAAAAGTGTTAGTCGAGCGCTAAAATATGTAGTTGATTTGCTGGCGGAATTCTTCTTTTGTTTTAAATCCAGGTGGCGTAGTTTGTGGTGGTTTTTTTCCGTCTCTTGGTGTACACTCGTCGGTGACAGGCGAGCAAGAGAAAAAATCGTCACAGGAGAAAAGACGGTCGGCAGCAGCAAAGCGCGCGCGCGTCGAGCAAGGAAATAAATGAAGAAAAAAGATCCAAACGACTAAATCAATACCAGGCACACATCCAAAGCGTGCAGAAGCATTCGCGATTTAGGGGGGCGCCGGTTCGCGGGCTTGAGGCTGGGTGCAGAAAAGGTTTGGAAGCGAACGAGAGTTTGGGTCTGGGTGGTCTGGGGGGTGAAGACGTCAGAGATGACGTTGTGAGGCAGGGCGGGAAGAGGAAGAGGAAGAAGGAAAAGGAAAAATTGTCGAGTGGGTCCTGTCTTGGGTTGGTCCCTGGCCGGGGTTGGGGGGCTTTTGATTTTTGGAATACCTTGCCTCTTGTCTCTTGACACGGTATACGGTACATAGATTCAAGCTGTCATGTGCTTGTGCGCATCGGTACATGCATAGTTACAGAAATACTTTCAGACCAAATCGCCGTCCAGTCACCAAATGTCCAAATGTCCAAGCAACGTGCTGCCTGTGCAGAGAGTACATACAGTCTCCATGTACTCCGTACCTACTCCATACTAATGGCGCGAATTGCCACTCTGGTCGCGTCGCCTTGGCTTACAAACCCAGTTCAACACTGTGTGGGGACCCCAACCCATCTCCAGATGCCTTCCCCGAGCAGTGGTACGGTTCAACTCACCCAAGATTTCCAATACATTGATTCAGTCGCTACTTCAACAGAAATTGCCAACCATCTTCTACGCCGCCAAATTTTCTACGGTTTTTTCCGCCTCTCTCGCGCCAACATCGCTGCCAGCGCTGACACAACTCGCCGCGAGCCGTTTGCTCCTAGGGCGCCACAAACCCAGTGCGAAGGCCGACATCACCCCCATCGTAACTAGAACGAAAAAGCCCACAAGGCTGCGCAACATGAAAATTCTACAACCAGATAAAAATCGCTGAGAAAATGGCAATGTTTATCTGGCAATACCTTGACATTTTCTGGCAATACCTTGACACTTTCCTCTGATTTCTCCCACCACAGCTCAAAACGCACCGACAGAGTCTAGTCTATCTTCTCTGCACAGTGCCCAAACACGCGGCCCACCCTCGTCACTGCCTGACCCCTGTAGGTAGGTACTTGGCTGACCCTCGTTTTCGGCTCCTTTTGGCTGGGCCGCCGCCTCGTCTTGTTGTGGTGCGAAAACACCAAAGGAATGATTCCCACCCAGGCGACGTTTGGACGATGCAGAGCCCTCGCATCTATTCCCATCACTGCCCCATTTCCGTCCACTTGGCTGTCTTCAACGTGCACTTGTGATACCGTTAACCCTTTGTGTGGTTTGTGTTTTTTTCAGAAGGAAAGAAGAAAAGCGCCGTAGCCCATGTTAATGATACCCCTACCGAGGTCATCAGATCCGGCACTGTACACCGCCCGTCTGTTCAAAGGTCTGTTTTTTTTGGCGCGCACTCGCTACGCAGCCCGCATCATATCCAAGTTCCTTGTAATCAACCCTGAACAGCATCCCATTCGTTGCTCATCAAGTTTTGATTCTAATAATTAGATCTGAGCCCTAATATCTACGGAACAAGCAAACAGGCTCACCAACTTGGCTTGCATATCCGCCCCCCAATTTTTTCCCGTCCTTGTGTCCAAATGCCTGGTGACGTCAGCATACGTCCCTCTTCCCACTAATAACCAAATTCCCCAGCGCCACGCCGACGATCTCTGGCCTCCTGCTTCTCGATAACAAACGAACAGGATTGTGTGCCTTCATGCCTGACGCCACAACCTGTAACTAAAGCTGAAGACGCGACTCCAACAGCTGCACGATACAGATTAAAATAAACGAAAGTTATGGAAATAGAAGCAAAAGTAAAAGCGAAATTAAGAAAAATACGCGCTCCCGATTTCTCTACCGCTCGTGGGCAAAACGCGTCGATACATGTCAATGGCGGTTGGCACCGTATAACAACAGCATCTAATTTTATTGTCCACTTTCACTCATCAATCTCGTCAACTATTCGATGCAGATTGTTCTTCAAGCAAAACCTTCTCCAGATTCCAGGCTGTACATAGCAATTTACCACCCGTCGCCGCCACCACTGCTGAAATTCTGCTGACCGTAGTCACCACCATTGCCACTGTCACCACCATTGTTCCAGCCGCCACCTGCCCCAGAATCACCACCGGCGTTTCCATCAAAACCGCCGCCAGTGTCATTGTCAGGCTGGTCTGCCGGAGGCTGCTTGCATCGAACTTTGGTGTGTCCAAACTCCTGGCAGTTGGAGCACTTGACTTTAGACCCTGTTCTATAGTTAGCGTCCAACCGGTTCAAGCGTCGCAACAATACACTTACAGTCTTTCGGCTCCGGGCAGTCACGGCTGAAGTGACCATTCTTCTCACAGTTGCGGCACACAACGTTGTCGAGATTCGGCGGCTGGTCGCAGTCGGCCGCAAAGTGGCCCTCTTGGCCGCAGTTTCTGCAGCCACGGGCGCCGCCCTTGGGGCAATCCTTTGCAAAGTGTCCGGCTAATTCAAGTCAGCCATGTATGCGGATATTGTCATGTTATTTGATTGTTGACTTACTCTCTTCGCATTTGCGGCAGGTGACGTTGTCAAGGTTCGGCTCCTCCTCGCAGTCGGTAGCCCTATGGCCAGATTTGCTATCACCAACATTAACATCGATAAAAAGATAAGGGGATCGAGGAGACATGTTGACATACCCGCAGTTTCTGCAAGCAAAGCGATCCTTACGAGGCTCAGGACAATCACGAACTCGATGACCTTCTCCGCTGCAGTTGTAGCAAGTTTGGACCTTTACTTCGCGCACAACTTTTTCCTGAGGGCACTGCTTTGCGATATGCCCAAGCTCATCGCAGTTGCTACACTTGGGCCTTCCACTGTCGACAACGTCGCCTGCATCGTCGAGGCGAGACAGGATCTCTTCAATGCTTTTTGGCCAACCCTCGATCTCTCGAGGTCTCTGAGGCTGGTCGGAGAATCTGTAAGAGATCGTGTACTTCTTACCCATGTTGCCTTGTAGGTCCATGTTTGTGAAGATTTCGATCAACGATTTCTCCGTCGAGATGAGCCACAGGTTGATCTTGTTATCAATGAGCGCCTCTTGGAGCTCCCGATAGGTGATTCTGCCATTCAGAGCCTTCACGTAGGCCTGGATACCTTCCTTTGCGTCCTCTGCATCTTGCTCGGCTGCCGCTCGTTTAATCATTTCCCATGCAGCCTCAGCGTCCATGTCGGCAACGCCGCTGCGATCAATCTTCCTTGGATTTGTGCAATCCTTGCTCATGTGCCCTGGGTTTATTAGCAGATGCATTTTGAACGGGGCTCAACGGCATACCTTCTTCGCCACAGTTGTTGCAGCTCATAGCGGGCTTCGTTGGGCATTCCTTAGCCATATGGCCCGGCTCCTTGCAGTAGTTGCAGGTCATCTGGGGGGCATTGGGACACTCGAATTTGCGGTGTCTGAAGCTTGGTCAAATGGAGGAAATGTACATCGTGTTCGAGATTGACTGACCCTTCTTCGCCACACGAGAAGCACTTATTGTCGCCGGGGCCGTCTTGATCATTGTACCTATCAATGTTAGCAAGATAACCGGACGATGTGCAAGATGCAAGCTTACCCTTGGTTTCCACCATTGTTTCCGCCATTGTCAAACGCATGACTGATGTTCAGTTAGTAAGGAACTACGTGAAGGGAGCGTGGGCAGCTTACCTGTCAGCAGCATAGTCATTTCCACTGAAGCCGCCGGCGGGCTGGCTGTTCCAGTTGCTGTTACTCCCGGTCCATTGACTCTCAACCTGAACTGGGCCGTTGTCCCAGTTCGACATTTTGACGGCGTTGCTTGATGGTGAGCCACTTCGGGTCAACAGAGGTAGGAAATTAGCGGCTCTATGTGAGATTGAAGGATAGGTTCTCCGCGATGAAGGTTGTGTGAGGGAGAAGGAATTAGAAAAAAATTGCAAAGGTGAGATTATCATGTTATCATCAAACGCAGCTGCCAGCTGCTGCCAGCTGCTGCCAGCTGGCAGAAGAGAGCTGCCGGGCCGGCTAGGTGCAAATTTGTTTACATTTCATTTGTAAGCTGCATGAGAGATGGTTTTTTAGCGGAGCGAATCATGCTGGGTAAGCGATAATACCAGATTTTTAAGGAGGAAACGTTGCTAGTCGAAACCAGATGGAATGGGCACGAGCCGCCAGTGCTTGCTTGAGCCATCGTCGTGCCAGCAGCCTCTGTGTACAGCATCCAACAACAGAGGACCAAGTCTGAAGAAAATCCTCAGCTCCCGATTGCGATTTAGTCAGACTTGACTGAGATTTCTGCGCCAATAGTCAGTCTCCTCGTAATGGGCCGGGGTAGGAAATCAATGGTGTCTTCTCGACATCTCACTTTTAGGGTGATACCATGTGTTTCATATTTATTTTTTAAATTCCTCAATTCATAGGTTTATTTCCGCTCCTCGGCTTTATTTCACGGTTTGGTATCCAGTGGTCAGAATGAAGCTCACGTCAGGGTTGAACGCATTCGAGGTGTCGAAGTCGTTGGTCCATCCACCATTGCTTGCAACATATTCAACCGATCGCTAACAACACCAGTAGCACGTAGGATAGCCCCAGGAACGGATCGAGTTACCCTGTCCGTTGAGATTTAGCTTGGCCGCAGAAGGTAGCATTTTCGTCAAAGATCTTTTGAGTTGTCATTCTGATCGAGCTTCAGACGGTGACAACGCTTGGGTAGCCGGTGGCCATGACACCTACATCAAACGACCTGTGGACGCCGTTGCTGTTGTCGCCGCCGAAAAAGCTATTGACTGCATCGTAAAGAATAGTAAAAATAAGTTTGTGATAGCGACGTGGTTTGGGGCGTATAAGAAGGTCCCAAAAACAAGACGAGAAGAATTTCCCTAAAATAAAGAAAAATAAAGAAAAAGACATAATGTGGACCTGCCTACTGAGAACACACATACCATTGATCCCTACCAGTTATCTAAGACGCGACAGTAGAATTGCGCGCAGGAGAGATGGTTTTTACCCGGGCAAGGGCCGGCAACGGTCCGATCCCATTGTTTTTCCAGCCCTCACAAGTTTATCGAGGTACTAGAAGTACCAGAAGGTCCAACTGTAAATTAATAAATATAAAAAGAAAAAGATATAAAGACCGAGTAGAGGTATTTAGGAGATTTGTAAGTGAATCCTGAGAGGAAGTGTGCATGGTGTATAGAACACTGTCTATCTGCTTGGGGCCACGGTCAAACCATGCCTTAAAAAGAAACCCACCTAGTATAAACCCCACTCGACATCCTGCTTCTTCACCGTACCGTCGCAATCCATCCTCCCCTTGGCGCCTACTCGTCCGCTCCCGCCAAACCGATTAATCGAGTCGCGGATCAAGTCCACAATGTCCTGTCCGCCGACGTGAAAGTCAATGTTCCCATTCTTGCCCTTACCCTGCACGCCAAACTTGCAGCTCCCGTACTGGTCCAGCTGGTGCTGGCTCCCAATGGCGTTTTCCACCTCGTGGTCCGCCTGGCCGTCGCCGTTTTGCAGGTTCTTGATGAGTGTTTCGCAGTCGGAAACGAGGGGCGATGCGTCGCTCGTCTGGTCGACAAAGGTCGAGTCGCCGCAGTGGTCCGGCAGCAGCGCGGCGCACGGATAGTTGGGCGCCGTGAGGGCCGAGACGCCGCCAGGTCCGTCCCAGGCCCTAAAGGCGACCTCGGGGCTGCACACGGGGATGCGGACGAAGCCGGGGGTGGTAATGTCCTGATTCAAGAGATCGTCCATCGTGACGCTGTCTCGTGGGTCTGCCGGGGGCGCGCCGTTGATGTTGCCGTTCTTCCGGTAGGTGCGGACGGCTCTACTTGAGCATCAGCCATTGCTTAACTCATGCAAGGTTCCCCGGCTCCCCCTGGAGCCTGCGTAGGAAGGGTCACCGAACCCGCCGCTGCAGGAAGACTTACCCAGTAATAATCTCAGACAATTTCACGCCGCCAAATAAATCACTGCCCATGGACCCAATGCCAGCGGGAGCCGAAAACTTGTTTCTCACCCGTACCGACGAGCCCTTCGGGTTCATCACGTACCTGTAGGGTTCGCCCTTTGGAATGGCCAGGTAATACAGCCTGTCCTCGTAGCAGGACCAGGTCTGGCGCATCGTGCCAACGTCCATGTACCTGCCGAGAGGGTCGATGGTGCCGCACGCGTAGCCCGAGTCAACCACAAACGGGTGCGCGCCGGCGGCATTCCACACGGCTGGGATGGCGTACGCATAAAAGGCCTTGGCCATGTTCGCCTTGAGGGCGGTCGCCGTCTGGAAGTCGTCTCTGACGTTGGGAGTGATCTTGTTGCTGCCGTCGATGAGCTTGCCGTCCGAAATGATCGTGGTCAGCGCGCTGATGGCCTCGTCCGTGCCATTGAACAGCCACATCGCCGAGGCTTCGACGGAGGCGGTCCACAGGTCGACCGTCTGTGCCATGTACGCCGCAAAAAAGTCTTGCTTATCCTCGGTCCATTTGCCGGCCCTGCAGATTCCGGATTTTCTCGTCAGTTGCTTTTCCGCGGCCGTTGGGCAGAGAGCTCTGCTCTCATTTCGAAACTGGGTTGCTTACGGAGACTCGCCATCGAGGAGATCCTTTGCTATGCTCGTGGTGCCAGAAATCAGTGCCACTGTCGTGTCTTTCAAGTTGGCAGCCATTGTCGCGTTGGCAATGAAGTAGGGCATCTTTGACAGGACTGTAAAGAGCAAACTTTTGGTTAGCATCATCAAGCTTCGCAACAATGAGGCAAAGAATGAAGCGAAATGAAGGACGCACCAGAGTTGAAGAATGGGCCAGCAACCAGTGTTAATCCTAGCCCGACCACGTCCAAAAGGATCTCGAGCCACTTTTTATCATCCTTTGGCGGCGGCACAGGGGCAAACGTCTTGACGAAAGCTCTCATCTCGCCCGTTATGGTAGTTGCACCGGCGTCGTGGAGCGCACTGTAGAGCGAGGCATACATCTATGTGTCGTGAGCAGTTGATGCCACGGATAAAACGGTCGAGGAGGACTCGATAGACCGAATCGTCCGACTTACCTCATGTATGAGAACGAAACTGTTCCAGATCTCGTAGCCTGCTGGACCGGTCCCGGAGCCGACAATGTCGGTACATTGCCGCATCGACTCGCAATTGTTCCGTTCAGTCATACTACCGCAGCGCGCCTGCTCAGAAGCATGGATTGTGTCGGAGACGGACTTTGAGAACTCACGGTTCGTCTTCCGGTCAATAGTCTTGTATACCTCAATAATGTCATCCCAGGCGTCCGGCGCATCCATCATACTCCAGCGTTGCTGGGGACTCAGCCCGCGCAAGTCAACCACGCTGCGGTCGTCGCACTTGATCTCGGTCCAGTTTCCGTGCCTCTTGCCATAGTCCCACGGGTCCTTTCCTTGTCTCGCCTTGATGACGAAGCTCGGCCAGCTGTTGATGCCAGGGGGCGGATCCACGTAGCTTTCCAGGTCAATGGCCCAGTTTGACGTGCCGCCCATGCCGAAAGCCTTGTACACGGTAGTCCTGTAGCTCAAGACTTCGGGGCTCATCCATGCCACCCACTGATTGCCATCGTAGACCATGATATTGCTGTTGCTTTTTCCATCTAGGAAGCTCTTGTTCACACGGCTCGGCGTGTTTATGATTGCCTTGATCTCGGCGTGTGAAATGTAGCCCGCCGTGTCGGTGCACACACCCTTTTTTGCGTGGGAGTCTTGAGGGCCACCAGTATAAAAGCAGTCAGGGCCGTAGCAGCCTCCGTCAGCCATGCCAAACGATCGCCCAAAGCTAGTGACACCGACGACGATCTTGTTGGAAGGCACACCAGCTTTCGTAATCTGTACACTCTAGTATTAATGTGTGCATTCACCCAAGAATGTCTCATGTTACGAAAAACTTACCATGACCAAAGCATTCACCGTCTCGGTCAGGTTGACGGCGCTGCGGAGACACATGCCTGATGAACAACCAGGCTGCGACCATCGATTTTGGGAATCCCACTGGAAATAGTTAGCTTGTGACTGCCTCAGATATGATGCTTCTATGTGAGCGAGAAATTACCTGGCCGTGCAGGTCGTAGGTCATATAAACAATGTAATCGAGAATCTTGCTCATTTGGGCGATCGGAAAGCCCTTTAGGTACCAGTAGGACGCCGGCGCAGCAATAGATACAGACTTGCCAGGGAGAAGATTCTTCAGCACGGCGAGGAAAGCGAGGTAGTTGAAGCCTTCCGACTTGTCGCCAGCGGGGATGTCGGGGATATCAGGGGCCTGCAAGGATAAAGCCACATTAGCAAGACCAACAAGCACGCAGAAAATTTTCGACTTACGGAAGGATACTCCCAGTCAATATCGACACCATCCAGATGATGTTGCTTAATGTAGTTGGCAATGTTTGTGGCCAGCTTAAGGCGATTCGCGGCGGTGACGCCTTGGCGGAAGATGGTGTAAGTGCTCGGGCTCGTCGAGAATTCCCAGCCGCCAAAAGACAGAATCCTCTTGACGCCCGTCAGGCGCTTGAAGTTGTTGAACTCGTACTCGGTCAGGGCATCAGGCATGTAGACCTCATAGTTGGGGCCGATGCTGCCGAATCCAAAATGCAGATGCGTGTACTGGGAAGTGTCAATCAACCGCACATCCACGTTGAGGCACTTGCGCGCAAGGTTGTATCCTTCGAAATAGCCAATCTTGCGGAAGGTCTCTGGCGCAGAACCACGGACGATATCGGTGCCACAGTTGGAGATGCACCCGTTCGTGCCCTTCTTGGCTGTGCCCGGCGGGCCGGTGCCGGTGTCGGTGCAAAACTCGATCGTGGTACCACACTGGCCCCAAACATCGCAACACGCGTTCAGCGGGCATGGATTCAGCTTTGAAATGCTCGTTCCGTCGGTCGGGCGCTTGGTTCCGGGGACCTGGGGACCACAGACCGTGTTGGCCACGGGCGCCGGCATGGGAGGCGTGCCCTTGGTCAAGCAGATGATGGTGCCCTCCCACATGTTGGTGCCGCAGCCATTCCAGCCCCAGGTCTTCTTGTTGTAGAAGTGGATTTCGAATTGGGTGATGCTATTCTCCGCGGCGATGCTGGCGCACGTATCGCCGCCATGCACCAGCCACGTCTTGCATGACCCGTCTGGGTTCGGCTTCGGCCGGTAGTCTGGCAGCTCGCCAGCCGAGCAGCAGACGTGCTGGCCGGCCACGAGGGTCCGGCAAAAGTCCTTTACGGGGTTGTAGCTCTCAAAGTCGTGGCCGGATACGCCGCATTTGACTGCCAGTTCTGGACACCCTTCAAGGTACTTTACCTGAACGGTGCGGCACTCGCCTGCTGCCAGGCTTCTAGTGTTGTGCGAGGTAGTCTGGTTCCAGTTCGAAGTTGCATTTGTAGAATTTGGAGCAAGTTCCATGGGAATTGTAAAGTATGCGGGACCGTTGATGCGCTTGGAGTTGTTGAATTGTGCGCATTGGCCGTTTTCCCAAGACTTGAGCGTCTCCTGTATGCCCGAGAATTCACCTTGAGTTGTGGCAACAAGTCCGAATGTATGGTCACTATCGTAAGTTGATCCGCACAGCTGGATAGCCACAGTACTAGCGGTAATGTCACCGTCGTCCAACTGCTCTTGCAGCATCTTCAGGGCCAGAGAACCCACGCCAGCGCCGTGCAAACTCTTGCCGATACGGAGTCCGAATACTGTTTTCCCGGACTGGCCATACAGAAAGGCAGCCCTGGCATTGTTGAAAGCATAGCCGCTAGAGAGGTATTGCCGCGTCTGTGACAATAGAGATCGGAGGTCAGACGCTGTTTGTGATGTCTGGGTAGAGTTCCAGCCAACTTCATAAGTGGCCTTGACATCAGAAACTGGCGGCAGGGCGTAAACACCGGGAGAGTCAGGTAGATTCTCCCAGTCCGGCCCATACGATGAGCATGCATAGATGCGATGGTGGGACGCTGAGTCGTCGACGGCATCATAGAGGGCAAATTGGTAAAACAGGGTCTCCTTGCATGACTGAAACTGATCAAAGTTATGGTAAAGAGACCAGTTACCAGAATGAGGTCCGGACACGCTGCACCGAGCTGGGCAGGCGACTTCCCTCCCAGCGTAGCCTGGGCTCGATGTCTGACGAGCTCCTATCAGTCCGGAGGAACATTTGACGAGAGGAAGCGCCCCAAATGTGGCAATAGCCGCTTGGAGTGGAAGGAGTCTCATCTGGCTAAGGATGCTCCTTTGAAGGAGTGGTGGGATGATGAAAGGAAAGTCACTGTAGTAGTATCGAGGGAATAAATGACTGTAGGACAACAGGAGGAGTGACAAAGTGCAAACCAAGTAATTACGACCGCGATTTGGGTTTTAGAATGTTGTATTCGAGCAGATGACGTTCTTGAAGCAATGTTTATAAGTACTCGATAAGGAAATGGGCCCATCACAGCCTCGAACAGGTCTGCTCCGCCGACATGGTATTGCAGTCTATTTTCATCCTACTGTTTTTAAATGGTTCCACGTTGCTGCATGGTAAAATTAAGTGGCTTGAGGCCCGAGGCCTTGTAGGATTCTCCAGAAAATCGCTTGGGCTGATTCCTGGCCGGGGTTCGGCTGCGCCTCTTGCCCGGGCCAACAAACAAATCTTTTCGAGTACCTGTGTGACATTCTGGTCCTTGAGCTAACTCTATCTTGTTGACCATGAATTTGTAGAAAAAGATGAATTATATATAGCCATAAAATGGAGAGCAAGTTACATAAATCAACGAGGAAACCCAAGCGCTGGTGCGCCACTCACAGTTCTTAATGGTATAAACTGAATCAGCCCCAACTGAGCTCTTTCGTACTCAATATCCAATTCCTCAGATCAACATAGCAAAACCAGCCAGTATTATGCCAGCAACTACACCGGGAGTAGGAAGGGCCCTTGGCGCGGCATTCTTTGGGGGGCAGCTCACAAGCGGAGTAGATCTCAAGCAAGCCGTGGCCAACAAAGCTGCAGACATGCTAGATGCAGAGTCCGAGTCGACCTTTGCACCACAAGGGTTGGTCTTTGGCAATGAAGTATCGTTGGCAGTCACGAGGCAATTGTCCATTCCCGAGAAAAATCTGGGAGGATTTGCATAGTGTCCCTCGAGAGAAAGAATGTCGGTAATGTTAAAGCCAGAGCTTGTGAAGTCTTCGTCCTGCGACTGGAAGCACTCGCCGCCCTGGTCTTTGGGCGTCTCAAAGTCTGGCTGTTTTCCGTCGGCTGAAATGGTAAAGCTGGTGTATCTCGGCTGCGAGTTGCCCGTCAGTCCGCCGTTGATACCACTGTAGCCATCTGGATCCCAGGAGCAGTTTGGCATCATCACGTCCCACAGAATCATCCACTTGCCGTAGGACGAGATGACGCTGCGCAGGTCCCCATATACAAAGTACACGCCGTTTTCAATTCCGGTCTTGGTGTTGTCGTTGCTCTTGGAGTAGTTCAAGTGCGGGAAGAAGTCTGTCAAGCCTCTGGAGTGGACGTCCTCGCGGCGCACCCTGACTAGCACATTCGGGCCCGAGCTGCCCATATTGGACACGAGCTCGGCGTTCTGCATGGCAAAGATGAAGGGAAAGATCGGACTTAGCGCGTATGTCTCGTTTCGCGGGAAAACCAAGTCAAACTCGACAACCGCTGGCAGAGAGACATTTGCTGATGTGGTGGCGAGGGCGGCCGGCGTCAAAGCCGCGGCAACGAAGGGTGAGGCACGCATGATGCACAGAGTGTGTTGGTGATGATGCACAGACTGTGTTGGTGACTTTCTCTGCAACGCAGTAGTGGAAGGGACCAAAGAAGAAGAAAAGTCGACAGTAACTTGAAGTGCTGGATTGCGGCTGCGATGCAACGGAAATTATGCCCCCTTGTCTATTGCCATAAGTCTAGATCTACTAGCAAACATGCCACTCGAGGCTTTTCCCTTTCCCCGCGAACTGAGCCTCCTGACAGGAATCAATTTCTCGACCCCTGAAGGAGAGTGGATTTTCAGGGCTGTCCTGGTTGTAGTTGGGTAGGTATGCATCGATTAATTTACCACGGCCACAACTATTGGCAATAGTGGGCTGAGCAACGGCTACTTGAGCCGGACGTGAGCGGTTCTTTTGCGCCGCTGCTCCTCCGCTCAATATTACCAGCAGGAGGAATCAATTAATGGACCGGAAGAAACGAGAAACGAAATGCTATCCAAGTCAAATTTTAAGCAGCTTTTGCGAGGCTTGTGGCGATGCCATGTAATTAGCCGTGGTGTATAAGACGAAGAAGTGCTACTTCAGAGGTACTCGTAGCTAGTCGTAAATCAGGTACACATTTTCAGCCATTCCCAAAATGCAGCGACATCTTCTTCTCGGCTTGGCAGGGCTGCCGGCTCTCCTCTCGGCGCTGAGGGTCTCTGTGACTTGCAGTTTCTCGACTGTTGCTGCAAATGGCGAGACGTGCGATAGCATGGCCGCGGCTTGGGGACTGAATGTGGCCACTTTCCAATCTTTAAACCCCAAGGCAAAATGCCCCCAGGTCATAGGAGGTGAGGAATACTGTGTGGTTGGAACCGTGACCACAGTTACTGGAGAACCCACCACGGCTCCTACAACCACTTCCACCAAGCCGGCGACAACGACGACAGAGACCACAACTACCACCATAACAGGCAACGGTAAACAATTTTTTTAAACATTCAAGCACGGGGGCCGATGCTAATCTCACGGCCGGGGTCATTGTTTTAGGCATCGCTACCCCCTCTCCGCTACAGCGTGATCTCGTCTCGAACTGTAACAAGTTTTATTTCGTCAAAAAGGGCGACATCTGTGCTAGTATTGTCGAACAATGCAAAATTGAACTGTCAGACTTTTTGGAATGGAACCCCAGGACCGGCAGTGACTGCTCCGGCCTCTGGGCGGACACCTATGCCTGCGTCTCCGTCATTGGCTATGTCGCGAAGCCCAAGCCCACGTTGACGAAGCCGACGCCCACGGGCAACGGGATCCCGACGCCGCTGCCCACGCAGCCCGGCATGACGGACGGCTGCAACAAGTTTCAGTTTGTCAACCCGGGCGATACCTGCCAGGATGTTGCCTCGCGCGCCGGCGTCTCGCTGTCTGATTTCCTCCGGTGGAACCCAAAGGCCGGAAGCGCCTGCTCGGGCCTGTGGGCAAACGCGTACGCCTGCGCCGGCATGATTTCCTTTTCGCTCAAGTCGCGGTACCACACAGACTGCAGCGGCGACGTGCACAGCTTCGCCAACGTGGACGGGGGCGACGGCCAGTGCATGAACACGGACTGCAGCGTCGGCAGCCTGGAGATTGCGTCTGCTGGCCTCTGCCCCGACGGCGAGGTGCAGGTCAGTTACTGGGAGCAGCCCGGGTGTCAGGGCAAGTGGTTCGGGTACGGGTACGCAAAGAGAGGAGAGTGCCGCCACTTGTGGACCAATGGGTGGAAGTTTAAGGCGATTCACTTGCGCTGCGCGAAGAGCCAGGACGACTGTGTGAACCAGGGCAAATGCACTCGTGAGCCTGAGCCGGCTCAGGGTGTTTGCTAAGTCTCTGATGCGTAGCGACATCGGGCAGGTCGGCTTACGAGTCCAGTTAGTAGAGAAGATGACAGCGATAGAGTCAAACTAAGTTATTTTATGAAACAGTTAGTAGCTACTACAGAGAAGATGAAAGCAGCTTATATTCTGGTACATTATGCCTACCAACCGTTGCAGTGGGAATTCAAGAGACAAATTGAGCGCAAAGCAGGATACAACCTGGAGAGTCAGAGGTCTACATATTCAAGACGGTGATTTGCTATTAGATTAAAAGTCGCACTCTCCTTCGGATGCAGTCTTATAAATGCCTACTACGAACCAGTTACGAGATGACTTGAAATTGAATGAATCACGTCCATTGGCGCCCTAGTGGAGGCTGTTAGGTATAGCTAAGTTATATCCCAAATTCTGGTTAACGATATATAGATTTTCTTTTAAAAAAACTAGTATCAAAAACATTTTTATAACATGATGAATACACGCATGCTGATCACTAACGTTCTTGGCCTACTTATGCATCCAGCCACATGAACGACTCTGTGGCTCAGCCTTGAGCCCCGCTTTCGGTGGCTAAAGCGTGCCCCGACAGCTTTCGAGCCCGGCTTACGAGTTGCAACTGGATCCGACATCATCAGATTCAGGCGTCTCTTGGCTTCCCCTCGGCACCCTTTGGTGCAGCTTGCGATTTACATCTCTCCCTTTGGTACTTGCGATCGCTGTGTTGGCTGGCTCGAACAGCCGTATCTGCATTTCGATTGCACCAACCGACGCCCCAGCCGCCCGCCAAGCCCTGCGACCGCACCGCCTGGCTTAGATTCTCGACGAGCCCTTATCCAGCCCAGAGTTGCTGCCCTGTGCTTCGCCATACACTACAATGTCTCTATTTGGCACATCGCCCGTAGAGGCCAATGCTCCCTCGACGCCGACCCGATCGCGCGGCGGCGATAGGTCTGGCCTCTTCGATGACGACACCCGTCCGTCGTCTGGCGACGGCGGCCTGTTCGCCGACGCCGAGCCACATCGCGCCCCCGACGATAGCACCAAGGCCGAGTCGCCATGGGACTTGCCTACGCCGCGCAAACAGAAGAGCCGTGCTGAACTGATCCGAAAGCTGCTGCCATCGTCCGACGTGCCCGAGAGCTACACGGAGACGTTTGATGTCGTGGTGCGCGAGGACGGCGATGCTTCCGGCAGAATCTCGTCCAGCGGCATCGCCAATGTCTTTGCCACGGCACGCATCGATGCCGACGCGCAAGCTACCATCATGTCGTTGCTTGCGGCGGGCGGCAATGCCTCGAACCTGACGCTCGGTCGCGGCGAGTTCAGTGTCTTGCTCGCGCTTGTGGGTCTGGCCCAGGAAGGCGACATCATAAGCCTGGACGGAGTCGACGAGCGCCGCGCAAGTAAGTTTTTTGCCATTTCCGCATGGCTTTCATCTTTCCATTTTTCTACGCCTACTCTGCGAATTTCGAAGTTGGCGACTGTCGCGTCAATTGCACGCTCTGCTCTGTCTCAGCTCCGCACCCACCCTTCCTTGCACTACCTAGCCAGCCTGTGGACCGCACCAAAGGCTAACATCCAATTTCGCCAGACCTGCCCCGGCCCAAACTCGCCGGCTTGACCGCCGAACCCGTGATGCCACCCATCGCTGAGCTCGCCGCAAAGCCTCCCCAGGCACCCGTTACCGACGCAGCCATCAGCGCAGCTCCCGAGATACCCCAACAGCACCAGACAGTCCTCCGACCCGTCATGGACGACCCTGAAGACGATCCCTGGAACACCCCCGACTTGCACAAGGGCCATTCCCATTCAAAACAAAATGGCATCGATGCCGCAGTGTCCAGCGGCCACTCGAGTTTCGGAACTTTACCCGCCGTTGCGCCGGTGTCCCACACCGCCCCCGAGCCCTTCTCGGCCCCGACTCGCAATACTCCAAGTTCGGCGCTTCGACCGAGCAGCGGTATCGCCGGTCCGGATGGCTGGGGTTCCGGCTTTTATGCCTCGGCCCAACCAACGCCAGCCGTCGGACCTAGCAACTTGAACCCGTTTGGCGGTGACGGCGTGGGTCGCACGCCAGACGTGCCCGGACCTGTGCCGCCGTCGCTGAATCCCAGCCGCAGCGCAACTGGTCGCACTGGAAGCAATGTCGAGGAACACGTCATCGTCACCCTGATGCCAGGCAAAGAGGGCGTCTTCATGTTCCAGCACCACAACTACGAGGTCACGAGTCAGAGACGAGGGAGCAAAGTCATTCGCAGATACAGCGATTTTGTCTGGCTGCTCGACTGTCTGCACAAGCGCTATCCCTTCCGCGTTTTACCTCTGCTGCCACCGAAGAGAGTAGCCGTCAATGGCAACCACCTCTCCAACGACGGCGCATTCATTGAGAAGCGGCGACGCGGCCTAAGCCGCTTCATCAACGCCCTCGTCCGGCACCCTATCCTGAGCCAAGAGCAGCTCGTCGTCATGTTCCTGACTGTTCCCACCGAGCTCGCCGTGTGGCGCAAGCAGGCCACAATCTCTGTGCAGGATGAGTTTTCTGAGAGAGTCCTCGCTCCCGGTCTCGAAGACTCCCTCTCACCCACGCTCGAAGAGCTCTTCACCAAGACGAGGTCTGGTATCGTGCGCTCGGCGGAGCTGTACATCGCCGTGTGCAACATCATGGACCGTCTAGTGAAGCGCACCGAGGGCGTCGCTGCCGACCACGCGCGCGTCGCCATGTCGCTTTCGTCGCTGACGGAAACATCGGCTGACACGTATGCGACGGATGCCAATGAAGTGCCGCTGCTGAATGATGGTCTCACGGCCATGAGCAGACATTTGCGCACATGCCAGTCGCTGCTGGAAGACGAGAGCAAAGGCTGGGACGAAGGCGTTCTCGAAGACTTGAAACGGCAGCGCGATGCGCTCGTCAGTGTGCGGGAGCTGTTTGAGCGTCGTGACAGGCTCGACAAGGACACTATTCCCTACTTGGAGCGCCGTATCCAGACCAACGAGACCAAGCTGGCGACGCTGCGCGGCAAACCAGAAGGCACAGTCAAGCCCGGCGAGATTGAAAGAGTGGCTGAGAATATCATCAAGGTTTGTCGCCCCCTCCCCCGCCGTACTCATGCTCTACCTACTAACGCATTCGTGTAGGACAAGGAGTCGATTGTCCAGCAGCACAACCGCTCCGTCTTTGTCAAGGAGTGTATTCGCGACGAGCTCGTTACTTTCCAGCACACGCAGTATCACGTCAGCCGGTGGAACCAGGACTGGGCGGCGGAGCGTGTCAAGTATGCCGAGATGCTGGCGGACAACTGGCGGGGGCTGCTGGACCAGCTCGAAGGCATGCCTCTGGGCTACTAATCGCAGGCTGTACATATATATACATACATGCCTGCCTCTCTTTGCTATATACGCGCCCATCCCTGTATTTTTGTACTTGTTATGCACATGTTTTTCTGACGTTGTGGCATGTTGTCACCATAGATAGCGAGCAATTAATAGCATTGACTTGTTTGGCGATGGTAGTATGTGGACGCGCAGACAATTATCCGCCTAGTCTACATAACTTTTGTTCAATGCAACAAGTGTAATAAAGGCGACATTTGATACATTACCACCCATCGGTTACCGCACCATGACTCGCATCACCCACCAAACGCGCATACTTGGCCAGCGTCCCTCTCTTGACCCTCGGCTCGGGCGGCACCCACTGCGCGCGTCTCGCGTCCATTTCCTCGCTCGAAATGGCCACGTCGATGCGGTTCGTCTCGGCATCAATCGTCATGGCATCGCCGTCCCTGACCAGCGCGATCGGCCCCCCGACGGCAGCTTCGGGAACGACGTGGCCGACGATGAAGCCGTGCGACGCGCCGCTGTACCGGCCGTCGGTGACGAGGGCGACGTTGGTGAGGCCGGCGCCCATGATGGCGGCCGACGCGCGCAGCTGCTCGGGCATGCCGGGCCCGCCCTTGGGGCCCTCGTAGCGCACGACGATGACGAGGTTACCGTCTTGCTGTTTGATCTCGCCGCGGCTGAGCGCGGCGTTGAGGTCGCGCTCGCAGTCGTAGACGCGGGCGGCGCCGGTGAAGCGCAGGCCCTCCTTGCCGGTGATCTTGGCGACGGCGCCGCCGGGCGCAAAGTTGCCGCGCAGGATGCGGATGTGGCCGCTGGGCTTGATGGGGTCGTCAAGGGGGCGGATGATTTTCTGGCCGGGGTCGAGCGACGGCCAGTCGGCGACGTTTTCGGCGAGGGTGCGGCCGGTGACGGTCATGATGCCGCCGTCGAGGAGGTTGTGGGCGATGAGCATCTTGATGACGGACGGCGTGCCGCCGACCTTGTACAGGTCCTCCATCAGGTACCTGCCGCTCGGGGCCAGGTCGGCGAGGTACGGGGTGCGGTCGCTCGCGCGCTGCACGTCGTCAATGGTCAGCGGCACGCCGGCCGTGTTGGCCATGGCGAGGAAGTGCAGGACGCCGTTGGTGGAGCCGCCGAGGATCATGGTGAGCACGAGGGCGTTCTCGAACGCGGCGCGGGTGAGGAGGTCGCGCGGGCGGATGTCCTTGGCCATGGTGGTCTTGATGACCTCGGCGGCGCGCTCGCACTCGCGCGACTTCTCCGGGGACAGCGCCGGATACGACGAGGAGCCGGGTAGGGTGAGCCCCATGGCCTCGATCGCCGTGGCCATGGTGTTGGCCGTGTACATGCCGCCGCAGGCACCGGCGCCAGGGCAGGAATGGTGCTCGAGATCGGTCAGCACGTCGCCGCTCTCGCGACCGGGCGCGCCGGGATCCGTTTTGGCGTGCAGGCGGCCGTAGGTGTAGGCGCCGGCGGCCTCGTAGCAGGTGGAGATGTTGACGTCCTTTTCGAGGAGCGCCGAGTGGCCCTTGCGGATGGTGCCGCCGTAGATCATAATGAAGGGCCGGTTGTGGCGGGCGGCGGCCATGACGACGCCGGGCATGTTCTTGTCGCAGCCGGGGATGGAGATGTTGGCATCGTGGTGCTGCGCGCACGTGACGGACTCTATGGAATCGGCAATGATTTCGCGCGATTGCAGGGAGAAGCGCATGCCTGGAGGGTTAGTCTTTGGGTGGACAGGAAGATGCGAGGCAGCGGCGTACCGTCGCCGCCCATGGTGATGGCGTCGGACACGCCAATGGTGTTGAACTGCCAGCCCAGCATGCCTTGTTTTTCTACGGCACGCTTCACAATGCTTCCAAACTCGAGTACTGTCCGGATTAGCACGTACAGTTATAGCTGATGATATTGGCCCATACAGTGTGTGCTGGAACGCGACGTTAGTGCATGAAACTCTTGATCTCGTACGCAGCGTACTCACTTGCACGGGTTGCCCTGCCACCAGACGGTCGCGATGCCGACCTGGGGCGCATTCTTCATGGCATGCTCGTCGGGGACCCCTGCGCCATACAGCATGGCCTGCGCACCAGGAAAGTCGTGCGCGCGCGTGATGCCGGCGGACCAGCGGTTGAGCGCACCGCCGGCGGGCAGGCAGTTGAACTGGATAAAGTCGCTCGAGGACTTTGAGTCCCGGCTCGGGACCGGCGCCTCGTGGTCAGGCATTCTTTATGTTTGAACTGGTGGACTCATGCAAACAGGGGTTCTGGAGGGGTATTAGCACATCTGTTGGGAGCGCACGAGACCAGATGGTAGCGTTACCTGTATTTCTGGGATTTTGACGAGTTTGGAGGTTGGAAGCCGTGTCGATCTTGGTTGAAGGTGAGGTGAGTTGCAAAGGCAGATGAAGACTACCTACGTTGTCACTTCAGCCGCGAGCTACGAGGTTTATACTTTCTCCATGCAACTCTCTCCTTTAATAAATTCTTTATTAGTAAGGCTGTTAGTGCCCCGCGCAAGCCATTACCTTACGCTTAACAAGCTTATAAAACCCCCCCCCTTTCGCTAGCTATATAGGCTAATGCTATTAGCATACTGCCGGTCCTATAACTAATAGAGCCTATTCCCTCTTAAACAACTAAATATTTAACTCTTTAGCTAAGCTAGGGAGACCTTAATTCCCTTAAGAAAGAATATAGCCTAGCCTCTAATAAGAGAGTATAGTCTAAAGATAACCCTTAAAGATAAAGAGATTAAGATAATAATAATAATAATAGACCTATAGTTAACCTTATTTTTATTAGCCTTATTACCTATTTTATAATACTAATAAAAGTAGCCTTTAACTAGGCCTTCTATACTTAGTAATCTCTCTTTAAAGTTAGTAAGGTCCTTACTACTACCTTAGATATTACTTTAGAATAGTTTAATAAGTAAGAAGATATTAAAGTAGTCTAATAATACTAAGATATTATAGGAACTACTATTAAGAAAGTTATTAACCCCTTAAAGAATAATAAATCTATACCTTCTATAGGTTAGGTCTAAGCCTAGAATCCTTTAGTGTTTTATAAAGATACTATAGCTAGAGGAGCCTTAGAATTACCTAAAGCTAGCTAAGGCTATAGATATAGTTAATAGTAATAGTAATAATAATAAAGATCTAAAGGCCTATTAATAAATATTCTAAAGACTAGAAAGGGATAGATAAAGATATAAAGTAGACTTTAAAGACTTTATTAGTTAGATAAATAGATCTTTATTTAAATCCTAAATAATATTAAATTAAGAAATATTAACCTTTATTATATTTATTAGAAGATTATAAAAGTTTATTAAATTAAGATTAAAGGTATTAGCTAAATATCTTAGATTCCTTCTAGAATTACTATTATCCTTAAAGACTAATAAATTAATATAATTATATTTAATTATAACCTTTAATTATCTTAACTACTTAATATAACTTATATTAAGAAATCTAAATTTTAAATTATATATATACTTTATAATATCTTTAGCTTAGTTATAGATTAGATTAGTACCCTTATTAATATTAACTCCTTTATTAAAGATACTATTAAGACTATAATAGGAATTATCCTAAAGCTCTAGTATACTACCTAGGTAATAGAGGGGTAGGACTACTAGATAATTATTATTAAATTTACTATAAAGGTAAAGTCCTTTTAAATCTTTAATAGTAGACCTATAAGGCTACTAAAGCCTATTATCTAACTAAACCTCTATAAGATATACTAGTAGTAGTATAGCCTAAGAGTCTACTAAGCTTATAAGAGATACTTTAACTATAGTAAGGATAGCTATAAAAGCTACTAATATAATAATAGACCTTAATATACTAACTATTATAGCCTTTACCCTATAAATAATAAAGACTACTTAGCTAAGTCTAGAATTAATAAGAATAGAAAACTTAAAAAGCTAACTAAAGGCTAACTAAAGACTATTAAATAAAAAGGCTTTTTAATATATAAGGTAGTACTCTTATATAACTTAATCTAGTTATAAATAGCCTAATAGGCCTTAACTTTAAATATAATAAACTTAAATAACTCTATACCTAATAATAAGGTAGACTATAATATAGGTAGTAACCCTATAGAATAAGCTATAGATACTACTACCCTTAAGGAGCTAGTATAATATATAGGTAATAAAGAAGGAGCTAGTATAAGGTACTTTAATAGTATAGCCTTAGTTAATAAAGGAGGCCTATTAACTAACTAGGATATAGAGATATTAACTAAAATTAAGAATCTTTCTCCCCCCCCTATAGCTACTTAAAAGAGTAGATAAAGCTAATTAGCTATAACTAAAGCTAAGAAACCTTTAGTATAATAAAATAACTATTAACTATCTTCTAAATTAATATTATTAAAACTATAAGTATATATAATTATATACTAGCTATTACTAAAGAAAATAATATTAATATTATAATACTTTAAAAGCTATAGTTCTTAAATTTATATAAAACTATAATATACTAAAACTATATCTATATTACCCTAATTTAATACTAGCTATATAAAGATAGTATTAACTACTAACCTAGGGTACTTATATATATCTTTAAGTTACTTTAATAACCTAAAGTCTAGTAAATAACTAGTACTCCTTATAGAGATATTATTAGTATTACTACTATAGGATATTACTTTCTAAATATATATAAAGATAATAATAAGCTATATATTATTAATATACTATAAGATTAGAAGCCCTTAAAGAAGTTACTTATTATAAAGGACTTTAATACTTACTATTATAAATAGTAGCTAAGGGTAATAACTAGCTAGGGAGTAATAAACCTTATTAACTAGATCTTTAAATAGAACCTATAGATACTTAATATTAATAGTATACTTACTTATAAGGCTAGTAATATACTAGACCTTATAATCTTAAATATTACTTTAGCCTATATAAATATTACCCTTTAACTATATATATTATTAAATTATAAAACTTTAGTAATAATAATACCTAATATAAAGTACCTAAAGAAGCTAGCTAGTAAGCTATAACTAAAGGAAGAGTAAATTCTAAGGTTTATAAAGTATCTTAATAAGTATAAATAGCTAATCTAGGAAGAGAGTAGAATACTAAAGGAACTAGAGGACCTAGTAATAAACCTAATTATAATACTTAATATAGTACTAAAGGTATATAGTAAGGTACCTATATAGTTAAAGAAAGGAGTATTATAGTAGAGTAAAGAATATAAGTAGTCTTATTAATAAATAGTAACTAAAGTATAATAAGGTATAGTAGATATAAAAGGAGTAAAAAAGGAATTCTACTAGATAGTATAGAAGGCTAAGTCTAACTTTAATAAAAAACTAGTAGATAATATTAACTTAGATAAGGCTTTATATAAAGTAATAAACTAGTATAACCTAACCTTATAGTTTTAGACCTTACTAATTAAGTATAAGGGTAGGATATATATAGAACCTAAGGAAAAAGCTAAATACCTTAAGAAAGCCCTATTTAAAAGAAGAACTTAAGGAGAAGACCTATTAGAAGATATCCTAACTATTCTAGGGAAGCTAATACCTTAGTCTATAGGATTCTTAATAGAGGAAATCTAAGATACCCTTATCTTAATAGGAAATATATCCTTAGGGGTAGATAGAATTACTATAAAGCTACTCTATATAGTATAGCTAGTCTTAAAAGAATAGATATATAGGCTCTACTAAGGATGCCTAATAGTTAGGTATTACTTTAAAGTCTTTAAATAAGCTAATATAGTAATAATATTAAAACTAGATAGGGATAATAGGCTAGTTAAAGGTTAGTAACTAATATCCCTCTTTTCCTACCTAAGAAAAGGTATAGAATATCTAATTATATAATAGATTACCTAGGTAGTTATATAATATAATATATTACCTTTAATAGTAGCTAGGGCCCTTCTAAAGAGATTATTAATAGATATAGTTAAAGTATTAATATATAATACTAAGCTAGTAATAGCTACTAAAGAGGATACTATTTTCTATACTTTTAATATCTAAGGAGCCTTTAATATAGTATAATACCTTTAACTTTTACTTACTATAACCTACTAAGGGTAGTATAAAAGTGTTTTAAAATAGATAAATTCTTTCCTATAGGAATAAATAGTAAGAATATAGATAGGAGACTACTAGAGTAAATTTACTAAGCTAGAGTATAGACTTCCCTAAGGATTACTAGTATTACCTATTCTATTCCTACTAAGTATAGGATATATATATAATAGAGTATATAGATATAGCTATATAGATAATAATAATATACTCTTAACTAGCTAGGATTATACTAAGCTTATTATTAAAGTATAATAAATACTAAATTAGATAATTATAATAGTAAAAAATAATAAAGTAACCTTAGACTTATTAAAGATAGAAGTTATATTCTTTTTATATAAGTAAGAGATTTATATAGATATCTTATACTATAGTAACTATAAGGTACTTATTAAGAATAAGATAAAGTGGCTAGGTATATATCTAGACTCCTTCTTAAATTTTAAGAATTATATTAAGGACTATATAGTAAAAGTAAGGATACTTATATAGTATATTAAAGGCTTTAGCTAAGTACTTTAAGGTATTACCCCTATCTTTATTAGATAAGCTATCTATATAATAGTTATTTTAAAGCTCCTCTTTAGGGTAGAACTTTAGTATATAGGTAATATAAAGCCTTCTTATAAAAAGAACTATAATAGAACCTTTAACCCTATTTAAACTAGGCTACTAGAGTAGCTAAATAAGATATAGAAGTACCTAACTATAGTAATATAAGGCTATATCTTAGTATAGTAGACTATACTAGTAATAGCGCTTTAATATAAGGTAAGTATACCCTTAATATAGCTACTCTTTAATAAAATAAGGGATTATTATATACTATAACTTAGGTTACTTAATAAGAAGTACCTACTAGTATATAGGATTAAGGGATTTAAGAGAAAGAACTAGGTAATAGGCTTAAGATAATAATAAAGGCTAATAGTAGTTATAATAGCCTATAAAAGTATTCTAGCCTTTAAAAGACTATTACTATAGTTATTAGTATACCTTCTAAAGGATACTTACTAAAATAAGACTATAGTAACTAAAGATTTCTAATAGTAACTATAAATAAGAATAGACTAATACCTTACTATCTTTTTAAATAGGTTAATAAATAAGAATAGTAATATAAGGATAGGATATACTTTCTTTTAAAGGTTTAAATTTATATACTAAAGAAAAAGACTAACTCCCCTAAGTAAAGTCTTTAATATAAAAGTAGAAGGTATAAGGTATAGACTCTAAGTAGCTATCTAATATACTATACTATAAATAGATAAAATAGTAGTCTATCTAGATAATATAATAGTAATTATAGGCTTAAGAGAAGGTATTTTAGTATCCTCTTATAGCTTACTAATAGAGTTCTAGGAATTAGCCTAGATAGCTAATACCCTAATATAGGTATAATAGGTACTAAGGTACTATAGAATACTAGGTAATAAGATTACTAACTACCTAGCTAAGGAAGGCTTAACTATAAAACCCTTAATAAATAATTATATCCTAATATATAGCTATATAAAGAGGACCCTTACTAATATAGCTACTAGATAGCTTAATACCTAGTAGTAAGCTAATTAACTTAATAGGTACTATCTACTTAACCTTTTAATAAGGGATACCCTAAACCTAGAACTAAAGGCGCTAACCTATTTTAAACTCTATTACCTCTTTATAGCCTAGATAGGCTATAGAGATTTTACTCTTTATTATAAATACTTTTACTATACTAATATTATACTTATATATAACTATAGTAAGAGAAAGACCTTAAGGTATATCTTTTACTATAAGAAGATATAAAAAGAGATAACACCTTTATAATTTAACTAGTATAGCTATATTAATAGGACTATTAGTATTAGTTAACTAAAGTATATAAAGCTTATTAGGAATAACTTATTTTTTAGTAAGATATATTTAAGGTAGCCTTACTATATTCTTTCTTAATCTCTCCTACCCTTAGATATATTACTAACCCCTAAGCAGCCTTTTACTAACCCTATAATTAACTAGTAAAAGCCTTATAAGACCTATTAGATAGGCCTATAATCTTTTATTTGTTTTATATTTTAGTTTATTTTTATAAGGTCCCTATAGGCGTTATTTGCCCTTTTTAGGGATGGTACGACGTAAAATAGTAATACATATATACATACATATATACATACTTTCTCCATGGTCCACGGACAAACCCCCCGCACTCGGAATGATGCATCCAGAAGCCGGCGCGCCGATAGAGCACTAGCTGGCGTCAACTCTCCACTATAGCTGCACATGGCGCTGTCAGCTCCAATATCGGCGACGTGAGTGGCGAGACGCTCGTTGTAATCTCCCCGAAAGTCGCAGCCTTGATGCGAACCCATGCAGCTGGCATTGTGGGGAATTGGCGCCACCAGTTCAGCAGCGGGCTTCTGTCCGTCGGATGCCGTCCGATGTCAAGCAAAATCGGCATCGTTGTCGTGGACGCGGTTTGCGTTTATTTGATCGACTTGCTTTTTTCCGCGGCCTTTTCACGTGGGGAATGGTCTGGTCTTCAATGTTCGTGCAAGGACCATGACAAAATCACGACCACGACCACGACCGACCACATTCATTCATCACTGCATAGGGCGCCGTATCACGTGCCACTACAATATAGCATCACACAAAGCACGCCACATGAAACACAACAAACACCGCTTCAGCTGAACCCGATTTTTTTCCCAGACGCAGGCGCATCTCCAACGCTTGCTCATCGTCCACTAACAAATCATTAAGTACATTTCCCAGGCGCCTTGCACGACAATTCATTCACTCAGTACCCGAAACCGGTAGATCCAATCCAATACCCATCATGTATCCGTAACCCGACCTGAAACAGCAGCCAGCCCAACCCCACAATGCCAAAAGCAACATGGCAGCATCCTCTGCCTAACTAGTCGGCAGAGATGAGAGACGATATTCTAGTCTTGTCGCGCGACGCCGAGAGGTGGCTCCCGCCCATCTTGTACTCCTCCTTGGGGCTCGCCAGCGGACCGTACGCCGGGCTGCAGCAGCGCCCGCTCTTCCACGCCTTTTCCAGCGTCGACGGGGCCTGCGAGCAGCCGTACTCGGCCGCCACGAGATCCCAGAACTTGTCGCGGTGCGCCGCGTACACGGCGTGCAGCCGGCTGAGGTCGACGTGCGCCGGCGAGTGCGTCGACGCCGACGGCAGCGGTAGGCTGTGGAACGACGGCGGCGGCGCGGGCAGCGAGGACTCGCGGCGGAACGACACGGGCGGCAGCGGCTGCTGCTGCGCCATGCCCGGCGGGTACCCGAGCGGCGAGCTGGCGCGCGAGTGCAGGCCCATGGACGCCGGCTTGGGCAGGATCGTCGGCACGCGCGGCGAGCAGCCCCCGGCGAGGATGCTCGGGAGCTGCACCGCGTCGTGCAGCTGCGGCGGCGGCGTCATGACGAAGCGCGCGCCGCCGTCCAGCCGCCGTGGGGGCGAGATGGAGCGCGAGATGCGTTCGTGGTAGTTGGGGCTCGGCGTCAGGCTCGGCATCACGGGCGACTGCTGGTCCGAGCCCGACGAGTGCGACGCCGTGCGCTTGCGCCGACTGCTGCCGTGCGAGAGCTGGTGGTAGTGCAGCCGGCACGCGAGCTCCGTCTTGTTGAGGTGCGCTGCGATGTGCTTGTACGGCATTTTCTGGAGACGGGTCCGCAAAAGGTAGGCTTCCTGCGAGTTGTGTTAGTGACGACGCGACATCAAGGTTGTTGGCCGTTGCCCAGGTAGACTACTTGCCTCGTCCTCTCTCCAAGCGCGGCCTCCGCCCGTCATCGAGTTCTTCTTGTTCCTTGCATGCACCGAGACCTCGACGGTGTGGGCGGAAATAGTTTGTGTGCGAGACATGTCCAAGTATCGCCTTGTGGAAGCGTTGCGGGTTGTTTCCGTAGTATCAGTAAATTGGCAGCCAGGCCAAGTGTTGATACCGATTTATCAGTCCTTGTACTATCAGGTAATGCTGCTAAGTTTTGTCTTAAACGAATGGTACTGCTGAGTCAAGGTGTGTGTGTGCCGAAAACGAGAGAGTCGGTTGAGGATTAAGTCGAGCCTTTTTTGGTTTCAAGAGTTGCGTATTGAGGAAAAGAATGTCCGAAGGCCAAGCCAGTTGGTCAACAAGAAAAAGAATGTCGAGTCGAGTTGATTCGAAAAAGAGTGTGTTGCTCGTAAGCGTTTCAAGGAAGGACTGTTAATACGCAACTGACAAACCCAAAAAAAAGACAACTGGTTGTAAGAAACAGCGCTTCAATATCCGTCAAGGGAAATGAAGACCAGAGAAAGGAAAAAAGGCCAATAGAGAATGCCGGGAAAAGACCACGATAATATAATGACAAAAACGACGGCGCGTGGATCCTGAGCGAAGCCGCCTATCATGGTATTATCATGCATGCAGAAACAGCTTGGCGGGTTGGTGATGTTTGGAGGGGCCGCGACCCTGCTGCATGCGTCAAGGGGAGCCCCTGGTCAACTATGAGATCTAGCTTTGTTACAGGCCGGTCAAGCGTGCGGGGCCTGTCGCCTGCTATTGTTTTATTTATTTCTTTTTTATTTTATTTTCCTAACATGGCCATATGTAGTTACAAGTTGGGACTTGTGAGGGGAGGCTTGGGAGGGATGGAGGGGGGGTTGATCTCGGTCTGGTCTCATTTTCGTCAACTTAAAAAACTTGCTAACTAATTATGCCCAGTGTGCCTCGTTCGTCCCTGGTTTGAGGTGGACAGTGACATTTCCCAGCAACCCACCAGTCTGATGATGACGTTGCCGCGTCGCTCCCCCCCCCTCCATGCTTGTCGCAAGCGGGAATTGTTGCATAATGTTCACAGGTCATGAGCATATTCAGTCTCGTTTCGATTATGCACAATTGTCCACGAGGACCAACGTGCTAAACAACGGAGTCCACCGCGACCTTACACCGCCGCCGCTGCCGCCGTCGAGGGTATCCGTCCCGTCGTCACAGGTTGTCGCTTTGTTGGTGGCGAACCGGGTGGTCCTTTTTCCATTCTGGATATTGTTCGTGGTCTTGTCAAAAGTCGATACCCGCCTCGACTCAATTTGGCGTTTTAAACACCTTTGGATTGGCCCAGTGGTGATGAAGGAACCTGGTTCATATGCCTTGGCCGTTGGCTAGCATATCATCTGGAGCATGTGCCAAGTCGTGTATGCAGTGAAAATCCTATAACCTGTCAAGATATGGTAGCTGCCATTCAGGTACCTCATTATGCAGCCGACAGCATGGACGAGGTAACTCACACTACAAAAGCCTGGAGAGTGTCTTGGCATCCGATCTATTCCTCTGGATTTAGGAACAGAGTGAACTTTACATTAGTCAATAGCCTCGCGACTCCACCACTGACGTTTTGGTCGTCGCTTGTGTGTAGGTTAGCGTCAGGGGTGTCCCGGCCAGACCGGCTCCCAGCAAAATATCAGTAACTATGGACGCAGGGCAGCAAAAATCCGTTCATGGCTGGCAAGACTAACACCTTGGTCCCGACGCTAGGGACACGCAGTATGAGGCAAGTCGACACTGTACCTGTAGCACCAGATCCCTAGCCGGGGGTATATTTGTTTAGTTTGAAGACGACCAATGTCGAAACCAGTTGGGGTGATCTGTTTCGTGGCGGAACTGTGTAGTGGTCCGTTCAAGTGGCAACGAGCGAGAAGAAACTGTCATCTTTTCTTCGTCTTCATTATTCGCCTTTCGTCTTTTAGTTGCAACGAGTGCGGAGAAACTGTCATCATTTTCTTCATCTTTGGCTTTTGGTGCCTCGTTCTCCCAAATTGCCTGTGCAATGCGCGGCTATTCCGTTGCCGGGTTCAAGCCACAACGGGAACGCCAATCGGCCCCCTCGAGCTCGAAAATCAATTCCCGTGGCCTTTTCAGTCTCACGCAATAACCCGTTCATTCTCGTCCAACTTGCTTTTTTGTTTGTTTTTTGTCACCATCTGACGTGAAACCACGGCCTGGCGAAACCAGCGTCGCCAGGCGCGGGGAGGGTAGCAATACAGGGGCCCTGTCCATCTTGAAACAGGACTAACGCACCCGGCCTATTCTCACCTCGGTGTCAGCTATTTCATTAGCCCTTGTCGGCGAGATATATCAGTACGCTATAGTCGCCACGCGGAATAATAGCCCACAAGTGAAATGAAAAGAAAGAGGTGGCGCCGGCCATGCATGATCCGCATGTCGTTCTACTTGGACATGAGGGAGATGAGCTGGCGATGGGCGTCAGGCAGACTGGTGGGGGTAAGAGGCTCAGCGGTTTTGGGATGCATCCGAAAACGAGCCCTGTCGATGTGCATTTCCCGAGTAATAAATCGACGAGAGAAATGAAAACCGGTTTCTCGCAACATGGCTCCGGAGTTAGCCGCGGGGGTGACGCATTCGTGTGGTTGAGACGAAACGGCTGGTTACAGAGGACTTGGCTGTGTCATGTCACAATTGGCCCGTCGAATTCAGCTACAACCTGAAATCGTCGACCCAAGAACAATCGTCACTTTCTTTTTTCCCAGCTACCATCTCGGCAGCGACACGAGATTGAACATGTGATAAATACCAGATTTCCGCAACGCATGAGCGAGCAGTCCTCTGTCAATGTCGATTGTTGGATGCGCATTGCGTGCACCGCCACATTGCACCTTTGCTTTCAACTTTCGGCGTCGTTTCGAGCTGCGGCCTTTGCCGTACATCGCCCGCTCATTGCATATGACATGTCAACTTTTCCTTGGCCGGTAGCGTGCTATACGTGGCATGAGCATGAACTTGTGATAATCCGTGATATTGACAAGTTCAAATGCATAGCCGCGAAGAGACCAGGGCCGGAATTATCCGTGAGCGCAAGCCTTATCGAGGCAGCCCGCAAGCCCAGCCCAGACGAAACGAGGCCAGCCTCACGAATACCAGACGATACCAAGCGATATCAAGGGGTCGACAGCCAGACACACGGGACCTGGTCGTGCCGATCGAGGTTCTGCATCGGGGCCTTTTTCAGGTCTTGAGTGATCCGCCAGGAGGCTATACGAGGCAAGGGCAGGAAAGCCTTGCGTAGAGTGCAAGACCATGGCCCAGGCAGTGTAATTTGCACCCTGTGAGAATCGTTCGTTTGGCAGGGAGGGCAGAGAGCAGGGATGTCGTTTCAAGCCGTTTGAGCAGCGTTTGGGCCGTGTCGCGGTACAAAGTCATCAAGTGGCGGTAAAGACGTCGACAATGTTTTAAACCGCCATTATTTCCAACGTCCACGTAAGACTCGACCGTCAACAGTCGGACAATGTTGTGATTTGGCAAAACACGGCTGCAAAGGAAACCATGTCAGCAGCATGGTACCATATCCACGTGCCTCATGCATAAACCCTCATATCCCGCTCTACTAATTTGTTAAGCATTGAATATGTCGATTGTTCTGCAGCTGTCATAGTGTGCATAGTCGGGAATGACGTGGCAGACACATCTCGCTTCACAAGCGCTCTAGCCCCCCAATCTTCAGCCCTGGAGTTATTTCTGGAAGCGAGCCGTGGCCTCATTGATTAGCGTACCAACAGACTGGTCACCGTCATTTCTCAAAGCGACTGGTTGTTGCAGCCCAGTGGGTAAAGGCGGGTATATTGTCTGCCCAGCCGCATTGGCCGAGGCGAGACCAACAGTCATCTTCATTCTAGGTCTAGAAATGCACTTGTATCAGCTTCAAGAGGCTGGGCCGGGAAACGCCGATTCCGTTCTAGGCATGCTCTGGACCGTCTTCAAAACTTGCGCAAATACTGGCGGCTTTGTTTGACAGCTTTGGAACGCGTGGATCGCCTTTGCGCCAATTCTCTGCCAAGGGGTCGTCAGGATACCGAGGTCCATCACGGAGCTGGAAAACGAGCTGCGTATCTCGTGCAATAGTCCGGTAACATAGTTTTTGACGAGGCCACTTGTTGAAACTATTCTTGCAATGTGGAACGTGCTAGAGAAGTGGCGAATGTGAACCAAGCCTTTGTAAATTAGTAAAGTGCACCACCTGCATCCATGAAGGGCGAATATGGATTACAGAGTGGACATCCTAAATAGCCCATTCGCTACAGCACTATCATGTCATAGCTTATAAGTTTCTCATATGCTAGAGGACTTACTTGATGTCAAGTGTTTATGGGACAATTACTCCGCTGACCTATACGCTGGTGTACTGATGGTGAGTGGCCGCATGCTGTTCGTGACATCAACAAATTTCATGGTACGCGTCCTTTGATGGCCATGACATTCATCTCAAAGACGCAGCTTGAAAGAGCAATGCGTGGACGTGTCTTTGATACTATACTGGAGTTCTTGAGCGGCTTACACGTTCGGAAGCACCCGCAACGGTAGGTACACATCCGATAAGTAGCAGGCGCTTGTGACCAAGGTGGGGTGATGATGGCGAACCATTGGGGTTCGATACGTTTCGGTCGCGTCAAGTCAAACTGGGGTTTGGACAGTAGCAGAAAACTATTCGGACACCGGAGGTTTGGGGCAAGTCAGTGGAGGAACAAAGTCACCTAGACGAGAGGAGCCTTTGCTTGATGAGGATGCAATACGGCCAAGGCGCAAAATAAGACAAAGGGCTTGAAGTAGCTAGAGGCTGGGACGGACAGTCAAGGCTGGTCAAAGTATCGGCGTGACTGCAGACGGGCGTGACTAATCTAAGCTGCACCGAGGAGATTTCTATGCCACGACGGAAATTGCGAGGATCCGCTGGCGCGTGCATTTTGCGACGAACGGACGCTGGCCGTGGCGACCGCAACGAGGAATATGTCTCATTGCACCGGCTGGGCAACCATTGTACGGATTGGAGATCGGTGAGCTAGTTACATTTTCTGGTCTGGACAGGCACTGGAAAGAGCGGTAGGGGAGACAAAGAGCGGTAGGGGAGACAAAGAGCGTCAGGTGAAGCGAATGCCGGAGTCAAGGGTGGGCTGAAAAGCGAGTCGTCGACAGGCGGCTGCGGGCAGAATGGGCGAAGAAAGGAAGCTCGAGCCTGTGATGCCACGGGTTGGTAGTGGCTGGTGAAGGTGGCGCTGGAACAGAAGTACCGGATACGGCCATGGTACCGGCAGAGTGGACCAAAGTGGCCCGAGTGTGGCGTGGTGGGACTGGTCGTCCTGTGGAGGAGAAACACTGTGCAGACAGGGCGCAGCATGCAGTGCCAATACAGTGTGATAGTACAGTGCAACCAGACACCAGCCACTCTGAGCCCCACTCTGAGCCGAGGGACTGGACGAGTACCTTGGCAGTCCCCCCGACCTTTTCATTTGTACCTCGTCATCTCCCTCCTACCTCTTCCTCCTCGACTGCAGCTCTCTCTCCTCTCACCTTGGCCAAGTCCAGTGACCTTGCCAGCATCCAGGCTACCGGCCCCCCCAAAGCCTCGCGTGAGTGACTTGCGGATCAAGTACCTCTTTTTACACCCTCCACCATCCCGCACCACTGTTTCCTCAGTGCTTCCACTGCCCACGCCCACTCCTACTACCTACGGTAGGTATCTACTATCGTCAGCAGACCTATCTTTCAAGGTTCCACTGCGTGTTTACCGCGACAGCAAACGTGTCGCGGGAAAACGGCGACTCAGGAATCGGAAGAAGAAAAAGAAGAGCTGCGTGGAGCATTTCTGCTCTCCTGCTCGCTACAGTACCAGGTATGTCGACATGCAGTGCGCGTTTTTTTTCTCGTCCGTCTTTATTTGGTCGTCTGCCCTCTCCTGTCTCCCCTTCCCGACTTGGCCATGTTCGTGTCATGGTCGTGTCTCTGGCCACTCCCCAGCCACCTTTGCGATGCCGCGCCACGTTCTTCACCACCACACTAGCTACGCCTCGGGGCTGGAAGCACTGTCACTGACACCCACTTGTAGTGCTTTTCTTTTGCTAGAGTCGGCACCCGATTGGCATTTCATCCAATCCACGGAGCACCAAGGACTAGAGCAGAAAAACGGCGGCATCGTCTCGGCGCCATCACCATTCCATCATCGCGCTGCGCTATCTTGCTCTTCGCAACCTAACAGATTTCCCTGCCTCCCGATTTCCATCCGACTCCTTCTCTACCAGCCCAAGCGAAGCGACGCTCACTACCGTCACTAGTGCGCAACACAGGCTCCACCAGCGACAAAGGCAACACCATACAAGTCGCTTTGAAAAGAACTGCGCCTCCGCAGTGGTTACTTGCAACGCCCTCCCTCTACTAGCGGCCCAAGGCAGCCAGACAGGAGACTGTACCATTCGTCTTCCCAGCCACCACCACCAGCCACGGCTGCCCCGTCGCGCTTCACCACGGCTTGTCAGGACTTGTTCGATCTTGCTTGGCTTTTGCTTTCTCGCCAAAAGCAGCGGCCGTACCTTGCCGTACCTCTCCCACAACCTCTGGTCCTGGTTGTGTACTTTTGTTGAACATATACGTCTTCATCCCCCATTTCATGTAAGTTTGGATGACTTTTTGGCACGTCTGCACCTTCCCCTGGCGCGCCGTTTCCGCGCCGATTTGCTCCCTCTACGCGGCCCCTACCCCTTGCTTTCATTCTTGTCGCGCCGCCCCACGTCTTCAATCAAAAGCGCTCCCGCATCCGATCGGCGCCTGAAACCATCGCGAACCAGCAAACTCTTGTCGTCCTGTTGCCTGTCGCCCAATTCTGTACGACTTTTGACGCGCTCTCGTTGCGCCAATTTCGCTGCCATTGCTTTTCGCGACCCGACTTCGCCGTCTTGTCGCGTGCCAGAGGCTTGAACAGCCGTGGCGCTCGCCTCGCACGCCCGTCCGCTCATCGCATCCTCCATTCGGTCGTCGCATTGCAGCAGCAAAAACAACAAGAAGAAATCAAGGGGCGGCGAGAGCGTGCAGGAGCATACTTCCATCTCGGTGATTGCGCGCCTTGTACACACGGGTCGTGGGGTTGCATCTTGTGCAATCATCTTGTATATCTGCGACAATCGCCCCGCCAAGCATCACCACTTCCGCGCGTCTTTCCACTGCATTGCTTCACAGTCCACCGCGCATTACCCTCCACAACATCTGCGTCTGTTCTTGATTGCTCTCTGCTAACACGTCTGCCCAACAGTCGCCAAGATGGAACAGTGGCAGGTCGGCCCTGTGCCCGAGTACGTCTACTCAAACTCCACCCACCCGCCAAATGCCATGCAGTAAGTCGCGCCTGTCACCCCTGACATGATTTGTTTTCTTCTCTCCCCTCCCCGACGCATGCCTCTCTTGACCGGCCCCAGCCTGCTTGTTTTCCCCGGCAAACATGCAGCTGTCGCCGTGTCCTGGCCCACTGGCTGTCCTACACCTAAGCTCCACGTTGCCCGTATCACCGCCTCTAGAGCACTGTAGCCATGTTCCCACGAAAGAAGCGCTTGGCTGTCCGTTGGACAGTCCCAGGCGCAATTTCAACTCTGCTGATGGATTGCTTGTCTCTTGCCGCTGCATATACATTCCGTCGCGCTCGCCATGTTCCTGTCAGGGTGTCCACCTCTCTTTCCTAGTCTACGTCAATGCTAACCCAGCTTGCCTTGATAGCAATAATCCCTACCAGGCCACCGACATGGCCGCTAGGCGCAATGAACGCATTGAATTTCCCTACCCTGCGCAGCCAGGCATGCCGCCGCACCAGCAGCAACACCCGCCTCCCGTTCAACCCTCGATGAATGTGCCGCAGCCCCAGCAGCCGCCATCGGGCCCGGGCTCCCAGCAGCAGACGCCGACTCCGACTCCGCAGCCCAGCCGCCAGCGCAAACGACCAGCTCCTGGTACCGCGCCTTCGCCGGCTACCCCAGCTGCCGTCCCGGTTGTCGCTCCCGGCCAGCCTCCAATCCCAACCCCGCCCAACGCTCAGTCGGCCCCGCCTCCCGCCGCGCCTCCCGCAGCTGAAGACAGCACGCCCTCCCAACCTCCGGCAAAGAAGAGTAGAACCAACACCCCGTGGACCCCGGCCGAGGAATTGCGACTCAAGCAAATGCGCGATGCCGGAAATAGCTGGGCCGAGATTGCCAAGGTGAGACGACTATGGAAACGCGCATGTTTTGGCGATTTCGCCGCCAGCACATACTAACTAGCCAACAGACATTCCCGACGAGAACAGAAGGCTCCGTCAAGAAGCACTGGTACAAGGTTTGTTGCGAATACGTCGATGGCTGTGGGATTATTGCTAATGTTGGCACTACTAGGACATGCATTATGCCGAGTTTGCCGAGGATGAAAGCCAGGCGCTTCTCAACGCAATCAAGGACTACGAGAACAACAAGTGGAAGGTGATTGGCCAAAAGGTTGGGAAACCGGCCAAGGCATGTGAGCAGTACGCCAAGGAGCACTTTCCGGATCTCTTTGCCAGCACCAAGCGATGAGTGGTGCGGACGCCATCGCTAGGGCCTCTGGCCTGATGACCTATGAACAGTCTTTGACTGCTTGACGTCTCCTTTCTTCTTAATTAATACTTGTCGGCGTGAGCTCACCCGAGGGCAGCAGAGCAGAATGGCACCCTAACCTCTGGACGCCACTTCATTTTTCTTTGTTTTTTCTTCTTCTTCTTCTTCCTCGTGGGATGGCGGGACTGGCTTCCAAGATTGGCTTCATCCGCACATGCGGCATTATTCATTAATATCGAGTCCCGGGAGTGGTTTATTTTGACGCTTTAGATTATGTGCGTTTCGGTGTATCTTTGTACGACAGGGACTTTTTTTTTCCTTTTGAATTGAGACGGGTGGGTAATTTATTGCAGGCGGGCTCGAGGCCGACTGCGGAGCGGTGGACTACTCGTTGTCTATTTCCTTTGTTTATTTGTTGCCTGGAGGAAATTGATGATGGGATTCAGGGATGCCACTACTGTTACTGTATAGGCGAGTTTTTGTTTTCAAAAGTCGTTTGCCATATACTGGTCTGTTTGAGGAGGACGATACCTTTAGTTATACCCCAACACAATGCCCGTTTTTCGATTTCAGGCAAGATGAAGTGGCGTGATGATGTGGAAAAGTGTCTTGATGCACGACAGGACGTAGACGGATGACTGCAGAGTGGGCGTAGGGATACAAGAAAACTCTGTACTCGGTACGGAGAAGAAGAATGTGAATCAAGGTTACATTGTACTTGTATGTAGACAGGGAATAAGTGGCCCGTCAGCCGTTTTCGCGGTGTGGGCATGGATGGTACGAGTTTGGCATTGAGTGACGATGAATACTTGATGCTTGAAGCACCCTGCTGCTTGTTTGGGTAAGAGTAGGATAGATCTATGTACGGGAGGTCCGGGGAATATTGGAATGATAGATGTCAATGTGCGGGAGGTTCGGGGAATAGTGCACGTGCAGAGCCAAGATGGCATCGGGTCCGCCACGAAAATTTAGACTTGGGCGCTTAGCCTGCTTTTGGCTCGACTACCTGTTCGGGCGAGCTGAATACAGACATGGCAGCCACGTTAGATAAGAAGTATTTGAGCAGACGCCAAGCGAGTCAGGCTATATAACTAGAAGCCCGAGTGCCCCTTTTCTGGCGTTGTGAATTTTCTTTTTCTTTTTCTGTTGAGATAGTTGACCAAGACAAACTTGAACAATCTATAAAGCGACAAGAAAAATCGCATTCCGTTTGGCAGACACGGGATGAGCCACGAGTCAGGACCTCGACGTTGCATGAATACCCAGCTCATACCCTTGGCGGACCCTTGCCGGTGACAAGGCTTACAGCCGACCATGAGAAGCACCACCACCACGACGGATCAGCTGCTGTTTGACGTGCCCCTCGAAGACACGCAACCGCCGCCGTACGAGAAGCAGGAGCGACTGCCGCCGTCGTACCACGACATCAAGCGGGCGGACCGACACGCAGCGACGGGGTTGAGGGGCTGGCTGCGTCGCCGGTTTTCCGTGGAGCGACGCTTCGAGACGGTGACGCTCGGGAGAGTCTTGTCAAGCGCCGCGGCCACGACGACGAGAGGTACGTTGCGATGCTGCGTTGGGGGGGTGCGCCAAAAGAATAAAGGAAAGTTTTGGGTGGGAGGCTAATGATGACTACAGGAGTTGGTGGTTCTGTGGTGGTTTGTTTTGGGGATTGTTGTCGATGATGGGGAGGTATTTGGATATAGGGTGGCATATGACATTTTTCAGCGTCCTTGCAGAGCGGGTTTTTAGGTCAACTTTTCATGGCGATTTTTTCGGAACGGCTAGGCACAGGTGGCCCGAGCCAAAAGCAGTTACAATACGCAGTATGTATGTACTGTAGGTACAGGTAGTTACCGCCTTACGGGGCTGCACATTAATATCAGATCGAGTGCGGATATATATTCCGCAACTACCTACCCCAAACCCCCATACCAACATCTCCATGCCCCCTGACAATACCCCCAAAAACGATTCAACAACCGAAAGCATGTTTCAGTGACGGAAGACCCCTGCGAATTGGGCCCGGTCAGCTGTTGCACGAGGCATTTTATTAGCACCGACGCTAATCTGGAGAAAAGCCTTATCCTTGTGCTTCCAACGGCTTCGCGACTGGTCCCAAACGAGAATGGCCGTGTGCGCCTCGCGGGGACTCGTGGGACTTGTCACCAAATAACTACCGAATGGACGACCAGGTGCAGCAAAGCCATGCAGAAAATCTTGGAAAATAGGCTAATAAATTCACATTACATAGAATCATCCCCTCTCCAACTTTGTGATGTGATCGTCTTGTCTGCAAAGTTGCGGCCTCAGCCAGCAGCCCTGCAGGGCTAACAAGTGAGCAACCCGCGGGGCTGAAGTGGGTGTGCCCGCCATTGGTCTACCGAGACGAGATCCTCTTTCGAGCTGAGCTTCCCCTGGCCGTCTCATTCCCTTTTGTCAACGCGAGTTTATGCCCTGGGCCGCCCTTGAAATGGGCATGTGAGAATAAATAAAGAACCTGGGGCCGGCCACTTGTGGCGCTGCCCCTGCGTCGCAACTTTTTTTCCCCCCCTACGATTTTTGACTCGCCAAACTCACGATGGCCTCACGCCTGTACGCGGTCGCCATGGTGCTGGCCGCTGCCGTCCGCGTCCGCGGCGACGTACCATTTATCACGGAGCTCGACATTTACAGTCAACTCGTACGAAACCCCCCTTCCCCCAGCTTCACATCATCCCCCCAGACTAACACAACAAAAAGGCCCCCTGCGTCACCTCGGCCGTTGCAAACGCCTACCTCTGGGAGCAGGACACGACGGCGTGCGGCTCCGAGCCGACCAAGCTGCAGTCGTGCGTCTGCACCAACACGGCCGAGCTCGGCAAGATGAGCGTGTCGATACGCAGCGCCGTCTCCTCGCGCTGCGGCACCGACGCCGACGCCGACCAGACCTCGGCCGCGCGCCTGCTGGACAAGTACTGCCACCCGGACAGCACCATTACCTTTGCCACGCCCACGACCAACATCATCCCGGGCGTCATGAGCGACGTGGCCGCCATTTCCTCCCTGCCGCCGTGCGTGCAGTCGGGGCTCTCGGCGGTTGTCAATGCCGCGGTATGAAAAAATGAATGCGCGTGATGTACCGGCGTGAGCAGGTGTGCTGACGTTTGTTGCGTTCTAGCCGTATGAGGGCTGTCCGACAGTCGCCAACATGTGGGCGCCGTGCGCGTGCAGCAAGAAGAACATTGTCGACCAGATTCGTTCCAGCCTCGGCCAGCAAGTCCGCTCCTCGTGCTCCAATGCGGATGACGTGACCCTGGCGTCCAACTTTTACACGCAGTTTTGCGCCATGAACGAGGGCACCACCTCCTTTGCCGCCATGCCCGGGCCGCCGGGTGATAGTGAGTGCCGCCACCATCTGTTTATGTCTGCACACAACAACCGCTGACATGAAAAAAAGTGACGTACTACATCACCGCCCTGCCTCAGTTCGCCTCCCTGCGCGCATGCGCCCAGAGCGGCGTCATCCAAGCCGTCATGTCGGTACGATCACCCACAACCTTGCTCGCATTCTTCTTCAATGCTAACAAACTCACGTAGCAATCCTCATACCTGTGCGCCTCGGGCCCGCAGGCCCTCGCCTCGTGCGTCTGTCTCAAGTCGGGCATCCTCGGGAAAGCCTCGCAGACGCTCACCAGCAGCGTCAAGTACAACTGCGACAACACGGCGCTCGCCGACGTGGCGTCCGCCGCCGCCGTGCTGGACTACTACTGCCAGGCCGCGCAGAACAAGGTCGTCGCCACCGTCAGCCAGTCCATTGCCGAGACCAAGGCGACGAGCCTGAGCCTGGCCACGCGCCCGACGTCCGGCGCCAGCGCCGCCCCCAAGAACACGGGCGCGGCCGGCAGTGACGGCACCGGGTCCAAGAAGAGCGGCGGTCTCGGCAAGGGCCCCATCATTGCGATTGCCGTGCTCGGCGCGCTGGTCATTATCGGGTTCGTCGTCTTGATTGCGCTCTTTGTCCGCCGCCGCAACCGCAAGGCCAAGGCGGCGGCCGCGGTGGCGGATCCCGCGGCGGGACAGTCGCCGTTCCCGCCGCACTCGGAGCTCGCTACCAACTCGCCGTCGTCGGAACTGGACGGCAAGTCGCCGTATGTGACCCCGGCCGTGGCGGAAGTGGCGGGGATGCCGAGCCCGTACCGGCCCGCGCCGCACGCTGAGCTTTCAGGCGCGCCGCAGCCGCAACACGCCGTCTCGCCGAGCGAGCTCAGCAGTCCGGGATCGCAACATGTTCAGGGGCGCAATAGCCCGTATACCACGAATCAGCACTGGCAGCCACCTGCGCAGACCGTGTACGAGCTGGATTCGTCCAGTCCGGGCCCCCATGCAAGGTAGAATGTGTGCCAGGGAGACCAAAGACAATACATTCTTGTACATTAATCAGCGTCAATTTGATCCTTCTTTTACTTTATACATGAATATGCACCATAGGAGCCGTGTTTACATCTTGGAACCGTGTGGGATTCTCTGACCAAACGGTGCGAAATCGGGCAGCTTTTTTCCCCAAACTAGGCGGCAATCCCATTCGGCGCGCTCCTTGCTCTCGTCAAATCGGGCCCCTGTTGCCGGCTGACCGACGTCGGGGAGCAGCCATTCCCGGAAGCCGCCCTCGCCTTTGAGAATGGAGCGGCGGGCCCGTCTCGTCTGCGAGCTCGTCCTTGTCGCGCTGGCTATCCCACGCGAGGAGGACGCCGACCACGATCCACGTGAAACTGAACATGACGTTGCGGCCAACAGACAGCACGTCAAAAACGCAGTCCTTGTTCGTCCGCAGACGGTTGTGCAAACGTCTCCCAGGACCGCTTGCAACGCGTCCACGGTACGCGTCATTTGCGATGGCCCGCAATGGCTCTGCTCAGCCAGGCAATGCATGTGCTCGAGGTGGTTCCGGCTCAGCAGGTGCCGCACGAGCTCACTGCTCAGAACATTGGTGGTGCCCTCCCAGATGGGGGTTGACGGAAAATGTCCCGGAGCGCGCCGGGCCATGTTGTCCGGGTCGTCCGGGTCGTCCATGTAGCCGACGCCGCCGAGGGCCTCGATGCACTCCTGCATGGTGAGGACGGCGTTCTTGCTGGTGACGGCCTTGGCGGCCCGCCCGTCAGCGCGCGCAGCACGACCAGGGCTTCCTCGCCAGCGTCGGGCAGCGGGCGGCGGCGCGGGGAAGCCGTTTCTCGGTAAAGCTCATGAGGGCGAACGGTGAAGAAGCCCGAGCTGGGCGAAGCCGCGCCACGCCGCACCTCGACGTCGGCGAGGCGTGCGCAGATGCAGCGGCAGCGCCCCCACAGCGGGTAGCCGAAACACGGTTGCGGCGCGCGCTGCGAAGCGCTTGGCCACGGTCAGGCCCCCGGCGCATGGCGGCGACCGAGGATACAAAAGGCCCACGCGCGCGTCACGTTGAGGAGGTGCGAGATGGTGTGGCGACGCCGCGGTCGAGCAGGCTGACGAGATGCGCGCGCATGTCCGTCATGGCGAGCTCCGCGGTCGGCAGCTGCCTGGTGCCCAGCTTGCTCTTGAGGCGGTGGATGCGCACGCCGTTGGTGACGACGGTGGGCGCTGGCCGTCCTCGGCGACAGTGGTCCTGGTCAGCGGCGCGAGAAAGGCGCTGGCCGCCGTCTTGGCGAGCAGCATGGTGACGTCGGCGTCGGTGGCCGAGGAGAAGAACTTGAAAAGCCCGACACGAGGTAGTCGGCCTCTGTCTAGACGGCCGTGTGCGCCCGTCTTTTGCGGCAGGGGAGAGTAGGCGCGCCCACGTCTCGGTGTTGTGGACGTCGCTGCTGCCTGCACGCTCCGTCATCCACTGGCCCGATGTCCAGTTGGTCGGTGCGGGCCGTCAGGCGCCGGTAGGCCTCGTGGAAGGGATGAGAGGCGGGTAGGTTGGGCAACTCGGCGCGGAGAAGACGGGCGGTGCCGTCGGTCATGGAGAGGGGACAGCCCGTCAGCCCGGAAACGGGTGAAAAGAGGTGGTTTCTAGGACGGGTGTTAGCGCACTGCTTGATGATTCTTGCGAGGGGGGGGGGGTTGGAGAAGCAGACTTTGCATGCTGGACAATTCGATTGTATTTGCCGTACTGATTCTCGTAGCCGATGGCGACAGTGCTGCGAAGTTGTTAGGGAGCGGCTCGAAATCCAACATCGGAGCCGGGCAAATGTACCCTTCCTGAGCACCCCATTTACGCAGGCCTCTCCAGCCTTCGCTCGTCACCAGTCTGTCCACATCATGCCGCGCACCCCACACGCTGTGCTTTTCCACAAACGGCGGCTGCCTCTCCGCGTTGAGGTTCCATTCGCGTATCTGCGGCGAAATCGTCTCTTGCGCGAATGCAGTCAACGCCGGCGTCACTTGCGCGAGCATCTCTTTGGGCAGGTATGCTGAAGAAGCTGGGTTAAATAACTTTCTCTGTTTGGAGGGTTTGAAGCTTGCCGTACTGCTGAGAATGCGCTGGAAATAGGGGTCTGCGATGTAGGGATTTTCTGGAGGCGACATGGAAAAGATGAAGCCGGCCTCGGCGGTGGCTGGGGTTGGATCGCGTTCGGCCATGCTGCTTGTGTACTCCAGATGCTGCCCGTATGTAAAGTCATGAAAATATATATGTAAGCTTATGTGTGCGGGTCCCTGTCAAAGGTATAAAAGCTTGCGGATTGTTGAATCCGGGACTTCATGGGGCAGGCTTTCTGCGACGCCCACTTTGAGGGCGACGTAGCCTCCCAGCCGCTCATCGCGAGCGAGCCAGACGGTGGACCAGCCGCCGTAGCCGAGCTTTCCGACGACACGGTATCGATGGTCTAGGACGTGTCCAATCTCGACTGGATGATAGCCTCCCTCGGCATACAGGTCCAGCCGCTCCACGCCGTTGATCCATTTGTATTCAGGGGCCTGCGCCGCTGTCGAAAAGTGAAGCGATGTAGGAGAGCGACCCTGGGCATGGCGGAGCGGACACCGCAGCGAGGGCGCAGCTGGGACGGCAGCAACGCGCGAGACCCGGCGAGCAGTCGAGCGGCAAGCTTTGTACGCGGTAATACAGCTCCTTGGCAGCAGCATTCTAGTATAGTGGGAACGGGCGTGTGTGGTCAATGGCGTTGATGAGGATCGTGATGGAGGGAGGAGCTGTAGAGGAGAGCGGCCAGGTTGGCCAGAGAGGTGGTAGCCCCCAGCCTTGCTGGAAATCCACCACCAAGATTAAGAACCACCAATTTACAAACTGCAAATTTATCAGAAGTTTCTCTTTTCTCAATGAAATGCACTCCTCTCGACAGCACAGCTTTTTTAGGGCCGACTGGCCAAAGATGGGTTAGTTAGCTACAACTTGGAGTAAGTAAGTCCTATCCTAATAATTGAACCGGCGGTGGGATCGACAATAGAATGCTAGCCAGGTCGCTGCCTTACAGCTGAATATAGGCCTTGTCCCAATCAAATTTCACAGTCTCGTAATGGCCGAATTTAAACATGGACTCCATGCCGAGATCCTTGCGCAGCTCATTCAGCCCGACCGACAGCGTAATCTTCAGATCCTTGAGCTTCTTCCTGTCCACCGGCCTGTCATTGTCGTGAATCGCCGTCCACTTGAGATTCTTCTCCAAGTAGTTGCGGGCCGTCTCTCGGTCCACGCGATGATCCTTGTCCACCACGGCCGTCATCGGAATTTGCGCGCGCGAGAGGATGTGCTTCTGCTTCTGCTTGTAGCAGTTGGTGCAGGTGATTTCCTCCTCGCTGAAGCGCGCGCTGAAGGTGAAGACGTTGCCGATCAGACAATCCTGCTTTCGCCAGTGCACCTGCGAGTTGGGCTGGCCCAAGAAGAAGAGCAGGAAGTAGGGTGCGCCGTTCAGAGCATATCTGGAAAGTCATCAGTATCACCTTTGGCGGCCGTTGTAGACGATACGATACGTACCGATCATAAATGATGTTGATGACAGGGTCGAACTGCGGCGCCACCACTTCAAAGTCTTTTTTGTCAGGACCGTATCGCTTGTTAATATAGAGATTGCTCTTTTCCGGGATAATATCGCCAAACTCATCCGTCATTTCATTGACGTAGTCGTACGTGTAGTTGAGCGCGTCCGGGTTCCGGACCCTGTTGGAATCCCAAAAGTCCCCGGGCGTGTACGACACGTGGAACGGCTTGAGCGGCTCCTGCGCGCCGAATTCGTCAATCCCGCCCACGTTTCTTGTCCGGTGGAACCAGTTGGACGGGTTGGAGCATTGCCACAGGTGAAACAGCCGGTCAATGTTGCAGTGGTGCATCCAGAAGATGGGATCAAAGGCAGCGACTTCGGGAAACATCATGTGGCCATAGCCTTCTTTGACGGAAGAGCCGCCAACGTAGACCTATATCAAGACGATTAGTATGTCTCTTCATATCCAGAATCACAGTGACTCTGTAAAGAAGCATGGCTCACATGGATGCTGTTGTGGATTTGCTCCAAGTTCAGATACTCGCTGTCCGTTGCGCCGACGGCCTTTTCGCCCTCCTCTGGATCGTACTTGGTCGAGGCAAACCGAACGTATTTGGTAGCGTACTGTTGGGTGAGCAGGCGAAACACTGAGTCCTGGAGCGTTCGCTTGAATTTGTCCTGGCCCTTGAGGTTCCGGTTCACTTTGTCGACGTCGGTGTATCCCATCACCCACTTTCGCTCCGCGTCGCGTAGAGTGATGCCATGGCGACTGGTGCCGACGGGTGCTTCGAACTACAAGCTCGGTCAGTAACTTCCTGAAAATTCTCGATATACCGGGGACTGTGCATCATACGTCGTATGTATCGCTGTTGAAGACGATGCGATAGTCGCCGTACGAGTCGTCGCCCATGGGCTTCAGACCAGGCATCCGGAAGCGGTACATTGGGTTGTCAATCTTCTCCATTTCGGGGCGGCTTTCCTGTTTACCGTCCCAGGACTTGATCACCTCGATTTTCTCGCTAATGGCAATCTCAGGGAGACTAGTTTCGGCCGCCCAGTCCCAATACGGCAGACGCCAATCCTTTGCAGCAAGAGCCCAGCCACCAGGCTGCTTCTCACGGGTTCTGGCTTCCTCCATCATCAGGTCGCTGACCCGGCGCTAGATGGCCGTGTTAGTGTGTGACACGGGGACCAAGCGATTTCGGTACTTGCCTCAAAAAGCAGCATATAGACTCTGTGCCAAGTAGGAAACAAGTCGTCATTGTGACGGCAGTAAAAGCCGCCCTGGTCAGCTTTTTTGAAGTTATTGAGACGCGGGTCGCCTATGGGGATGATGGGCTGCCCCATGTTCCACGACACGTTGTATGGATGGCCGTGGATCCCGGCGATGCGGAAATAGGATGCCTGGTTTTCGGGACACATTTCTTGAAATGTCGTCAAGGCGCGGAGAAACAGCGACACCTGAAGACCTGTCTGGTAAGACGTCTTGGACTCGTTGTACCACATTCGCACGCAGCGACGGGTAGGGATTGGCTCTGTAGGGGAAATCTTGATGGGAATGACCGGGTAAGGACCTGGGTTCCGAATTAGAAACGTACATGGATGGGGTGTATGCGTTTAGGCTCACTGTTATCTTCCGCGATGTCGAGAACGAGGTACCCGGTATTCGCAAAAATCTCCCAGCCCTGGAAGCGAGCACAAAGGCGAACCGCGATGACATTGTTTGGCTGCATTTCTTGTCAGTCGGTCTCCAGAAAAGACTTGCCAGCCTGTACTTCTCACCTCGAGTGCCTTTAGAAATACTCGCCTCGTGTCCACCGTGCCGCCCTCGAGCCACTCAAACTTGGTCGAACCGACCTTGTTTGCGTGGCTCGTGGCAATCAGCTCTTGGCCGTCTGCCATCTTCTTGGGAGTCGTCGAGTTTTCGTTTTCGAAAATGGCCAACTGGAACCAAGTCCAGTTGCCCGACACTAAATCGCCGACCGAGCCCTGATCGTGCGATTCGGCAAACAATTTGACAGCACGAATCATGCGGATTGTTTGCGCCGTGAGGGGCTAGAAGCGTCAGTATTTGGTAGAACAAATGCACTGATGGATGATAGACGTACTGGTGTCTTGAACCAAGTCTCGGCCTGGACATCCTGGCTGGATGCCTTGACGTTGGCTTTGGTGGTAGACTTGACGACATAGCGGGTGTTGATCTTTGGGGGCTGGCTTTCCAATATGGGAAGCTTCTCAACCCCGGGTCGAGTGAGATGACTGAGAGTATCAAAGTCAGTCATTGTAGTTCAAATGTTGAATAAGCGATGTTTTCAGTATTTCTTTTTAGATTGTAAGTCGAGGTCGTGTAGCTTGTTGCTGGCACGTTGACACGTTGGCTTTATATAGACGTGTGGTCCTCCTTCCCACACCCGGGACGATGCTAGTTCCCAAGCTTCAGCATGTACTCTACCACAAGTCACTCAACAAGTTCAACATTGTATTTGGACTACATCCTCCTCTTGGGCATCAAGCTGCTGCATAGGGCTCCGACTGCACATCCACTCCAAATGCTAAAGAGTCATGTGCTTGATCAACTTTCCAGCTCGCCGTCCAGCTAAACTGGGGAACCAGCTGAAGTGTAGGTCAACATTCTGTAACTGCAAGAATACTTTATGCACCGGATACGTGGCGTCTCACATAGAGTCCCGGCAGTTGCAGTCGAGAGTGCCAAGGCATTTGAGCGAGGAAATGTAGAACATACGCGACGTCTTACAGCGGCTGTGAAGTGCAGTTTTCTGCAAGCCGATCTTGGCCACTTTTATATTTTCTATTTATCATTAAAGTGTAGGCGCCATAAATTTGTCGCTTGAAAATTGTTTACAAACTCGGGTCGACAGGTGTGGACGAAACCGGTTGACACCCGGCCACCTGTGCTCACTATTGGCGGGCAGAGTAATCTATGGCTAGATACAAGATAATAGCAGTAGTTTCGCCGATGTAAGTCAGCTTCTCAATTCACGATATACAGATGAATGCTCGTCTGCGTGGTTCTGCGTGGTTACGGAATCGGCCCTGTCGCAAACACATGCTACCTCGAGAAGGCTGCTCACGACGACGGAACTTTGCTGTGAATACTGATTCAGTAACAAATCTAATTACACAATACAGAAAGAGAGAACCGCAGAGGAGAAAGTGAAACACCAACGAAGTCCCAAACACGCCCTTTCCACGGCGAATCGGCCTCGTGATCTGCACCACCACAACAACCTGGAATCAGACCCCCCTTACTCTCAGTAACACTATATAGGCACTACCATGAGCTTTGTTAAAAAGGAGTATATTCACACAAAGTTATCAAGATATGGAGGGGGACAATAAAAGCCCATCAATGAAGAAAGGTCCTTTGTCGCCATTCTGGCGAGCAAAACACTGGTTACATCATTGTGCATCTTACTGACGGCGGATTAATGGCGCTGTCGCAAAACCTTATGCTGATTTCTGATTTCACCAACAGTGGCTTTTCCACCTTGTGTTTTTCCCTGGCACGTGGCCGCTCTACTACTTGACACTTGTCCGACATGCTTGTCAATGAGGCACAAGAACTGATGGAGTGACCGGACCAAGTCCGGGGTCTTAGGGGACGTGCCAAGTTTCGGCGAACACAGCCCGATTGTGTTGCAATAAGACGGAAAAAATGGGCTCTGCAGGACTTTGGGATACATGATAGTCATTTGGTGGCTTGCAGAATTCCTCACAACCGACACATATGGGCTGCCATCCATACTTTTACAAGATTGAGGGATTGCTGAGTAATGTGACTTGAACAGTTGCTCCAATGCGGCTATCATTTACGGGGTTGATCTACATTTGAACCCTCTCCGTCAGTGCGGGGGAGGCGACCGCAATGCACAGATGAGGATGGGGCAAAGCCGGCCGGCCCGTTTCCCGGACGGGGCTCAAGCGGGCGGCAAGACTGGAGAAGTAAGAGTAGCTAGCCTTGTCACAATTCTATGCTCTCAACACCTCTGTATTCCATGGCAAGATAGTCTCCTAGCCGCCTGAACTCGGCACATTGCCATCAGGGATGCCGCCGTGCGGAAAACACGTTTCTACGAGCCCCTCTTGACAATCCTCGGAGAGGGGTATTGTGTAGCCATCACCTATGCAATAAAAGTACGGTCGTAATGCGGACATGCAAGCAAGAGGCATCCTCTACAAGTAAATTGGGTCAGTGGCTGGCTGACGGGAGATTGTCACGGAACTGACCCCGTTGCCCGCTATTTGGCCACCCCGCTGAACTTGCCCGACAATAAATATATCTTACAGACACTACGTTTGAAGTTGAAGTAGTTCCTATACTTGCCATGGTATGGCGCATCGCTGCATGCCAAGAAATCACCCGGCACGCTTTTGCGTAGCGTCGGGTGATGCAGAAAGCCTACATTCGGTCTTACCATGGCCGCAACATTGTACGCAGTGTCGGCGTAGCATCTCCACGGGCAAATGAGGTCATGGATCTGCGCCTGGAGAAAATACTATTTGCATGTGGCTTGCACTGCCAAGACCTATCGCTCAGCTGGCAATCCCACCGAGTGAGCTCGACGGGGGCAGCCTGATCTTGGGTTCGGCAGACAGTCAGTCTGGTGCTGATGTCATTGGGCTTCTGTTCGGATATGGCAGGCAGTATCAACCGGCGCGTACATCCCATCAATTTTCGCTGGTACATTTCGGCCCAATCAAGCTATACTGTCCAAGTCAGTGGGAATAGAAACAACACAGAATGGAGAGCTGCGGCGGGCAGAGAGGAAGTTCTCGAGGGCATCAAATTGTGAACAGGGCGTACTAGCTTTCACGTACCACGTAAACTAATAATGTAAAAAGCGTAATTTGACCTTTTATTGCCGAGGAATGTCATTTTTGTCCTGGCTACCGATAAAAACACTGGAATCGCTGTCTGGTCGAGCTGATCAGTCGTGTGCTCGCGGGGCCTCGAGATCACAACGAGCATGTCTGTCCTAAAAGATGTTGTACCAAGATAGACGAATTAGCTTCATGTCCCTTCTTTCCAGTTCCTCTTTCAGTGCTGCAGGCGTCAGAGCTCTGGCTGCAAGGTCAACGAGCCAAAGCAGGACATTTCGCTCCGACTGTTGTGGTAGCCGCGCGGCTCCAAATGGCGAATGTGCGAATCGAGGCCGTGACACGCGTGAGGTAAGATTTCCTTCAAAAACAGTGAATAACCTAGCCTGTTAACTCTTGATGATGGGATCCATCACAGGTATTGCTGTCATGGCACGGCGCAACCCGACTCCATCATGAAGCTACAAGGCAAGGCAGTCGCATCCCGCGAGGAAGCTGCACGGAAGTGACGAACCACTCATGCATAAACAAATGAACTCTACAAACCCGGTAGATGGGTCGTTTTCCAGATAGATTACGCATCTGCATCATCTTATTTCCGCAGCATCTTGCCTCGACCACAGACAGTCGATCGACTCCCAGTCCTCCCCCGATCAATCAACGCCACAAACTGCTCAAACTGCCTCACAGAGCCAACAGCCATCCATGTCTCACTTTATGAAGCTCCCTTCGGAGATTCTCCACCGCATCATCGAGGCCACGTCCATCTACGCAAAAGTCAATGCCCTTTTACCGGCGGAAAAGTGGTACCGCCGGGTCGTCGACCGCGCATCGCTCTTCAACCTCGCGCTGACATGCAGACGACTGACCGACGTGGCGCTTCCGCGGCTATACCAGTCTCCGACTACCATGAACTATTCCCGCTCCCAGAGTCATGGCACCGCCATGATCCATACCCTCTGTAGCCGGCCCGATTTGGCCGCGCACGTCGTCGAGCTCACCCTAGGCGGCGACCTCTGGGGGTTTTACAGGGAACGCACTGGTGGCCTAAATATGAACGAGGGACCCGAGAGGTGGCGGTGGCAGGTTTCCCCAGACCAGGCCACGCTCTTCAACCAGGCCTTTCGCTACCATGGCATTGCTGACGGTGGCGCGGATGATCTCTGGGACAGCACCAATGATGCGATGGATGGCCAGCAACTCGCCACGGAGCCGTATCGTATCGAAGCCGCCAAGGCCCCCGGCGATGAAATATGTACCCATGCATGGTCCAACAAGGCCTGCAGCGCTCTCGCGGCCCTGGCCATTGTCAAATCGCCCAACCTGCGCCGCGTCATGATATCAAGTCGGAGCTGGAGGCTTCCGCGCACTGTGAGGCGATGTCCGACATTGGAAAGTCTGCAACGAGTGTCTTGGACGTGCTTTACTGATGAGAGGGGATTTCGCCTTGATAGCAGCTTAGATTGGCTGGTTGCGGCCGCACCTGAGCTTCAAATTCTCAACCTTTGGCCCCTCTACGGCATCGGTGACATTTTGCCTTGCCTCTTGACGGATCTCTCCGTCATAGACGTTCATCTGGGTGAGAATAGCATCCGGAGCATGTGTCGGGGGTTTCCCAAGCTTCAGCGCCTGACGTTCGTCAGTAGGCATTCCGCGTCCGGGGAGGGCAACGCCACCTGTACATTTATACTCGGTTGCCTGGTCGAGACGTACAAAACAAGCCTTGAGTACTTGTACATGGACTGCACCAAGAATGTACCGGAATTTGGTGCCGCAAGCGGATCACTGGCTCAACTTACGTCCATGACTGCACTAACCCAACTGATCCTGGTCGGACCACTCACTCATTGGGTCACCGGACAAAACGAAAGGATGTTCTGGGGCAGTCTTTTGGCGCCAAACCTGGAGAACCTTAGGTTGCGAGACGTCACGGGTCATTGGAATGCACTCCCACTTCTGTCAGCCATCGATTCCACCTGCCCCAAAATGCGCAAGACGACTGTTGATTGCGATACCACACCCAGAGACCACAAAGCGTTGGATTGCTTGGTCGGCGAGGTAGGCCTGAAATATGACTTTTGCATCACCCCCATCCCAGTTTATCGTGCTCCGTCAACTCAGAGCGAAGAAGACAATAGCGATAACGATGGCGATGATTCTGGCAGTGATGGCAACACCTTCGAGATGTGAAGAATACGGGGTCAAACTCTGGCGAAGACGACGATAGCGATGGCGATGAGAGGCTAATGATGAGAACGGCTTCCACATACATGAATAATAGTGTAACAGTATAGAGCCGCATGTATACATCCAGCGACCTAGTTCCAGCGACCCAGTAATAATACAAAATGACAGTTGCTTTAATACACACCCCCTTTTTTACCACATTGTTTCCTCCACCACCTTCTTCTGCTTGGTACTCTTAATCTTCTCCTTGCCCGGCACCCTGAAGTACAGACTCGGCGACTCGCCCGGTTTGAGCTGGTGGCTCAGGTACCCCCTGTGCGCCGGGTCTCTGTAGTACTCTATGTCCTCTCGGCCGGTCGGATCCGGCAGCCTGTACCGGAACCCCTTGGCCATGTCCAGCACACTCTCCACGTGTTCCTTGCCCACCGGCAGCGGCACGTCGGTATTAATCGACTCGCCCGTCAGCAGCCTCTTGATGGCCAGCTTAGTGTAGTACCGCGTGACAACCTTGCCGCCGGCGCCCTCGATGGCGGTAATGGCCGCGGCCGAGATGCGGCTGACCATGACGTCGATGGGCTGCTTGAGGCACTCGGCGCCGCGCGAGAGGATCTTGACGCCGTCCTTGACGCTCCCGAGGAGGCCGCACTCGATGAGCTCCTTGGGGGAGATGCGCCGCGTGGCGTCGAGACGGCCCTGGTCGATCCACGACTGGATCTGGTCGAGGTTGACCTGGGAGAGTTGGGGTGCGCGCCTGTGGGTTTTTGTTAGACTAAAACTCTTTCGCTACCGGCGGCAGCAGCGAGTTTGTGACTGCGGCCTCCTGGGATTCTGAAGAAACAAAACATACCAATTGGTAAACCCCTTGCGGCCGTGCTTGACAATCAGCGGCGTCTGACCACCCTGGAACCAGGGCCGGACGTGGCCGTGCTGGCCCTGGCCTTTGTGACCGCGGCCTGACGTCTTGCCGTGGCCAGAGGACGGGCCGCGTCCTACTCGCTTGCGCTCCTTGACGGCGCCCTTGTTGGGCGTGAGGTTGGCCAGGATGGAGATCGGTCGGGACTGGTGCTGCGGCTGCATCGAGAGGTGAGCGAGGCAGGCTGTCAGCGAAGAGACTTGTGTCGCTGGCCACGCGCGGCACGCAGCGGCAATGGCATTGTGGGCGAGCAATCTCGGCGGCATGGTTTCGGTACTGTTTTCGCGCCGCTGTCGCAATTCGCTTTTTGTGGTTGTGTCGTACTGAGAAAGCTGCTCGCCAGACAAGCCGTGATTTTTTGGGTCAGGAGGAGACCGGCCCACCCGCAGTACTGATTGGCTGGTACCTTGGTGCTTAATAGGACAGGGTAGTACCTACAGGCTCGGCCATCACCAATGCCTCCTCGAACAGCCATGAAAAGAGCAGCATAAAATAATTAACTACCTATAACGAATTCACTTCTTGGAAGCAAATTCCTGTTGATACAGATATTTCTAGTTTGCACTTTTTCAATCCCAATTGAAGCTCTTAAATAACATTAATAATCGCTATTCCAAAGTCATCCTCTAATTACAACCCTTTCTGGTCCGGGTTTTTCGCGCCATGCCTCTCTCAACACGCAAATAGTACAAAACTTTCCGTTCCACTCCCCAGGTACAAAAATGCAGCACGAAAATAACAGACTCTGCTTCCCCGTTATCCGCCCAGGTAAAAACAATAGGTGTGGTCTATAAGGAAGGTAGCAATCTCTTTCTCCGGAGAGAAACGACTGCTCAACGGCTAAATCTGCAAGAAGCAACGTAACTAATCCTTGTTTCCAATCCTAGAAGAGGCTTTCCAGTAGCCAATCCCATCCAACTCCGTTTCTTGAAAGAGGCCATTTTCTGCTTCGAGTATGTGCAATGTGGAAGAATAGAACGCCGCGCACTAGCCCGTGTGATACTTGCTCCGTCTCTGCCTTCGCCCGATGCAATCGTAAACAAAATACCCCACAGACTGTGACATAGCAATAAGCAGTAAAAAAGCGTGGCCCGGGAAATAAAAGAACTCCGCTCATTATGTGAAGAAGGGTGAGTCGTCATATCCAAAAGGTAGGAGCATCTAAGGGCTGGCCCAGCCTCCAGCAACGTCGACCCATTCGGCCATACATGAGCCTTCTTTGCCCTCAACATCGACAATGTCTGTGTCACAGCGGCAGCGGCAGCCAACGCCGTTCTCCTGAGGTTCGTCGTACTTGCTCCAGTAGTCGTCTTCCTCTTGGCGTTTCTTTTCGTCCTTGGTGTTGGGGTCGAGGTATGGGATAGGAGGGAGTTGTCGGGCCTCGGGGGCGTTGGCAGGGCAGTGCTGGATCGTGGTGTGACGGTAGCCAATGTCGCGGAAGTAGTGGACATCGCTAGGGCTAAGAAGAGCACCAGCAGCAAGAGAATGGATAGGAGCATCACCCCACTACAATCACAATCATTAGCTTGCCCGTTTGACGATAGTGGTAGAGTCAATATCAACTTACGCGCTCCATCCAGAAGCCACCACTGCGGTCGAGCGTCTCGAAGAAGTCTTGGTACTCCTTGCTGCGAAACCAGCTTAGACGGGCAATTTCAAAGTTGGACCAGAAATGGCACATGTTGTAGCTGTCGCCCTCCATGGTCTCGGGGTCAATGTCGGGCAGGGCGCCGCTGCCAGGCTCGCTCTGCGAAATCTCTTCGGGCAGGACATCCTTGATGACTTCGGGCTGCTTCTTGCGGGGTTCTAGGAACATTTCCCAGAGTCCCTTGGAGGTGATGTTGTTATTTCGCATGTAGGCTGAGGCATAGCGGAAGACATTGGGAACTGTTTCACGGAGCTCCTTGATAGCAATCGTGAAGCCGTATGTCTTTTTCTGCTCAATCATCTTGAGGAAGGGGTCACTGATGGGGTTAGTGCGGGCGACATTGGAGGGCAGAAAGGAACATACTAGGTGATGTCGCAAAAGTAGGTGATCTCGGGCTCAACGCGCCAGTACCATTCATACTTGAGTAGGAGAGGATGGTTGAAGAAGAACCTGGGTTGGTTAGCATTTTGGACGCACGCAGCGTAGCGGGAGACATACCCAGAGTAGAAGCGGCACATAAAGTGGTAGCTTTCGAGTCCACCGTACATGACAGCATTATCACCTTGCTTGGCGATACCCTCTTTGGCGACCTTGGTGTCGATCCAGTCAGGGAAACCCCACATTTCGGGGCCGACCTTGCCAAACTCGACAGTACCGGAGGTGTGATTGCGGATGGTCTCCTTGAAGGTCTCGTTAAAGTCACCGTCATTGAGGAAGACATAGGGGTAGTTGAACCAGCGGTTGAAATGACGCTCAACGGACTTGATGGACTGAAGGACACCTTCAAGCTCCTTGTTTCGGGCGAGGACGACAAAGGTGGCATTGGCTCTGGGTTGCTTGTTGTCGGGGGGTTGGCAGCCGGTGAGGAAGACTTTGTCGTATTTTTCACTGATTTTTCTTGGACATGTTAGCTTCATCATTGCAGGAGAGGAGCAATCAACAATCGAACAGTGCATACCTAATGGCTGGCGGTGCTCCAGCTGGGACGAGAATGCTGCCATTGTTGTTGGGATGGCGGACGAAGAGGACCAAGATAAGGATGACGACAATCAGAGGAAAGAGGATGACGACGCCAAGAGGCACAGAAACGGCCGAGTTTCCTCGCAATCGCAGCGGTCTCCGGAAGAAGGCAAGACGAGCAGCCCATCCTTTTTGCCTGGCACCGCCTCTGTTCTCGTCGAGCGTGGGCAGCTCGAGCTGGGCCGTGGGGATCATGCGCTTGGCCCTATGGAAGAGATCCATGGTGGGCGGCAGAGGGAGAGAGGATGTGTGTAGCGGAGGGGATCAACAAAAAATGAAAGCGAAAGCCGCCAATTTCAGTGTGCCGGCCCTATTCGTATGCTTCTCGAGCGTGGGGCATAGGCGCAAAAGGGGATGTAGTTTGTCGGGTTCAGGGGCAGGGGAGCCCGTGTTGTCGACCGGGGGCGTGCAGACGGATATCAACGTCGCGACGAGTCGAATTGTATCACACTGGGTCCCGGGTGATAAGATTCGATCGAGGAGAAATGGCGTAGCAATGTTGGACCGCGTGGCAGATGGGTGCGCCAAACGGGAGGCACGGGTAAACGGCTCGCAACCAAGGACGAGGGGCTCGGGAGCGCCTCACTGGTGTGGACGAAAAAGATGGGCGTATTGAAAACGAAGGGAAGAAGAGAAGAGAAGAGGCGAGGCGCACAAGTGTTCAAGCTAATGGACAAGACAATGAATGCTCTTGCAGGCTGGATACTCGAGACACCGCCAATGCAAGGCCGCTGGGAAAGTTGCAGGACAGCAAAGCAGAAAAAGAGATGAAGAGGCAGAGATGGGATGCTGGATCCGCAGTTTCGTGCTAGCTGCTCTGTGACTGGACAGAGTCTTTAGGAACCTAGGAGCCAACGCAAGAACGCTAAGCTGTCTGGGGCGTTTTGCTCGCCAAATGGTCAAGGCCGTTGAAATAAAAAAGAGCTCTCTAGTAGGTAACTAGTTATGATATTCCCATTGCAGTCCCAGTTCTTCCGAATTGATTTGTCTCTGCTGTGCCTCCCATGGATTCCTCGGGGTCTTGTCACTCATCAGATCCCTGCATTTTGGTCATAGCGGGCGTCCTCAGGTCAAAGAATGGGCCTAGGGGGCATCGCGCAATTGGCTCACCAGATAAAGATTATGTAACCTTGAATACAGCGTGTCGATCCGATTATAGAATAAGCAACAAACCAGCTTGCTTTCATTACACACGCAATTATCAGCACGAGAAGGAAGGAGTAAACGCCAGAACCCGGCAATAGGTAACATACGGCTAGGGCATAAAAATACAAATCCAGAGCATTCCTGCCGACGCCTGGCCACACAAGTACCTGCACCACTCGTAGGTACCATACACCTAACCTGGAGGACAGTTATGTCATGCACGCTAGTTACTGAGAACGGCTTCGTTTTTGTACACCCCAACTCCGAATTCACACTAGTAAGAGGCCGAGGAGCTAGTCTTACCGTTAATAAGGAGAGGACATTGTATGTAGTCAGTCATGTCTAGTGTTTGCCTGGCTGATATCAGATGCCAACTGTGACCTGTGTACTTGCCATCTGGGTTTCAACTAGGTAACAAAGCCAGCGATAAGATTTTTCCTCACCAACTTCTTCTACCTGATAAGACTATTTCTTCGCATGTTTGCTCTACCACCGAATGAGACGAATGTGACAAAGCTCTTCAGCGTGGTCTCTACTGCATGACCGCGACTTCTGCGAAAGGGCGGAATGGCGAGCTTATCATCACCGGCACCACTATACAACACGGAAATTGCCGAAAATGCCTCTCGTGGGATTTGTCGTTGTCGCTCGATTGCCTTACGATTGTGGTGATGACAGTCTGCGTGACCGAATCTGGTACAACAAGACCAGTGGCCAGAAGCGACCAGGTCTTTGTATCCAAAGCCCAAAGGTCATTGAATGCCATCGGAGGACATCAGCTTAACCTACTGGAAAACGCGTTGAACTCAAGGTACTGAGCCGGAGAAATCTTATTCCGTCGGTTGACCAAAGGTCGCTGTGGGCACTGAAGGCCGAGCATTGAACAGTGGACCACACCAGGCTGGTGATGCGCCAATCCCCAAACTTCACTAGTTACAGTTTGTTCCTCCAATTTGCAGCTTCGTCCTTGACACCCGTCTGTCGTCACCGACCCAATTGGCAGCGCATATTCGATCACAGGCCACGGCGCACCACCCGCAACCCGATTTTCATTTTTTGGTTCAGCTTCTGTGCCCGAGCATACACACCTTTCGAACGCCATGCGTGGCCGCCAAATCAGACCCGCGCGGGTGCTGCAGAGCGTCCAGGAGGAGCTCAAGAGCACCGTCATGGGCAGCGACAAGACGTACAAGCCGCCCTGGCTCAACATTGTCTCCTCGGTTCCCCCGTCCGAGACGCTCATCCGACCGATCCCCACGCAGCACGCCACCGCCTTTGGCGGCAGCAAAAAGGCGCGCAAGCCGCACAACATTTACCGCCCGCAAAAGATCGTCTACATCGAGGACAAGCTGCGTGCGGCCTTTTACAAGGACCACCCGTGGGAGCTGGCGCGCCCGCGAATCATCCTCGAGTCGGACGGCAAGGACAGCCAGCGCTGCGACTGGAGCAAGGGCGTGCGCCAACCAGGCGTGGCCCTGACCGGAGAGAGGTAAACTGCTACCCCCCCCCAGCCCTGCTTGAAAAGAACTGGCTTTACTAAACAACGGTGTGTGCTGTAGTGTCGTTCAACGCCAATTGTATCTCATGGAAGCCGGGCAGATGACACAGAACAAGGCCTACGATACGGCACGCCATGAATTCTACAAGTTGCGCCAGGCTGAGGAAATCGAGCGCAGGGTCGCCCTCGAGGAGGCCCGACACGTCGGCGCCTACTTTGGCAAGACAAGAGGCGACGTGGGCATGATGCTCGAGGACCACGAGTTCGAGAACTGGAAGGTTTGGGCCGGCAAGGAGACGGCAGCGCGGCAGGCGCGCGAGGCCTCGGAGGTGGAAACGTTTGACCCCGAAGATGCCCTGTCTAGCACGGAGGCAGGTCCTGCCGGCTCTGCTGAGGCGCGGCCGTCAGCATAATAAGCCGCTCGCTTGGGGAGAGGCAGAAACGACATGTGCTTTCGAGCCAGAATGAATAGCATCACATCAGGGGTCAGCTTATAGATAGTGTACAATATGTGTATTAAGACCACAATTTTCAAGACCACCTCACCCAAGGTCCAGCCCCATCAGTGCTATATATCTTCTCGCCTTGCATTAAAGACCAACTGTCCCACATCCCGGACGCCGTACCCAGCAGCAACTTGCGCGTGCTGCACCGCGAAAAAGTCCGCCAGCCCGGTGTACAGAAGCAGCCTCCCTGTGAGCGACAGCGTCGAGATGCGCGCCCACGACTCGATGTACACGAAGCGCATACTATCCTGCGGCACCACCCACGCGATTTTCAGCACATGAATGACCAGCGCGACAAAGAAGCCCGTCGCAGGCCCGTTCGAAAACACCAGCGACGGGTGCTTCCGCCGCCCGCTGCCCGCCGGCCGCCGCAGCAGCGCCGGGACAATGTCCAGCACGCTGCGCAGCGCGCTCGCCGGCGTTGTCAGCAGGCTCTGGTGGACGCAGCGCGCACGAGCGACGTGCACCACGTCGTGCGTGCCCGGGTCGGTGCCGCGGGCGGCGCAGAGGCTGGCGAGGGAAGCCTCGTAGTCGCGCGCGTGGTGCGCGGACATGGCGTCGCCGGAGGAGACGAGGTACCGCCGGTGGAAGCGGGTGAAGTCGCACGCGCCGTCGTCCATCATCATGAGCATCTCCCGCGTGTGCCCGCCGGAGCCGAGCACGAAGAGGTGGTAGTCGTCGCGGCGGCGCGGCGCGCTGGTGAGAGGCGAAGAGGGCCACTGGACTTGGCGACGGGCGGCGACGAGCTGGATATGGCGGACCTTGAGGAGTATGTAAGATGAGATGCATATTTTTTGGTATGGTTTAGCTGGGGGGAGGTGTGCATACGGTGATGAAGATGCCGGCCTGGATTGTGAAGGCGATAGTGGTGAGGAGGATGACACGCCATGAAAAGGTTGACAGAGAGAGGCCAATGACGACGGCGAGGGAAGTGGCTGCCAGACTGCCGACAAGCAGTATGCTCATCGTGTAGCTGATTTATCAATGGTTGAATTCATTAGGGTGCTAGGTGTTTAGCAGAGCCTGGGTAGGTAGGCGCTGGTGTTTGCACGAAACGTGGCAGCGCTGCGTCAGAAGCTTTGGTGCTCGTGAAGCGGTTGAGGGACAGAATAATAGCTACTTCATTAGATTAAATGAGAAACTTCCAAGTCTCAGTCAGTCTGCTTGGCTTGCTGAAAAAAAAAGCCTTGAATATGATGCAGTGATGCTCAGGGAAGTCTTCAAGTGTGATGATGTTTGGCTTAAATCTAGCTGTTAGACATCACAGTGGGTCGCCGTTCGACTTGGATTCAGGCAAATTCTCCACGTACAAGTGCATCACTTTATTTCATCCAATTATTCTTTTCACAGTTTCTTATTACAATATCATTCCAAGGCACGCCATCTCCTCCATTTTCTCAGCAATCCTCGTCAGCCCCCAAAGCCAGCCTCTTGATCCCGCGATACAGCGCGTACTCCTTGTCCACAATCGCGCGTGTCACCTCGGCTGCCGTTTCCTCGACGAGCCTGTCCACGCCCTCGCCCGTGAGCGCCGAGCATTCGTAGTATTTCGCCTTTACATATTTCGCCTGCCATGCCGCCTGCGCGGTCGAGACACACGCCGACGCCGCTGCGACAGTATGCATCGACGCCGACAGTGGGAGCTGTTGGTAGTAGTAGCCGAGACTGAAGCGCCGCGCCGAGGCGCTGCGATGACGAAGGTCTTTTTTGGTGCCGAGGAGGCGGAGCGCTGGCGGTAGGGGCTTTGATTTCGAAAAGAGACCATCAGCCGTGAATTTCCACTGCATGGCGTGTTAGTCGGGTGACGAAAGCGACAGATCGCAGGCGGACGCGTACCCAGGCAACAATCGCCTGTAGAGACGAGGCGTCGCTTATATCGAAGCAGAGAAAGATGACATCCCAGTGGATATGTGCCAGTAGCTGCACGGTCGCGAGGTCTGGCGCGCCGGAGGTATCCCAGAGCTCAACGCGCGCGGCGCTGTTGCAGCGCGGCTGATGAGTGTACGTCTCATACCGCGTGCGCGGCATGACTGATGTCTGTTCTCCACGTTAGCACAACACTGTTCCCACGATATTGACTGGCAGATCCGGACATGCATCTGGGAAGTAGCCATAGCGAATGCGACTGAAAATAGGTTAATCAAAACTGCATATGCTAAGACCGAAAGCAACATACTAGAGAAGCGAAGTCTGACCCGAGGACGGACACCCGACGAAGAGGAAATTTAGATGAAGCGGCCTCGATAGAACCGGTTCAACGACCACAGACGGCCGACAGACAGACACCACTGCCTCGTCCTTGTCGTAGCCTTGGCCGTACTCGTCCTCAAACTCGTCGCGGGTACGCTTCTTGCCGCGCCGCCAGAGGCCCGTGAGGCCCGTGAGGAAGCCGCCCCCGCCCCGTTTCTTGGCCGTCTTGGTGCGCGAGGATAGTGCCGTGTCCGGACGCTGGTAAATGGTCGACTCGTCGTCGCTATCGCAGCGCTGCCGCTTTGGTGGAAAGAGCCTGGCGCGGAAGACACTGAACCTAGAGGCGGGTCGTTCTCGTTCTTCTTCAGGAGATTCATGCTCCCGGAACGTCTGCGGGAAACTCCTAGTTAGCCAATTGCACTCATTTGTTGGGAGGAAAAAAAGCAAAGAGGTCGACGAGACCAAGTACACACCAGCCGAGTGACGGGCCGCTCCCCAAACCCATCATTAGCGAATGGGTCTTCGCGCTCGAGGCGGCTGGGCACGGAATGGCGCCATGAGTCAATGTCAATGGCCGAATCGTGGTCACTCATTTGCAGCAAAGATGATAGAGAGCAAAGTTTTCAGTTTCTTGTGGGGTTTCGAAGGAGAAAATGGATGAGCCGGATAACATGGCCAGTGCAAAGTTGGCTAAGCTAACATTCAAAAACAGACGGGCCGTCGATGTGCGTTTGCGTAATAACAGGCCGTGCAAAACAAACGGAAAATCCTGCTCCTCCCGTTGCCCTCTCTACCTAGATACCCAAATGTTCTCGTCATGATTCCGTTTCTACGAGTGGATAGAGTTGCTGTCCCAGGTTCTTGAGGTCAGCCCTCTTGAGCCTCTCCTCGTCCAGCACCACCACATCCCGCGGGAACCACGAATCAAGTGTCCCTGCTGGCCGCCCCGGCACCTTGGACATATTCAGCTTGTCATGTCCCGCCATCATAATGGCCGCCGCCGCGCCGCTCAGCCAAGCCCACACCATGCCGTGCCCGTTGAAGCCCGCCGCGATCCACTCGCCCGAGCCCTCCACGCCAGCAACGCCCGCGCCCGGGTACGTATTCTGTCGTTCCGTAATGTTCTGCGGAACCGGGCCAACAAAGGGGAGGTTATCGCCGGTGAAGCCCATGATGCCCGTCCAGTCCCTCTTCAAGCCACCCGCTGTCGGGCTGCCGCCGCCGCCCCAGTTGGGCTGAAAGACGGTGGGCATGATGCCACGGACATGCACCAGCGGCAGGGCATCGCGCTGGCTGTCATCCCACACACCGAGAGAGTCGCAACCGTTTAATCTGCTACGGAGGAAACCCCCACCGACCATGACATCACCGGGCGAACCGTCGCTGTTGTCTGGCCTCTGCGTCATGTAATCATAGCCGGGCTGGTAGACAGTCCCCCAGGAACGGTTGCCATGCGTAGTAGGGAAAGTAGCGCCGCCGTCTTGCGCAGACATGCAGCCGCGGGAGCCTGTGAGGCAGCTCCGTAAACGGGGAATCAGGCTCGGGGCGTACGCGTTTGTGGCATGGAGGACGTGGCGGGCACGGATGGTGCCTTTGGATGTCTTAATGGCGTACGGATGCTGAGGCGAGTAAGCGGCGATTGAGATGTTCTCGACCGGCGTGTTGCTGAGTAGGACGAGCTCCGGGTACTTGTCAACGAGCGCTTTCCATGCGCCCGTGACCAGACGGAATGGAAAAGCTGCGCCAGCCGGATATGAGAGCGCGCCAGTAATCAAGTCGTTACAGCCAAACTATCCTTGTCAGTATCAGCAAAACTACTATTACTCGACGCGGACTCACCCTTTTGCGTGCTTCTTCGCTCGACCACACGTTGATATTCGTCTCGGGCACATTCTTCTTCAAGTCATCCACTAGCATCTTGGCCTGCTCGAAGTCCTCCTGTACCAGAAACATGTCCACCGTCTCAACATCCCGCACCTCGCCCGCGGGAACCTCGCGCCCAACCTCCTTCAGGATCTCCACGTGGCGACGCATAAAACGGAGCACGTCCTTTGCCTTGGCCACCGACCCCAACCGCTTCTTGAGCTCCGCGAAGTCCCTGTACGGCGCTGACTTGATGTGCCCGCCGTTGCGCCCCGTCGCGCCGGCGCACACGTCGCGGGCTTCGAGCGCCACCACGCGCAGCGGCATCTCGGTGCGCTGGTCTTGGCTGATCTCGAGCACCGTCCGCGTTGCCGCGAGGCCCGCGAGACCCGTGCCGATGATGACGTAGTCGGCAATATCCGGCAGAGGGTGCGCGTTCAGGTTCACCGAGGGGAACGGCGGGTCGTCCATCCAGTACGAGGCGGTGGCATTGGCCACGGGCACAGCGGCATTGTGTAGGGCCCGACCGAGCATCGCATTGTAGCCCGCACCGAGCTGCGCCGCAATCTAGCGCATTTCGTGAGTTCAATTCTAGAAATAATGCAATGTATGAGTACTCACGATATCCATATTGCTCAGCGTACAGCAGTTGGTGAAGAGTAGGGATATTCACACACTTCTTGCGCAAGTCTACCTATCAGCCTTGTACCGTGCTACATTCCTGGGCGGCCGCCTAGGTAGAAGCTGGGGAAACGGAGAAAGAGCGCAAGCACAGACACAAGACCTTGTAACACAAGTTCCCTCCACCAATGCGCAGGTGTGGCTAGGTTGGGGGCTGACGCGACATCGTGCGACTCTGGAATGAAAGCTGCACGGGACAGCCACATATGACCGACCTCCTGCACACCCCCGCACTCACAACGGCAGTATCAGCATTAGCCAGGTCGAATCAATCCCAAAAGTGTGGTCGCGACATATCCGTCGGCATTCCATGATGCATGGGGAACAAGGAGTTACGGAAGCGAGTTCGTGCCAGCTCCGAGCTGTTCATCAGGGCACCATCGCGCAATTACGTACTGTCCGCCACAACGCGGCCGAGCTACACACGGGCGTCGACTTCAAACCACGCGCCAGGTATGGTACAGAAAAGTTAGTCACTCATCACATAATACGCAACAATAACAAGCATGTATAATCAGCTAAAGCAACTACCTAATTCATTGAAGCAAGCAACAGGCCACCGCAATAACAGGCATGTAGGGTTTGCGACACGCGCATTGACTTCAGCAGCAGCCCTGAACACCTTGGGCAGGTTACAGACAAAATCATCTTCTAAGATAGCAAAATATGCGCCTAAAATTCTATGCGTAGTGGGGTATTTCTTTCCTCTCAATTTTTTCCGTGCCTTTACAAACCATGTCTGCTGACCCAAAGCCGCTGCTTCTTGTGAAACGGAAAAGCACAACACAAAACAAAACAATCAACTTGTATGCCTTCCTTTCCCGCCCAAGCCATTCTTCCGGGAGATTTGTACCATTGCTGCTGTTGCTTGCCGACGCGCGCCAGTGTCGCTCACCGTCTTCTCTCTTTTTCTTGTCAAATTGAACGCCGCCCAAACTTCCCAAATCAAGATTGAAACAATTAACCGCCGTGCAACGGAAACAAACAGAGAGACTGTCCCAGTCTCCTCAAATAGGGATAAAAATAGAAATATTGTGAGCATCAGCCTAGACGCTGACCATGCCCACATCCTCCTCAATATGCAGACCTTCAAGATCCCGGAGCTCCAGCACACCGCGGCCCAGCGGATCCAGACCGAGTTCAGCGCGCACATCTTGCTGAATTTGCAGAAAGTACAACTTGAGGCTATGCAGGCCCTTGAGGAACCCGCCGTCTGCCTCGCCCGGATGCTGCGGCGGGCACGGCTTGTCGTCAATGTTGTCAAACGGTGTGACGCTGTTGGCAAAGTCGGCCACCTTGAAGTCGACCTCCTTGAGATTCCGCTTACGGCGTCGTGGCGACTCCTCGGTATCCGTCGCGGCGTCTGTTGCAGACTCGTAGACGGTCTCGTCGCCGGCTCCGTCGTCCGACATGTCGCCATCGTAGAACATGAGCAGACTGGCGGCATAAAATCGGTAGCCGCATAGACCTTGGACAATATTTTCTAGCTGCGCCAGCTTGCGCAATATAACGGGTATGTGGCGCAAGATGCTCTGCAGATCAACGCCGTTGTACAGGAACATTTGCAGGGCGTCTTGGAATTCGCTGCCGGCCTTGACCCTGCGGCCAAAGTACTTGTCCTGGAAGTCATAGCTCTGTGTCCTGTTGTTCCAGACTTGCAAGCCGCAGATGCGCACACCAAGCTCTTGAGAAGTAGTTGTTTTGCATTTTTCTTGCTGCGACTTTTGCTTCTTCGGTGTAGCCTCGACGCCATACTGACGTGTACCCATCTTCAAGTCCATCATGCAGGGACGCTTCATGCCTGCAGTGAGGTCTTCCAGCAACAAAAAGTACTCAATGCGATCACGCTGTGATTTAGCTTCCTTGGGATTCACGGGTCGCGGGATCTTCTTGAATTCGACAGTGGGACTGGGGAGCTCGGAAGCGACTGTGGAACATGCTGTAGACGAATGGTCAAGTTTCTGGGGGCTGTGCGTGGATTCCACAATGTCGGCTTCGAAAATGCCTTCCTCGTCGCCGTTCTCGTAATTTCCATTGGTTTCTAAAGAAGATTTGCCGTCTTCTTTGGCTGTCTTGTGGCTGTCGGGATGATAATCGGCGTCATCTGCCTCTTCGTAATACCTGAGGTTTCCTCTTGACTCACGCACGTCTTGCGGCCTTCGACGGAGCCCGCCGGCAGAGTATCGCCGCTTCTTCTTAGCAGCTAGAGGGTTATTCTTTAGAATTTCTGGTTCCGGGGCACTGGTTCCCGTGACATCCTGAACATCCTTTTCTAGCTCGGGTCCAGCAGACAGTAGCAGCGAAGTTGACTCCCCTAGGTCGCTTCTAGTCTCTGTTGGTAAAGACGGTGGCGGCGGACCAATGGCAGCCGCTGCCGGAGAGCGTTCTTTTATTGGCTGGACACGGCCCAAGTTCGGATCCGAGTTGCTCGGACGAATCAATCTCTGCAGAGTCGGTCGAGGGATAGAGCGCTGGTGAGGACGTCGGTGTTTCTGAACTTCGACGGGCTCCTTGAGGAATACATCGTTGAACACTTCGTTGCGTAGTCGCTTGTTGATTGTTGTTGCGCCCCAGCTGTTGGGTCTGTTATCAAGAAACGGCCGCTGGCTTGTTGTCCACGATGCCTGTGGCGATGTTTTGGCGCCCGAAGCGCTTCTTCTTCGGAAATAATCTGGCGGCGGTGTTGGCTGTAGTAGACTTCGTGGAAGAATATGCTTGTTGTCGTCAAACGTGACAGTGGGTATTTGCAGAGCCGAATTGGCAAGTGACTGGCTAATGATCCTGTTTGGAAGAAGTCCGTTGAGTCCAGAACCATTCATAGTAGTCGTCGCCTCGGCACCATTAGTGTTAGCCAGCTCTTCCGCAGCTGCAGCATCCTGAACCTTTTTACGCTCTGCCACTGCTTGCTCTTCCTTTTTGGACAGGCTCTTGCGTCTTGGCTGTTTCTGAAAAGTCACATTCAAGACACCAATATATCGGGGAAGAAAGGGCAACAGGTCGCGATGATACCTCTCAATGGTTTCGTAGAATTCATTTTCCCGATTGTTCAACTGCTTGCACACGGCACGGCGAGAAAAGCGCCATATGGTCGTGTGGCCACCAACCTGGTGCTTGTAGGGAATGAGCTCAATGGCGTCGAGCGGCTCGCTGATGTGCGAATGGTTGTGGTCATGGCTGGTCTCCTCATGCGGCGCTATGATACGAGCAGACTTTCCAGTCGATTTCTTGGGTTCAGTGTCCACTTCGATGGACCGGAGTTGGGGTTGAACAACTTCTTGCTCAACACGTCGTGGTGCTAGATTCTCGCGAGATCGACGATAGGATAATTCGTAGGGCTTGACATCTTGTTCGCTAACTTCGGGTTCCGGCTCGTCGGCTTTGACTAGCCAAGGATGGGGCTGATTCTGGGAGGGTGCACGAGGACGCGGGGGATGCTCAGGGTCGGGACTCTCCACCTCATCCCTGGGATCGTCGCTCAGTTCTTGGTGGGGTACGAAAACAGCGGATGATATTTTCTCCTCGCCAGACTCGTCTGCATCGCCATCGCCACTGTCGCAGGAGTCTCGGCCCTTTGGCGTACTCGGCGAGGGCAGCTGATCAGGTGCGCCCACGGGCTCCGGCACCGGCCCCACATCAAGTGGCGGTACAGTTTTGGCGTCGGTTTGTGTGTCGTCCGAGGCTCGCACAACAGGTGTCTCGTCGCCAGCGACATTTTCTTGCTCGGTCTTGAAATAATCAATTACTTCGGGAGAGGTTTCGGCGGTTGGGGTCCTGTTGTCCTCTGTATGTGGCTGTTGCGGCGGTGGGAGCAGCTCATCATCCACACTTGCCGCGTCGGAAACTTTGGAGGAGTCAAGCACAGCGTGCTCCGTTTCTTCGGTAGTCGAGGTCAGCTTATCGCGAGCAGCCTTTGTCTCTTTGCGACGAGGCTTCTCCTCATCGGGCAGGGCTTCTTTGAAGAAGCGCAAGCTATAACTGGCTTTGCGGCTACGGGCATTCGGCTCGACGCCAGCCATGGCCTCGGCAACAGACTTTTCGACGAGACCGTCTTCCTCATTACCCTCGCCCGCGCCAATGGACCAGATCTTTTCCGTCTTCTCGGAGCCGTTAGCTTGGCGATGGTCGAGACCGTAGTGGCGGTTCGGGGGTCGTATATCAGCGGTGTTGACGGCGTCTCGCAATTTGGAGGGCGATGTAGTGCTGCGGTCAAAATAGTAGGCCGAGGTGGCAGCAGTCAGATCGTCGGGGCTCGTAGAGTATGAGAAGGGATGGTCGGAAGGAAGATCAAAAGTGCTGCGGTCAATGTCGAGAGAGGAGGATGCGCGGCCGCGGGATCGGTCGAGAAAGTCTCTGTGTTCGAGGAGTGACTCGCGAATGTGTGCAATTGTTTGGTCAGAGAAGGAAGCGGTGCCGGGTATGGCATCGCGGCCGGCAAAGGGGGCCGGCATGGATGGCGCGGCAGGAGAAGCCATGGTAGACGCAGACTCTTTCTTGTTATTGTCGTCGGAGAATGTTATCGAGCTCGGGGATTCGCCATGCTGCGCAAGGTTGTCATTGTCGGGCTGTTGAGGATTGCGGTCGGGTGTGATGGTGGCGGTATTGGGGTTGCTATTTCTGCTGTCTATGGCCGATTGCTGCGCCGTGGCGGGCTGCTGTGCTGCCGTGTGTCGCTTCTTGTCTGTACTGTCGGCTTGTGGTACTACAGTAGGCTTTGAAGGGATACCACGGGCTGTTGCGAGCGCCTGTGAGAGGAGTGAGGGAGTAGCAGGCGAACGTTGAGCTGTATTTAGACTGGAGCCGGGATTGGTAACGGCAATGGGGACGGGGCGGCCAGACCGGGACTTTATATCAGCAGCGACGGCAGGCGTGCCTGGTTGGGTTGACGCAGTGGTGGTGTGAAGAGGTGTCGCAGCAGACAGGGGTAGGGGGTGTGAAGCCGATAGAGATTGGCAAGCACTGGCAGGGTGAGCAGGAAGAGGAGGAGCCCCGGCATGGGGAGAGGGAGGCGTGAGGGCAGAAGCAGGCGTAGATGTACTGGTCTGGATCGGGAGGTGGTGCAGACGGGGAGGAGCTTGAAGAGCATGGAGAGCATGGTGGGCGTGGGCCAGGTCGACAGCAACGTCTGCGTTTGACTCTGCGTCAGCTGGCAGAGGGTCTGACGGAACCATTCGATCGGGACGTGCAGTGGTTGCAGGTGGTGGTGGTGCCGGGGCCGCGGCTGTTGTTTCTGAGGATGGTGGTGGTGGTAGTGGTGCTATCAAGGGTTGGCCATGGTGGTGGCGGTCATGGTTGGGGTCATGGTAGGTTGTTACAGGGGCGAGTGGTGCGCCAATGTGCAACTGGCGACTCGGGTTGGACATGGAGAGGACATTTGGGCGCAACAGGGCGACGGTTGACTCGGCGTGGGTGCGATGATTCGTGGGTATTTGGGAGTTGCCCGTACGGGTGTGTGTGTGTGTGTGGGAGGGAGAGTGTGAGATTTTGGCGGTTGACCGGGCCCGGAGGATGTTTAGGTGGGAAACGTGGGAAACCCGGCCGAGGGGTGGGGGAAAAAAAGATCGGGAGCAAAAGACTATCCGGGCCTTACTGGGGGGCAAGGGATTGATTAGCTTGGTTAGGTTTAGTTGCATTTGGGTTATTTTTCTCTGATTGTATCTTTTGCCCTAACTAGAAGTTACCTAGGTAGCTATTTTAGTTTTCGCATGCTAGGCGAAACGGCGAAAAGGAGAAAACAATGAAATTGACCAATTAGTGGCAAGAACAGAAAACGAGCTAAATCCAACAATTTCGAGGGTCAAGGCGAAATGTCAAAAGGAATGCTCAGGACAAAGAAGAAAAAATGGTAACCAGCTCCAGCAGGCTGATTGATCTCTGGGTACATAGAATACCAGGCGCGGCGGTGTGATGATTGGGCTCAAGGAAGGACCCGTAATAATAAATACAGGCGACGTGAGAAATTCCAGAGAGTTCACTGGTCATTCTCTTCAGCAGCCACCACTCACTGCATAACGTTACTGCATCCCCCATATCTCCGCCTATGACATTCGCACGGGATGTACCGGTATCAAACTATCAAAGCATTGCCCATGACCACAATCCGCATAGTGTTCGTCGCAAATCCATTGGTGAATATTGTTGTTATTCAAACTCTGGACAGTTTGCTAAGCCCGGGTCTCGAAGCCCATGGTGCTGGGTGCCAGCCACCACGACACTCGACCACAACTGCCACTCCCTGGAGTTCTGGTGGCATTCAATAACTCATGCCAAGCTCAACTCGATTTCTTCCCTTTCCACGCACTCCACGCATTCCACGCCCACTGGGGTGTGTGCCTTGTCCATCGAGCTCACCCGTCCCCATCTGAACCCAGTCTCACGCCATCCTCAGACAAGCGACCAAGAACAACAAGCTTTTGGTCCCAGCCGTCTTCCCGAATCATGCTCATCATGTTAACTAGGCGGTGGACTGACTCCGGCAGCCCTTCCCGACGTATCCTGATACACACGTGCAAAGCCTATCCTGAATCCTCACCGAAAGCTTCATATTTGTCCATCAACACACGCAAACACTCAACATCTCTTCGCTACACGCTAGTCATTTCCGGGCTCCCGGCTCAGGGGCCATCTCTGCAGTCAATTAGAAGCCAAAGCCCACGCATGTTTTTCATGCCGTCCAGGTTCAACCAGATGCACAGCCCGCCGCCCGGCAGATTACGAGCCGCGCTATGGCGCTCACCACACACACCCCTGCTCTTGTCCCAAACATCCTCTGTTATCTGGCTTCTCTTTGTTTGATCTTGTCCCCCTTATATCCTCGTCGAGCTTGTCATTGCCGCGCCGACGACGCCGACGCGGTTACCAAACAGGGCCGCAGTTCCCCTTGCTTTCAAAAGCACTGACATGGCCAATGCCACCCTGGCCAAACAAGATGCACTATCCGTCAAAAAACGCCGACACCAATGATGATGAGCCATGCAGACATGCAGCCTCTTCCCGTTCCGGAAGCTCAATCTTTTTCTAGAAGATGGTGGACCGCCGTCTCTGGCCAATGCCCAGTGGCCTGTGTCAACCTTCTCCAAAGCCGACTTATCAGCTACTGCTATGTAGACAATCATGATGCTTATCCCCCCTCTTCTCATCTGGACTGTACCAAACATGAAATCAGCCAAACATGAAATCAGCACATCCCATTCTCTGCACGTGCCTCCTACCGCACTCATTGCCCACCGCCCACCTTCCCCCACGCCGTGGCTAGTTAGCGCGGATCTCTCGAGATGGACGGCCAACGCCTGGCTCCTTCTCGCCCAACACGACATGAAATGCTGCATCATGGATCGACCTAGAGACGAATGTCGGCGCAAAGCGTCAAAACGTGGCCCTAGGCAAGCTTGACCCGCCCGCCCGTCACGGATGCTGCGGATATGACTGGCCATCAAACGACTGGACAACAAATCGAGACTGCCAAGGTGGCCGACGCTCGTCATGACCACACCTCTTCAAAGTGTCGGTGTCCGATCAGTTGCTCGCATGAAAGCAACCTAGTCACCTCATTACCAACAAAGACGAAGAACTAAAACAACAACATGGCGCCCGCATGATCTTGACAGCGGGAAATCCCAGTCGTGTCTCGACTTTCGGCCAACATCTCAAGCACCAACCACATGGCACACGGCTGTTCCGTCATTGGTGACTTTAGCTCCGTGCTCTGGGTCGCCTAATAAAAATGAATTTCGACTTCGCCGCCACGTACTCAATCCATGTACTATGCAAATAGGCTTCCTGGCAGACACCGCCATGATGACTTACCAGGTCCCTGCCCCTGGCCTGTTTCACGTAAAAATCGGTAATTCGGGCTGGTCTAGATACCGATAACTAATGCATGCTCGAGTCGCAAGCGAATTCACTCGAGATGCGACATCCTACTGAGATATATGAGGCCTAATCTGTACGTACATGTGGGGGATGCACACTTATTATGGTAAGGATACATATGTGATGATAGAGCAGGTCCTTTATCATGTCGGTTCTTCGTCTGATAACGTTGCGACAAGCCTATTAGCTGCCAGCTCCGCCGCCCCCTTGCATCAAAGCCTGACTATTTTGCAACATATGCAAGCCAGCAACTAACAGCCCCGCGCGACTTGATAATATCTTGACACGCACTTCAACATTGCGTTTCCGCTTTGAATAAGGCAGGTCCATCTTCACTTACACAGCCCAGGATAATAGCTCCTCAGTAAGGGTCGGGAAGGGGGGCGTGTGTTATGACTTGGAACAGGCATCCCCTATTCCGGCGTTGCATGTTCTGTGTAAAAGAAAGAAAAAAAAACGAGGCAAGCACAGCCTATTCCTCCCAAGAGCGGAAGACATGCCTCATCATGACCGGGCCGTACCACGTTGAGACTCCCGCGCAGGCAATTGGGCCATCCGGGTCGGCGGACCCACTCTTGCCCTGCCGGCCCCACACGCCGCCAACCACGACTCCGCACGCCCACCCTTTTGGCATCGCGTCTAAGATGTGACTGCTGCCCTGCACAAAACTGTCTTGGAAATAACTACTGGAATTTGTCCAAAAAAAAAATCAGTTTGTTTGTCTTCTTCCTTTTTGACTAGAGCCGAAAATGCCTTGTAGAGGAGCTAGCCATTTCACGGCAGAGGGCGTGCCTGGTAGCATGTATGTGCGACCACAAAGTGGTAATGTAACAGGCGTTTGGGCATCAACAATTTACCCTACACCATGTGAACTTTCGAACGTGACAAGAGTGCGCAACAACATTTCACGCTGGCATGGTGACATTAACTTGGCAGTATGGTCAGTCGCTTGTTCCTGGAATCCATACCTCCCTCTTGGCTGCTATCTTGTCATGCTCCTGAGGCTTGGCCATGTACTGCCTCGGCGAGCTCGGCGTGAAGGCCACGGGCGCGACTTTCAACAGCGTCCGACTCTATAGCAACGAAGCAGCAACCCACCCCCAAAGGGTGAACAGCGCTGCATTTGCCAAGTTGAACGTGACCTAGAACACACAGCGACAAAGTAAATCAAGAAGCAGGTGAAAAGATTTACAACATAAATGGGCGAAATGGTATCTAAAGCGACGCAATACTTGACATGTGAATCCACAAACATAAACGCCATCCCATGATTAAGTCATATCAACGCCATGCAGGTTGTGGCTGTGATCTAGTCGACGCAGCCTTGGCCTGCTCCCTCTTCGCCGCGTTGAGCTCTGCGTCCACATCCCACGCCTGCCAAAAATCGCCCATCTCGCGGACCATGTCCTCCACCATATCCATTGGCTCGACAGACATGGTCGCTTCTCGCGGCTTGCTCTGGTTCTCCGCGTCAATGCCCTCCAACGCCACTACCGTATCCTTCATGACTGCATCGACTGCGCTCTTGCCCATCATGTTTGAGCTCTGGCTGCTGGCCAAAGCCTCGACGACCCGATCCGTGTCCGCCGAGACGTGGAATCGGTGTCGCAGCCCATCAGTGCGCCTCACGATTGAGGAAAAGTGCTTCGCAAATTTATCGTTACAAGCAGTAGGCAACTCTGCAAGCGGCGTCCGGGGTGGCGGCGAGGACGGCGCCTCACGGTTACTCGGCGGCAGATTGTCCCTAAGACTCCTGGTCTCTGCGTCACAATCACCCGAAAGCAACCACGAGACTCTCTTGCTTGTACGTCGAGGCGAGCCGGCGTTTCCTGACGACAAGATGCCTCTGAGGTTCGGATGCCGAAGACCTGATCCTGGAAGCTTGCGGCGCTTCGTAATACGTAGGCGCTCCGGGGATGGTGTCGTAAAAGCAGCGAACGACTTGAAAGCGAACCGTGGTCCAGAATCGTCCGCCTCTCCAAGAGGCGATGAAGTCTTCTCCCGAACAGGCGTAGCAGGAGCGGCGGCTGGAGGTGACATCTCACATGCCGTCGCGGATGGCGCCGGCCTTGCTCGGGGATTGGTTTCAAGTATCTCTTCGTTGGCGATCGACTTGTCGTTCGACTTCACATCGTCTCGTCGGAGAAGCGTCGATTCTTTCCGACATGTAGGTAGGATGCTGGCTTCGCTAGCTCGGGGTGGAAGCGTCGGTAGCTTTCCCAATATCACATGCTTGTCCTGCCCGGAACATGGCTGTTGTTGGAATCTGCCATCAATTGCTTCTTCGGAGGACACAGTGTCACACATCGAAGCCGTCATCGACTCCTCCTGATTATCTGCAGAAATGTCCTCAACGCTTGGTAAAACATGCTCCTCCATTGTAGTTGAGAGAACGGATCGCTGTGTTGATTGCGGAGGACCAGTGGCTAGGTGCGTCAGCTGGGCCCATGTATTTGTAGGGACCAAGCTTCGGAACATTGCTCTCAACGAAAAGTCGGATGATTCTTGTTTCACCTTGGGAGACTGTGGCACAATATTCTCTGTTCGTGATTGGGTCGCAGGCTCAGCCGTGACACAAGGTTCGGGCCCTACTTGCGCTTTTGCTGCAACAGCGTTGCAACTCTGATCAAGTGTGTCGAGCTCAGCCTCGTTTTCGACGATATCTGGCTGGGGCGGTTGCCTAGTCTCTGTGTGTGACACGTCAGGTGACTCGTTGCTGCCTAGAACACTCGTCTCCCCTTTAGGAGCTGGATGAGACATAGCTGCATCGCCAACTTTGCCAGCTTTACCAGCTTTGCCAGCTTTACTCGCTTTGCCAGCTTTGCCAGCTTTGCCAGCTTTGCCAGCTTTGCCAGCTTTGCTTCTGACGACACTCGCTGACATATCTGCAGAGGACACATCTTCTAGATGCGAACTAGAGTCGGCTCTAGTGGGTTGTTCCAGGTGAGAGTCGTCCATCGTGTCCATCGCTTCAATAGCGGCATCGAAATCCACCATCTCCGTATGTATAATCGGTAGATCATCGCTCAAGTCGGCTTCCTCGTCGCGAAGTGCTTCCATAGGCTCTGCCTGTGATTCATCTACAGAGCCCTCCAAATCTGACAATTCCGGAGAACTAGAAAGATCACTGAGCTCCGAATCGGATGTCTCGTCGTCATCCAAAGTGTGTTTCCCGTTCAAGATGGACTGTTCGTGGTGGATATCTTCTAAAGCAGCATCATGCGTGAATTCTTCATTGCTGGATTCGTCCTCTTCAGTTTCATTCGAGTCCGATGGTGGATCCAATAAGATATCAAAAACAAAGTCTTCATCGTCTGGAACCCTATATGGCTCGCGAACAGTGTTGCTACTTGCCATGTAATGCATGGCTGCTGTATTGGGAATGGTGGCACCCGAAGGCCATGGGTTCGCATCCGGTACAGCTCCCGCCTCCATTTTGAATTTGGGAGGCGACAATCCGGTGGTCAGGTTCACTTGCTTGACGTTTCGGAGAGACACTGGCGACGACAATGTTGCGACGGCCTGCTGCTCTCTGCTAAGTTCATCGCTAGGTTTGCTATCGGCCGGAACTGCAGAGCGTGAAGTTTTTGTAGTGGCTGATGACTCTTTTTGAGGCGAAAGGAGCTGATTGGTAGAATCCTGTGGCGAGGTTGGTGCCAGCCCGGCCGGTTCACCGCCTGGTATCGACGGAATTGGTAAAAGAGACTTGCGAGTTTGAGGCCCTTCTAATTTGTTATTATCCGTTCGCTCGCATCTTATTCTTTTGCTAGGAACTGTCTTTAGCCAATTGTGGCTTGCTTTGCGTTTGCGCGGAGAGGCGGCATCGGTTGCCTGCGGCGTCGACTGTTGCACCGCGTCGGGTTGCGTTAAACGGACACTATGGCGCCATGTTTCAACTGTTTGTAATTCTTCATCCTCGAGAAACGGATGGCCATCTGATGCCAATGATGCCGTTCTTAGGCTCTGCGGACTAGGCAGATGACACTCGGGTACGTCGAATTTGTGTTTCCGAATAATGGATTGAACATGGCGTTTCGTAGCTCTGACGGAGCCAAGTGCTTTTGATACGTTGGGTATCTGAGGTTCCGGTTGTCGTGCAATTCGAGTCGACTGTGACTTGCTGGCCCAGGGGTTCCTCCAGCCTCGGTTGCTTTCGAATGGTCCAGCGAGGGATGCAGAAAATAATCTGGGCGTAGAACCCGCGAGAAAACGCTGTCCAGCGAGTTCATAGCGACGTTTTCTCTCTCGAGGACTTTCGTATTGGTCGTCGTCGGACCCAAAGTAGTATACATCATTGTCAGGGCACTTCGCCTCGCAGTAGATGGTATCGACGAGGGGCCAGTCCGAACGAAGAGCTCGAGGCGCCATGGCGTCCTGCAAATTTATTGCTTTGACAGAATCATATACAAACATATATGGGATGTATGGTAGCTACCGGGGAAGAGCAAGAAGGGGCTGGGCGTGTAAGTTAATCCCAGCCTGTGGCTTGATGTCGGCAACATCTTGGTATTACGTTTAGGCTCGAGAGGACCACGCCTAGACGCGCTACGCGTCTCCACGTGATGGCGCGTAAAGTGGCACTTCGCGTTTGCTCTCTGCTGGTGCCTTCATCGGCGCCGACTTTGAAGTTGTAGAATACACTAATGTCCCAATTATATCAAACAAGGACTTGTAAGTTTTTTCTGTCTTTATAAGATTGTTTGCTTTGTTTCTGTGCAGCATGTTGAACTAGTCACCGGCGTTGGAGGCTGGTGAGCTCTACACACGTGAGAGGCAAGGTTGACACGGCAACTACACTTACCGGATCTGGACTGCTCTGTTTACCTGGACACACCACCGTGCAGACCATCAACGAAGACCGCGCCACCGGCACTGGACGCTCTAAAGCCCGAGTAGATACAGTTATAGTCAACCCGAACCTACTACGCCATTTCTACAGGCTAATGCTTGTTGATTACACTCTTTTCGCCACGTTGATATATTGCTTGAGCGTATCTTCCTACCCGCCCTCACTTTGCGACAAACTCGCAATACAATTCTCAACCCCACCAGCACATCTCAATCGACAGAATTCCCGGCTGGCCATGTTATACTAGTCGAAAGCGAGATTTCCAACCTATCCTTACAATTCTTTAGACATTTACACTCGGCGATGGCCCATGCCTGGCTGGACTCTCTGTCAGAGGACTGGGTTTCTGAACCACGCTCAGATACCTCGGAGGCACAACTCCCACCGCTGAAGCCTCACGCCGATACCACACCGAGCAAAATCCCTCGTCGTACCGGCGCGAATCCAATCTATTCCCCCGTTGCCGGAAACAGCAGTCATATCCTAAACGAAAGATCGGCGAACGAAATAAATATTTCCCAACGCAAGCTCCCGTCAAGGCTTTCACAGGAGCTCAAGCTAGACTCCAAGAATTCGCGGTCTGTTTCGGCTGCCACCTGCGGCTCAGTTGTACACAAAAGCGAGGATGCGCAGATTGCGAAAGAAGGGACACCCGAATGGAAGCGGCGTCTCATTAACGGCGAGGTGCCGTATGGCGAGCAGCGTGACTTGTTTTGCTCTGCTGGCACTGGCCTACAAGACATGTTCAAGCCTCCACAGGCAGATCTCGCTAATGTCCAACATGGCCAAGCAATGCCCGACCGGACATTACCCTCGAGTCCACCACAATACCGATACGAGTCAGACGAAGATATCGACAGGCTACTAGAACTTGCCGAGCAAGATGATCACGACTTTCCCCAACAAGTGACACCTAGTCCGAGCCCAAGACGAGGAAATCGCAGCGCCCACTTCCGCTCCACCTCGAACGGGAACAACAGCTTTCTTCCATCATTGCCAATGGACAACTTCGTGGAAGAATCTCCCCTCCAGCATGTCGGCGCCATTGGTCGCAGTAAGGTGCTCCTCAATGCGCCACAGCCTGCTCATGGGTCTCTCCGCCAAGTGAGCGGTCAGACTGATATTGGAAACGAAGATTTTAGCCCCATTGTGATTGGCCGGCAAGATGAAGAGGATGGGCCGGTCAAGTTTGGCGCTATGGACATACCGGTGAGCGAGCTACAATTGAAGCTGGAGCGTGTTCAAAAGAGCCAGGCCCATGATGCCGAGGATAATTCGCTATATCCTGGCGCGATAGTGGATCGAGAGTCTGAGATCGATGCCCTCCATCGCTTTACTCATAATGCGGGCCATATTAACCTGCGTCGAGGTGGCCGCTCGGGAGATGGCTCGTTCTATACTAGAGCGCTTAGCCCTGACCTTGGCGTCGACACTTCAGAGATGCTGCCAGAAGAATCTCTGCAAGCCAGCACGCCAAAAGAGTTTCCCACCATCCGAACCGAACAGCCTTCACGTGGTGCTTCTCAATCAACCGGAAGCCCGATAATGCCGCGAGCGCCGTTTCCAAGCCCGGATAAGCGCAGCATAAACCCAAGCGGCAGCCCGCTGAAGCTCTTTGGACCATACGACACTTTTACGAACCAAACTCTGCTACGGCGAATCAGCCAGTATGAGGACGTCGATTCTGCCGACTCGTCGGAGCATCTGGCCAACCCCGTCAAGCGTGAGGGCATAGACGAGAGCCGACGATCGGTGAGCTATTTTGGTGGCGGCCAACTGGATAATTACGAATTCGCAGCAGAAATGTCTGAGACACATGGTGCTTTTGACGGCACGGACAAAGAGAACGTTTCGCCAGAGACGTATCTGATTCCTCTGGAATCTCGCCGTCAACTGTCTTTCGGGAATGTGTCTAAGCTATTGATTTCACGGCGACGCGAACGATCAGGCGCGTCAACTGAGGTATATGTGGAAGCGCTGCGGCCGACTATTACCATGGATACACCAGAACTACGTGGCCCACCTGGACGCGACCATGAGGTGTGCGATACAAAGCGCACAAGCAATTCCCCCATCAAAGACCCTACACCAAAAAGGCGACGAACATTGAGACGATCTGATGCTACTCATAACCGGCAAGAGCAGCTTTCACAAGTGGATGCGGCCCACCAACAGATGCAGAATGCTATGGGCAAGAAGCGTAAGGACGCACGACCAGGGCAGTTTCAAATCGCGGAAGCCAACGTCCTAGCCGGAAGAAAGATTTTGAAGCCTTGCTCGCCCGCTTCGAGCCGGAAATCGTCACAAGAAGTTGACGACTCCCTGAACAAGGCAAATATGACAGGGCGTGGCATGGCAGAAATTGACCGGAAACCATCAATCAAGACGCAAGATTTTGTTGATCAAGCAGCGCAAATCATGGCCATGATTCGGAGTCAGGTGAAGCCGACAGGACTTACAAGTCTGGAAGAATCAGAAGAAGAACATAATACGGGAGCAGATGCTGAATTTGAGGCTGCAGGAGGGTCGCAGCCAGACTCCACCTACGAACCCCTGTCGCGACCCCCGAGTCGCGAAGGAAAGCAATCACCAAATTACCAAGAACGATCTAATGACCCCGATCTAGAAGCGCGGCTGAAGAAGTATAAGGAGATGAGCGATATGGGCGATCTTGCAACCTCCTCGATGCGATCTGTCGGCATGGTGCAAGATGTCTTGCGAGGGGCTCATATCGAGAGCCCGACTCGCCAGACGACGTTTGGACGTGCTGGGGCTCCGCTGCCTATGTCTGACAACATCGTCAGCGATCTTGCCAATGTACGAATTTCTGGCCCATTTATCGATTTCTCTCTGCCCGCCAGTCCAGCCCGTGGCTACCCTTCAAACTCATCCGCTCACTCTGCCAACACCATTCCTACGTCATCTTCAACCAACTCTGATACGAGAAGAACGATCATGCCCGAAAGCGTCTCACACCTCATCCCTGATAGGGTCGGCAGCATGTATCTCGACAAGTCTCAAAATATCTGGATTAAAAAGAAGGATGCCAAGCCTGACGGCCACAACAACAGCATCGCGGCTACTGATGAAAGCGAAGAAGACCCATTCGGTAGCATTCCCGATCTTACTGTCGACATGACACAGGAATTGCGAAACCTGAGGCGTGGTATGGATGGTAGACGAGGCCGTGGCGTGGCTGGCCTCCGGTCTTCTCCCCCCCGCCCCCTCCGCAGGTTTTATTCGCTCCATCTTCACCTGACCAGGGCGATGAAGACGTTGAGGAGCTCCCAAAGCTTGAAAAGCGAGAAACACCAGAGCTCCATGACTCTCGGAATGGGACGGCAAAGCGAAGGAATATGACTATCTCGTTCTCCTCGCCGATTGCGTCGATTATTCAAGAAGCTATGTCATTGGGTGCCGATCGCTTTGACGAAGAGGTGACCCCTCGTTCGATAAATTTCGACCACAGCCCCGATCAATCGCCACCGGACAACTTTTCTGGCAAAGCGGCTCTGCGGCAATCGGACAACAAGTCTAGACCACCAACTATGAGATATGCATCACAGCAGGGGCCGGATTTTGTTCGTCGGCCGGTCTCACCGATTAACGAACAGGACGAGGATAGCACCGTCGAGCTGCTCGCCAACGAGGCGAACCAGCTGAGCTTTGTGGGCGGACAGGGTCTCATGAACTACGGAGGACAAGAGAGCCGGCATACATCGCTCAGCGTCGTCATTAGCCGAACGCCGGGGAATAAGAGCCTGGCCCTTGTTGGCGACGAGAGTGTCGTCATCGGGCAGAACATTGGCCATATGTCTCTGAGCCCGCTGTCCGACTTCAACGTCAATCAAGGAGACCAGTCTTTTGGGTTTGAGGTTAGCTACGTGTTAGGCAACCGGCACTTGTCCACTGGCGATGGCTCAAAGAAGGTCATGTCGTTGACGCTACGCGAGCTTGTTGAACGACTAAGCGAGGTTGAGCCATGCGAGCCATACTGGCAAGATATTGAAGAGCTCAACCTGAGCGATAAGCGACTTTCAAGCCTGCACATGCTGGAAGAGTTTTGCGGTAAGGTGGTGACACTCGATGCATCGCAAAATGCGCTTGGCCACCTGGAAGGCGTGCCCTCTAGCGTGCGGCAGCTCAAAGTCTCACAGAACATGCTGACGGAGCTGACATCGTGGAACCATCTGGTCAACCTGCAGTATGTTGACATTTCTGGCAACGAAATCAAGAGTCTGTCGGCGTTGAGAAACTTGGTGCATTTGCGAAGCGTCAAAGCAGACAACAATAACCTCACCAGTCTGGATGGGCTGGACTCGCACGAAGGACTGCTCTCTCTACGGGCTCGAGGGAATTTTCTCGTGGAGCTCGACTTTGAGGACAGTGCTTTTGGCAGGCTAACAGATCTAGACCTTGCAGACAACAAGATTGAGGTCGTTCGCAACGCGCATCTCGCGCCATGCCTGTCGAAGCTGAAGCTGTCCAACAACAACCTGCAGACGTTCGAAGCAAGCAAATCATGCAAGGCGGTTCGCCACCTCGACATTAGCCAGAACAAACTCAGGCAACTGGATGTCAGCAGCCTGCCGAATCTTCACACCCTGCTTGCCGACGGGAACCAGCTGCCAAGTGTGACTGGATTACAGCGGACCAGACGACTCGACAGTCTTTCTCTGCGGGAGCAGCGAGGCCAAGAACCCCTGAGCCTTGGGTTCTTGTCGGTAGGATACGAAGTGCGCAAACTGTATCTCTCTGGCAACTATATGGAGTCGTTTGAGCCCAAGGTGGATATGCTGAACCTGCAACTGCTTGAGCTTGCCAACTGTGGGCTGACGTGCCTGCCTGACAATGTTGGGCAGCTGATGCCGAACTTGCGATCGCTGAATATCAACTTTAATGCGATTTCAAATGTGAAGCCTCTGCAGTACATTCCACGGTTGAAGAAGCTGATGATGGCGGGGAATCGGCTCTCCGACTCCACATCCGTCACGCAGCTACTCATGGACTTTCCTCACTTGACGAGGTTGGATACCCGAGACAATCCCATGACTCTCGGGTTTTACGCACCGCTGCAGGCTTTGGTGAAGACGACTGGAAACGACACGACACCTCCGTTCGCGCTTCCGGATGCAGATGAAGAGCGTGATGGGCTATACGTCAGTCGACTGGATGAACCAACCAAGCTTCGCCGGAGATTACACCAGGTGGTGCTGGCAGCTAGCTGCAGTCGACTGCGAATGCTGGATGGGCTCCCGATGCACCGGAAGCATGTTTTGACCATGGACAGCCTCTTGACGGCGCTTGTTGAAGAAGGGCTGGTTGAGGTACCGGGTCAAACAGAAGAGAGTGATGAGGTCAAGGAGCTATGTGAGGAGAAGTCGAGGAGGGGCAATGTTAGTAGCGGCAAGGCAGTCGGTGAAGTCAGGATTGCCTAGTCTATGAGATTGCCATGGTGTCGAAAGGCATTATTTTTAATGACTGATGAGAACAATACTGGTTGGACGGAACTGGGTGCATTTGAAGGAATAATACCGATGATTGGACTGGAGGAGTTTTTGACGATTTTTGGGGCGTATCAAACAAAGACAGGGCGTACATGGGGAAGTTCCAGGAAGGGACTTGGGCTGGGCATGTTTTTTTTATTGTACATTTTCCAAGGCTGTACATGGCACTTGATTTTTGAATTAGAAGGTACGAGTAGGCATATTTAGAGGCAGGCATCACATGTTTCTTTTTTCGCAGACGCTGGGTTTGCTGTGAATGATTTTGGGTGAGGTGTGGTAGTTGAGCTCGAACGCGTTCCTAGGACGCTGTCTCTTGTGTGTGGTCCGATTTATATCTGAGGAATAGCAAAAAATTGGCATGCGGAATTGCTTGTTGCGTAGTTTAGATCAAGCCACCAAAAGGCAAATGGCGAGCGTGATAAAAACATAGTGAGGAGGATGCCACGGGAGTTTGAAGACGCCAAGTAGAGACACTCATGCACTTGAATAAATATTTTTTTTCTCCAAGTTCAGAAACCTTGCAGTGCCTCGTCTGAAATTTCGGGCTCGAGTGTCGAGTCTTGTAACTAGAGTTTTGCAGTCTGTGGTTGACGGAGGGACGCAGGCCGACAAACTGACAAACAAGGCGACTGTGATTGCACACTTTCTCCCTTTTACATAACCCTCTCGTAAACTTAGCCGTCCACGTGCTCTTCTACCTAATAATTCTTGCCGCTGTATGCTGGAGATTCCATCATGACAGAAGCGACGATCTGAAAGCATGAGGCTGAGAGTCGCGACCGAAGCAGCAAGCATCAAGCATCAAGCATCAAGCATCAAGCATCAAGCATCAAGCATCAAGCATCAAGCATCAAGCAAATCTCCCTCTGGATGTCGAGCGCAATGTCAATGTAACGAACGTACCTTGCGTCTGGCTCCAAAATAGTCGTCTCTGAGTTAATTCTCAGATACGTTCCATAGGTCCCGTACAAAGACTTTGACCAGGGTGAGAGAACAGCGTCCGAATGTGCTTGGGAACTCCAGAATATGACCGTTTAGCCATTGGGCGCATACTGTGCGGATACAAGGCTGATGGGACTGCCGAGGTGATTTCCGGGCATTATTCGCCTAGGCCCCTTGAAACGTTGTAAGACTATTCGTACAACTAGAGAGAGGACGAAAATAACAGCTGTGGCAGGTATCGGTGCAATGCCGCTTGTCTAGGTAGCTGACTAGGTACCTAGGTAGGTAGTTAGTTCATTTCCCTGGATGGAACTGGAATGATATGGGGGCTCTTGTCGTCCGATAATTGCTTTTACAGAAAATGTCAAAATGAACCTGTCAAGTAGGCTAACTCAAAGACGGAGCAGAAAAAGAAAAAAAAACGGAAGAAAGCTAATTAACCAACACTTGGACTGATGATTAACTTAGTACGTACTACTAGGTACTAGTCATCCGTGCATACTGTTGGGATCGCTATCCCAAGCAGGTAACAGTTATAAGATCACAGGCATAGAGTGCCTATAGAGGTACTCTATAGGAATAGTTATATAATAATAATTCTTAATTAACTAATAAAATAAACTATAGAAGGGAGAGGCTATAGTTAAATATATAAATAGGTAATACCTTAGGCACTACTAGGAAATTATAAGAATAAAGGGATAATTAGTAGTTATATATATTAGTAGTTAATAGCTTATAGGTAGTTACTTTACTTACCTATAAAAGGTAATAATACCTTTATAATAGTCTAGTTTTATTAGCTTAGTTACCTATTATAATAGCCTCTATAGTACTTTATATTAAGGCTATAAATATTAAGACTTTTTTATATATTATTATATAGTATAACTATTATATAGATATATTATATAATATAATTAGCTATTATATATAACTATATATAATATAAATCTATTTACTATATACCTTTATATATAGTATATCTTATTAAATATTTACTATATTTAGCTAATTATATTTACTATAGTACTTACTAGTATAATACTAGTAGTCTTTTCTTTTAACTAAGTTATATAGCCTCTAGGCCTTTTTATAGCTTTTATAGTATAGCTAACTTAGCCTTAAATATATAGTATTAACTAGTTATTATTAACTAGCTTTTATAGTACCTTATTTAAAGTAGCCTTTATTAGTATATTTATAAGGTTATTATTACTATTAATCTAATAGACCTTAGTAAACTTATAGTGTTTATAGGACTAATATAATACTATAATATTAATTATTAAATACTTTTTCTTAATAGTTTTAAGCTTTATTAGGTATTTATATAGTAAAAATAAATCTATATAAACTACTATTAGAACTATTACTAAGCCTATTAACTCTATAATCTTATTTAAAGTAGTAAAAAAGGTATAACCTATATTAATACTTAGAACTATACTATATAGCTTTAATACTAGTATACTTTAAATAATATACTTACTTTTTATTAAACTCTAGGTAATAATATTACCTTAAATAGTAATTTTAATATAGTTAATTAGTTCTTTATTACCTAGAATAATTATATATTCTAGTTAAGAATTTAAATCTTTATTATTAGTAAAAGAACTATTAATAAAAATAAATAACTTAGCTATTCTTAACTAGATTAGTAAGTACTAAAGGCTTTAAATAGTATTCTTAATTTACTACTAAATATAGGTATTTAGGTATTTAAAATTATCTTTTTTAAGCTCCTTAAATTATATAATAATAAATAGGTTAAATATAGCTTCTAGTTAGTATATAAAGGCTAGGTATATACCTTAGGCTTACTATTTAATATACCCTTTTAGGTCTATTAGTAACTAAAGCTTTTTTAATTATCTTTTTAAGACTATTAGAATAATACTATTAGTACCTAAAAAGATATAATATCTATTAAATATTAGTAAGTTCTTTACTATAAATATCTCCTTTAGCTTAGCCTAGAATCTAATAGTAATAAAGGTATTAGCTTTTTATTTACTAAAAGTAATAGTATTAAGGCTAATTATATTATTAGTCTATATATTAATAATACCTAGATTAAGGCTTAAAGCTAGTAAAAAGTATTAGTTATAGGTAGATAGTATTATCTTAAGCTTCTTAAGGTAGTAAGTAAAGTATATTACTTACTAGTAAGTATTAGACTTAGGAATACTATATAGTAATAAGATAACCTTAATAATAGTACCCTTAGGGTAGAGATAGTAGAGTTCTAGGGGAATCTAGGTAAGAATATACTACTAAAGGTAGGTTCTAGCCTATATATAAGCCTAGGTAATATTTTAAAGCTATAATAGCTAACCTTATTAGATTTAGGTTAGTATAAGGCTTAAGATTAAATACTAGCTTATCTTTTAAATAGTTAGTAATTAAGTAAGTAGTATATCTTTATTATAGTCTTAATAACTATATAAAACTATATATATTTTCTTTATAGGTTTTTTAATAGTATTAAACTTAATCTTATTAACTATTTAAAACTTAAATAAGTATTTATAGTAAATAATAAGGTTAAACTTAATAAATTAGAAGACTTTATATTCTAAAAGGTTTTATAACTCCTTTTTAATAAAAATAAAAAATAAAGGCTTATTATTAGGAAGTATACTATTCTTTTAAAGCTTTAAGTAATACTTTATATTATTCTTCTCTTTAATAAAGAGGAATATTTTATTTTTAATTATTTTTAATAGAATTTAGTGCTTTTTAGGCTAGTATTTTATCTTAATACTAGGAATTTCTTATAAATACCTAGGCTTATAAAGGATAATAACTTAGATCTATTTAATAGGCCTTAAGGTAGCCTTAAAAGGCTTTAGAATAGTTTTAATAGGTTTTAAAGTAGTCTTAATAGGCTTTAGAAAGGCTTTAGTAGGCTTTAAGGTAGCTTTAGTAGTCTTAGGGGCCTAATAATTATAGTCTAGGTTATTATTAGAGTTATATTTACTATTAGTATTACTTTTAAGGGCTTATAGTACTTCTAGGTCTATATCTAGGTCCTCCTTAGTAAGGAATAGGTATATAGTAGTTATATAAAAGCTAATAAGGCTAGATAGTATTTTTATAGTATATTTTCTAGTATCTATACTTATTAGCTTATAAAGGCTAGTCTAGTTAGTATTTTTATATTAAATATAGATATCTAACTATAATAGTAGGTAGTATAGAGGGCCTATATTAAGGCTATTATATATAGCTAGCACCTTATATACCTACTATAAGGAGAAGGCTTTCTAGGTAGTATTAGTTACCTTCTAAAGGGCTTTAATATATTAGGCTACTAAAGGGTATAGTAAAGAGCTTTTTAAAAGGTAGGGGTAGGTATTAAAGACTAATAAGGTAGGTACTAAGCTATTAAGGCTAGTAGAGTTATTTATAGCCTTAATAGTAAGTTATAAGTACTTATTAATACCTAGGGTACCTTATAGCTTTTTATAGATAATATTATAGGTATACTAAAAAGAGGTATAGTAGTATTTTAGCTTATTAATTATATTATAGGCTTTTATAGGTACTAGGTATATTTAAATATCTAGTTTCTTTATATATTTATAGAATTTAGTTAATAAAAAGTTACTTTTAATATTATAAATAATCTATTTAAGGGGTCTAAGGTATATATTAATCTAATAATACTAGAGTATATCTTAAAGGCTTTTAATACTCTCTAGGGGGCTTCTTATACTTCTATAAAGGAATTAAACTACCTAGAAGGAGGTAATAGTGTCTAGTATATATAGGATAGGTTATTAATTATTAAGATATATTATATTAGCTAGTATTTTATAGTTAAATTTATACTTATCCTTTAAGGTAAATTAGAACTATCTAGGGGACTTAGTATATAGTTAGTATTACTTATAGGTAGCTATTAGATAGTTTAGTACTTCTTTACTAAATTCCTTTTCTATATATTCTAGTATCTAGCTAAGGTAGGCTACTAAAGGGTACTTAAAGTAGTAATATAAGTACTAAAGTTCTCCTTCTATTAAGTAGAAAGTAATAGCTTTAGTAGTATATAATATCTACTATAAGTATCCCTAATATCTTATAATAGGGACCTTTAGCTATCTTTAGTAGAGTATATTATTAATATTACTTAGCTAAATCCCTAGTATATCTATATCCTTAATAGAAAGTAGGAATAGTATAGTAGTTAGTAGTACCTAGAATATAATTACTCTAAGTACTATAGGTACTATAATCTTACTAATAAAGGTTATAAAGCTAGTATTAAAATATACTATTATAGTAAAAGCTAATTCTATAACCTAAAGGCCTAGAATTAGTCTTATTAGTACCTTTACTTATATTATATTAGTATTAAAAGTATTAATAATACCTATATTAAGGAGGATCCTTTTAAAAATATCCTCTATATACTATTCCTTATAGCTAAAGATACTAAAGATACTCTAGAATAGATTTTTAGTATAGATAGTATATTTAATAAAGGTATTAGTAAGGAAATATATAATCTTTTTAGGGGATTAGTCCTTTATTATAATAAAAGCTTTAATAACTCTTAAGAAGAATACTTATATATCCTCTTATTTATCTATTAAAAAGTTATCTTTATTAGAGAATAAAGTAATAATATAGGTATTAACCTTATCTTAAACTAGTAATATCTCTTCTAGAACTTCTTTAAAGGCTACTAGGAAAGCCTAGTACTTCTTATTACTTAGGGGCTTCTAGTAGATCTTATAGGTATCCTAGGTATTATAAGTACCTTTTTATTCTTTCTTAGTATAGTTTATTAACTAATAGCCTTCTTTCTAGTATATAAAATAGTATTTTAAGGCGTTATTTAAGTTACTAAGTTATTTCTTTAGAAGGATTTAGGTATTATAGAACTACCTATTAATATAGAAGTTCTAGTACTTTAAATAGGTTTATTTATATATATAGATTAATTATTAAAATACTAAAATTAAGTCTTTATAATATTCTAAAGGCTATATAAAGGCTATAGTATAGGCTTTATTACTATATATAGTACTTTTTAGTATATTTTAAGTCTTAGTAAGTATAGTTATACCTTTTAATATAGAAAATAGTCTTTAATATAGGACTTAGATTTTATTAACTAATAACTTAAAGTAGTTAATAGTAAACTTTATAAAGTACTTCTTTATTAGCTTATCTAGTAAAAGGTATTTCTATTTATCTATATAAAGGTCTTAAATTAATAAAGGCTTAAATTAGTTATAAACTACCTTAGTTATTTTATTATAGGTTATTTAATAGTTTATAATTACCTAGATATAGTACTTTAAGGCTCTTTTAATAAGTATTAATAAGAATATATATAGTAAGGCCTTTTTTAAAAGCTAGGCTTAATTATAATAGTTAATAAAATTATATATCTAGGTATAGAAGAAGTTATATTTCTTTTTACTATACTTATTAGCTTCTTAATACCTTTTAATAATACTATTAATCTATTTTAATATATTTAAGTCTATTATAAATAACCTAAGAGGTTTATCTTTAGGCTATTTATACTTTTTATTATTAAAGTAGTATAATAATAATAAAGGTAATAATAATAATCCTAAAGGTAGTAATAATACTTCTTATTAATATAATAGCTATAGTAGTCTTTATAATAGCTATAGTAAGGATATAGGTAGTCTTAGTAGGGGTAGAGGTAGTATTTTATATTTAAGGGGTTATTAAGTAGCCTACCTCTTATAATACTAGTAGGTAGAGTTCCCTTAATATAGTTATAGTATAAAGGGCTAAGTATACTTATTATAGCTAGAGTTCTATAAGGTATTAGGTAGTATAGGGGTACTAGGTACCTAGGGGGTATTAATTACTATAAGTAAGTTAAGTACCTAGGGGGTACTAGGTATTAGAAGAAGTCTAGTTATATAAGGGTTTTAGTAAATCCTTATAGGTTTAAGTAGGGTATTTTTTATATTATATAGGTTTTCTTTTAGTATTTCTTAAGGTAGTTCTAGTAGTAGTATATACTAGGGTACTAATACTTAGGCTATTTAAAGTAAGTTATTATTATCTAGATAAAAAAGGCTATAAGTATTTTTCCCTTTATTATTAGCTAGTTTTAAGGGTTTATTAGTTAGGAGGGAATTAAATAATAGCTTTTTTATAAATCCTAATTTAATAGTAAATAGTTTTATTAGGAGTTAGTTAAACTATATTATAAAGGGTCTTTTTTCTAGAGAATAAAAAGGGTAATTACTTTTATAGCTAATATATTTATTAGAAATAGTCTTCTAGATAGTTTTAATAATCTATTATTCTTTACTAGTATATAAAGTAACTTTAGTATTATTAAGATAATCTTTAAACTTATAAAAGACCTCTTTATTAACTATTTTCTAATTAACTTTAATCTAGTAAGTAAAATCCTTATAAAGGTACTTTTAAAAGTAGTTATTAAATTATTTATAGTAGGTATTATATATAAAGATATAGAAAATAATTATTATAATAGTTTATTAATTAAGGTTAGTAGCTTCTTTAATACTCTAGGTAAAAGAGTATAGTTAGAATAATTTCTAGTTAACTAGGAGAAAATAGGTAAGATAGGTAAGGCTTTTAAGCACCTTATTAGGGATTATAACTAATAGATAGCTTAAGATCTTAAAGGTTATTATATAAAACTATATTAAAGACTTAATTAAAGGTTTTTTATTAGTTAAGTTATTAAATATACTAAGTAGTATATTAGGCTTTCTAGTAATTATACTAGATATTATAATTAATAAAATAAATAATTCTAGAAGGTTATAAGGCTATAAAGGTATAAAAAGAATAAGTATTTTATTAGAAATCTATAATTAAAATAAAGGTAATTACTAATTAGTATTAAGATTATTATCCTAAATAGGTAATAGTTATAAGATTATAGATATAAAGTGCTTATAAAGGTACTTTATAGGAATAGTTATATAATAATAATTCTTAATTAACTAATAAAATAAACTATAAAAAAGAAAGGCTATAGTTAAATATATAAATAAGTAATACCTTAAGTATTATTAGGAAATTATAGGAATAAAGGGATAATTAATAGTTATATATATTAGTAGTTAATAGCTTATAGGTAGTTACTTTATTTACCTATAAAAGGTAATAACACCTTTATAATAGTCTAGCTTTATTAGCTTAGTTATTTATTATAGTAACCTTTATAATACCTTATATTAAGGCTATAGGTACTAAGACTTCTTTATATACTATTATATAGTATAACTACTATATATATATACTATATAGTGTAACTAGCCGCTATATGTAACTATGTATAGTATAAATCTATCTACTGTACGCCTCTATATACGGCACATCTCACCGAACATCCGCTGCACTCAGCTAACTGCATCCGCTGCAGCGCCCGCTGGCGCAACACATACCTTAGGTACGTAATTCGTACAAATTCCATCATGGCCCCACCTGCCGTTTTGTTGCGTCACAGACTCGCGTGCCGTGTCCGGTCTGGCCTGTTTGGCCTGCGTCTTAGTACCTACAGCCCGCAAGGCCAGTTCTGCCAATGCCAACTGCTTCTCCAAGGCCCACCAACGCGCAGCGACTTGCCCTCGCCAGACAGCTCTCATCAACTCGACAAAACAAACTCTCTGGATTACACCTTGAATCACACAACCAACTAAGACTATACGACTCGTCACCCGCATCTACTTACCACGCGCCCTTCGTCTTGTTCCCCTCGCGGAGCCCGATGGCCGCCATCACGACGGACCACCAGGCTTCGCTGGCTTCCATAGGCCTCGAGCGCTCCATTTCCCAGCGCAGTACCTCGTCTGTTCGCTCCCACCGCAGCGCCCTGCGCTCCGGCAAGACGCGTCGCCTCAACTCCCAGGCCAGCACAAGCAGCCGCTCCTCGTCCAGCATCACTGCTAGCGACAAGTCTCTGACCAGCTTCCCCAGCTTTGGCGCACCAGGCAGCGCCACCGCCGACGACCGCCTCAAGACGGCCACGCAAGAGTCCGAGAACCGTCGCTTCCGCACCATTACCGGCCGGCCCTCCATCGTCGACAGCTTGACCGACAGCGATAACGCCGTCTCGCGCCAGGCCCTGTTTGAGGATGGCGTCCTTGGCAGATCCGTCCCCGGCGCCTTGCACCAGGCCCCCGACGGCCACATCGAGCGTCTGATTGCCCGCCATGGCGCCGTGTGCTTGGTTAGGCAGCTAGCCCAGGACCTGGCCCAGCGCGATACCCAGATGGCAAGCCTGCGACGCCGCGCTGATGAGCGAGAACGCACCCTGCGGCGCATCATCCGTGAATGCGGCCTCTCTACCATGGACCTCGAGACCAGATTACGCGCCGTAGACGCCGAGATAAAGACGGCAAACGGCTCCCAAGGAAACGCCTTCACCCAAGATGGTGGCTTGACCGACCTCATGAGCGACGCCATGCAAGACACCGTGTCCGAGAGTGTATACGGCGAGACTGACCTCTGCAACTCGACCGTGCGACTCGGGTCGGCTACGGTGTCCGCCAGCGCTGGCGGTCTAGGCAAAAGCACTCTTCGCGGCTGGAAAGATATGCTTTGGGGCGCAGGCACACCTAAGAAATCGAGTCGTGGCAGCAGCGTCAACGGCGATGCCGCTACCGCTCTGCGGTCACATTCAAGTCTCGACCGCCGACCCACCCTCCAAGACGACCTCTTTGATCCGCCCGACGCCCGATCTCTCCGATCTTCCAGTCGAACATCTAGCATATACTCGGGCGCTAGTGAGAATCGCAGAACGCCAGCCTCCTTAGCTAGCCTCGCCCTCAAGCTGGTAGCCGGTGGCAGCAACGTCCATACAGAGCCCAGGGGACGCGCTGTCAGCACTACAACTGCGACAGCATCTGCGCGTGCAGCATCCGCTGCCAGCCACAAGACGACGCCCTCTGCAAGATCTGCCTCTGTGGCCGGACCCAAGGCCCTTATGGCCATGCGACGCCCGACCCCAGGCCCGGCTGCTGCTCCCGTAAGCTCTAGAGCCCAGGCACAGGAGCTCTGGGGAGGCATGGCTGGCAGTCCACCAAAATCAGCAGCTGCTCAGCAAGAAAGCTATGGCCCCGTGGAAATGGATGCTATTCTGCCGCCTGGATCACAGCCCCCGACTCTAACGCAAATGTACAATAATTCCGGCAACAGCGCACTTTTGACGGACCGATTCGGCTTCATCTACGATCAGCGCCGCAAGAAGCGACAGCGTGAGGCGCAGCAGATGACTTACCGTGTTCGCAAAGGTAGCCGCGCAGAAATGCTCATGAATGGCCGAAATGGCATCTCGCCCAATCTACTAGACGACCTGCCGAGCCCAAAGTGGAGCGAGAGTGACGGGCGACCTGGCACACCAGGCAGCATGGAAGACAAGCTTGTAGACGAGGGAAAGCCAAAGCGATGGCAAGACTACTTGAGTATTGCCACATTTCCCACAGAGTTGTTAAGTCATACACCGAGCATGAGCGCTTCCGCGTTGGAAGTCCTCGAGGCTGTAGAAATGAGCCGAGAGTCGGAGCAGCAGGCCAACGAACCGACGAAGCCGCAAACAATCAAGCCCACTGGTGCTGGCTTGGTACCTGTCGCCAGTACAACAACCACCGCTGTCGATAACCAACCAACACAACCTTCCGAGTCTGAGTCTGCTGCATCTGTCACACACCAGGACGACAGCGAGCCTGTAAAGCTATTATTGCAGCAGCTTAGCGAGGTGCACGATTCGCTGCAGCGAGACAAGACGGTGCGATGGAACGACTTTTTGCGAAAAGTGCGCGCGGAGCGCAAGCGTGAGGGCGAAGCAGCTGTTGCCGCTGCAAATGCCGCTGCCGAAGCGCGCTACGAGAGACCGGCCGTCATCCTCCCCGAGACTCGCGTCGCAGACGGCGAGATGATTGGCATCTCTGGGCTCGGAAACAAGGGCAAAGTCGGACGGGCCAAGTGGAATGAATTCAAGACGCTTGTTCTTGGGGGCATCCCTGTCGCATACCGCTCCAAGGTGTGGTCTGAATGCTCTGGCGCTACCGCGCTGCGGGTGCCTGGCTACTACGATGATATTGTGGCGCAGAGCGGTGAATCGGATGATCCGGCTGTTGTCAGCCAGATTCAAATGGATATTCACCGCACGCTGACGGACAATATCTTCTTCCGCGAGGGTCCTGGCGTGGCGAAGCTCTCCGAGGTGCTGCTCGCGTATTCTCGACGCAACAAGGATGTGGGCTACTGTCAGGGTATGAACCTCATCACCGCCAATCTCCTCCTCATCACACCCTCCGCTGAAGACGCATTCTGGATCTTGGCCTCGATTGTCGAAAATATTCTCCCGCACGGCTACTATGATCATTCGCTCATTGCCTCGCGCGCCGACCAGCAAGTCCTGCGGCAATACGTTGCCACCGTCCTGCCGAGGCTGTCGGCGCATCTCGACGCGCTTTCCATTGAACTGGAAGCTCTGACCTTTCAGTGGTTCCTGTCCGTCTTCACCGACTGCCTGTGCGCCGAGGCGCTGTTCCGCGTCTGGGACGTGGTGCTGTGCACAAACGACGGCAGCACGTTTCTGTTCCAGGTAGCGCTGGCCCTTCTCAAGCTCAACGAGCGCAACCTACTGCAGCGCGACACGGCCGCCGGCCTCTATACGTACATTAATCACCACATGACGGAGCACGCCATTAGCATCGACGGGCTCCTCCAGGCAAGCGAGGGCCTGCGTCGCGTCGTCCGTCGCGAGGACGTCGAGGACAAGCGCAACAAGGCGATTCAGGCGGAACGTGACCTTATTGCGGAGCGCACTGGAAGCCAGGCTGCACGCAAGCGGGTTGCCAGCGACACAGCGGGCAGTACGGACTCAGCGGCGCCGCTGACGATGGAAGAGTCTCGCCCGATGGAGTGAGGCGTGCTGCTCAACGGACAAGTATCGAAATTTTCCCTTTTTTGCCCGGTTTTCCTTTGTCTGCGTGGCGGCGTAGTTGCTGGAAAAGCACGGCGTGGTTGACTTCTCGATGTTCATTTGCGTGAAGATTTTTGTTTTTCTTGCCAGACTTTTGCGTACCTATACCCACAAGCATAGAGCATATACGTGTTGTTTTTGTCCTCGGCATTGGAGTTTTTTATACATGTGTTGGATGTCTGTACTGACACTTTGAAGAGGTCAACGCGAGGGTGTGGTAGAGGCATTGGTAAATCGAGCCGTCGATTTTCTTTATATAGACATGATTCCTATACCCAAACCATCTATTCTATCGCATTAATCGTGATATTTGCATACAGTGAATATTTTGTACAAGATTATTCGCCGCCTTTATTCTTTGTATCGAGTATCGCCAGGGCCAGACTATAGCCTGGCCTTGCCAGCCTTCCACTGTTCGTACCAAACCTTGCCAAACTCGACCCTCTCGGCCGTCTTGTCGCCATCATCGCGGTGGCGCTTCTCCTCGGCCACGAGCCCTTCGCCGCGAAGCTCCTTGATGAGCTCCTTGTGGACCTCGCCCTTGATGACGCCGTAGACGCCCGACTTTGCCTTTTCCGCGAGCTTGCGCTGGGCGATAAAGGCCCACGCGTCGTCCTGGTTGGCGGCAAGGGCATCGGCGACGCCCATGTCGACAATCTGCTGGCCGGACAGCTGGCCGGCCTCGAGGGCCAGGTCGCGCAGGGCGGCGGGGGAGAGCTTGTGGCGGAAGAGGCTCGCCATGGCGGGGGTCAGGGGCAGGCCGTAGGTGAGCTCGGGGAGGCAGAAGAAGCCGCGGGGCGTCGGCGCGAGGCGGTAGTCGTGGGCCATGGCGAGCATGAGGCCTGCGGCGTACCCGTGACCGTTCATCAGTGCGACAGTGGGCATGGGGTACCTGGGGGCGGGTATTAGTTTTGTCCTTTTCCCTCTGACAAATTCTTTCCTGATGGAAGGGGGGCACGTACGTCAGGAATCGGACCCAGAGTCCGTAGAAAAAAGGGAAAAACACATCCTTGTCAGACAGGGTGTGCTCGAGGTCGAAGCCATTCGAGTAGTTCTTGGCGATGGAAGAAGTAGTGACGACGACGCCGGGGGCGTAGCCGCCAAACTCCAAAACGTCGAGCGCCGCAAGCAGCGCCTTGCAAAAGGGCGTCGTGAGGCGGTTGTCGGGCGGCGAGTTCCACGTGAGCAGGTAGACCTGAGGCCGGGGCTCCGTACATGTGATGGTGCCGCCGGGGTGCTTGCCGCAGGGGCCGATGGGGACGGAGAAGAGCGGCGAGGACATTGTTGTGGTTGTGTATGAGAAATTTATTGCAATACAGAAGAAGAAAGGGGACCTGTTAAAAAAGAGACGGCGGCTGTTAAAATAGGAAAAAAGATGAAGAGTGGATGATGGCATCCGTTTTTGGGGGTCGGACCTCGGTAGACTGCGAGATGGGATGCAAATCGAGGGGTGCCATGGTTATGTCGAAGCTCTCTACTGAACTGGGCTAATTCGATGACTGAACATAAGTTACTCCGTACTTGGCTACCTAGGTACCTACCTACAGTCTACCCCCTAAAATAATATAGCCGCGATACTTCCACTAACTAAAGTATTTCCTTAGATTCCATTAAGAAGAATTTATAATTAGAAAAAAAAATAAAGAACTTATATATATATTAGATAGAGAGCCCTTTTCTCTAATTAATACTAAAATTAACCTTATTTTTTAAGTACTCTTCTTATAAGTTTTATATTCTTATAATAATATTAAGATTATATTATTTATTAAGATATAAGGGACTTTATTTACTATAACTAAAATTAACCCTTTTTATACTTTAGACCCTAGTTTCTAGGGCTTAGCTAGTTAGGACCTATAAAGTACTCTAGCTATATTATTTTAGGGGTAGATTATAGGTAGGTAGGTACTAACGCAGCTAGCCTTCCTTATTATCCCTATTATAGGTAGCTAATAAATATTGGGGTATTATCTTCTGCTACTAGGTACGACTTGCCGGTAGCTGGCTGCATCTAAAAAACACAACACTTATGTATGTACTTTTTTTTTCTAACCATACACAGGGTGCGAGCTGGGATTTGGCGAGTGGCTGGATGACTAAAAAAAATGCACAAAATGCGTGTTAGCCGCCCACGAAATTTTAGACACATCCGCCAAGATTCAAGTTTAGTAACCACATACCATGGCACGCCTTGTTGCACCCGTGAATGCGCGCGCTACCTATTGCGCCCGCCGTGGCTTTAAAAGCCGTGGCTCGCCGGAGTCCCTTCCAATGCAATCAATCCATCTTCGCTTCCGAGTTCACCAAATAGGCCAAGGTTGAAAGCCGTTTCCCGGGCCACCGCACTCCATCGCAACCTTTTCTCTTTTCTGGCCTCGCACTCTGTCACGGCTGTTCGTGATGTCGGGAAGCGTGTTTCCCGGTTGGCCGCGCTCGAGCGACGATTTGGTGCCGCTGCCCAATTGCGATGGCCCCAAGCTGGAGCCGTTCGACTTCCACGGTCCGCAAAAGATTGAGTTTCTCGAATACATCGGAGAAGGGCTCCATGCACACGTCGTGAAGGTGCAGATTCGCAATAGGATATACGCAGTGAAACTGGTTTGTGCCCCCCCCCCCCTCTGACACGCACCATCGCTCACCCGGCCATATCCTGTAGTTTCGCTTTTGCTTCGACGATGACTGGCTTAGCCCCGACTATGACATGGGCCGAAAAGACTGGGAAATGATGAGAGCTTTCTACGAGTACGCCGAGCCCTTCAACTGCGAGTGCCGTGCCTTTGCCAGGCTAAAAGAGGCTGGGCACGAGGATCTTGCCATCGGCTGCTTTGGTTATCTCCTGCTAGACGAGGAGCACGAGCGGAAGCTGCTCACCCAGCTTCATGATCATCGCATCGAATTCAATGGCAGCATAAATTGTCCTGGGGGGAACCATGACGAGGGCCCCATCCGGGAGCGCTTCCTGGGGCCCGACGGACGGCCGCCGCCGATCCGGGGCATCGTCAAGGAGTACGCGCCTCCCGGGGAAGAGCACGAATTTCGGCAGGCTGATGCGGAAAAGATGCTCGCCGACGTGAAGAAGCTGCAGCAGCTCGGCATCACATGTATCGACGTCGCGGCCCGACAGGTCATAGGCGGCCGGATCAGCGACTTCAGCACCGCAGTCACCACGCCGCACTTTGCCACGACGCCGGAGTTGAACCCACACCTGACGCCCGATATGCGCAGAGCCGTAGAGCTTCAGACTTTTATCCACGCCAAGGAGGACTATCTCGAGTTTGACTCGATGATAAGAGTTTGGAATCGGGAACATGCCAAGGAGCATGGCGTCATCACTACGTCAGCGTTTCCCGGTCACAAAGGCGCCCCAGGCCTCTGCCGCTACGATTTCAGGAGAAAGGTGGCTCAGAAGCGTGTCTATACCTTTGTTGACCCGAGACTCTACGACTGGAAGGTGCGTCCAAGGAAAGGCGTGAAGAACCGGCGACGACCTCTGCGTGCAAAGCCTCCCCTGTGGATCTATCGCTGTGGTGAGAATGAGGGTTTAGCCAACTCATTAATGTCTGCTTCCACAAAGTTTATGGGCATAGAGTGGGAGTATCGAGATGGACGTATATTTCCGCGGATGAGTGACCCGGACACTATTGCTCTGCTTGCCAGGAATTGAGTTGCCTGACTAGCGTTGTTTGCGGACAACGGAGGTGCGCATTCTCGAGAATATACACAAAGAGAATTACTTTTTTACATATCAATATTCGGTTCTCTACATTCTTAGTTAGGGTTAAAATGGCTCACTCTTTCTACTACTGATTACACGGACAGGTACCATAGTGATCATAATGCTCATAGTGATAAAAATGATAAGATTGTACTTAGTGATAACGGTGACGAGAGTAGAGTTGGTAACGACAGTGATGAGAGTAAGATGGTGAACAAGAATTGTGATGAAAATGAGAGCGAAAAATAAGGCAATCATGGTCTGCTCGCGATACCTTACAAATGCATCCATCTAAGGATTATAAAAATCCAGATCAAATCCAAATGTAGACCCGGTAGTGCCCTGATCAGGTAACTGAGAGTCGTCGGCTATGGTCAGGCTTGGGAGAGTAGGACCAAACTGATCATTGAAGTCGAACTGAGCAGTGTGATCGAACTGATCAGTGTGATCGAATTGAACGGGGTGATCGAATTGAACATTGTGATCGAATTGAACAGGGTGATCGAGCTTCATAGTAGGTTCGGACTCGAGTTGAACGCCCGAGTAGCTGTGGCATTTCGACGGGCTATTGACGGGGGGGCATTCCCAATGGGCAATGCTAACCATCTCGGCCTCGGTCACGATGTCGCTTCTCTGCCGGTCCGACATGGCCAACATGCACAACCACCAGAGTGCGAGGTCAGTGGTCAGCTGCGTCTCACCATACAGCGACCATGGAATTGGTTTCAGGGACACGACCAGCCGGCCTGGTTCAGTGCAGAAGGCCGGGATGTGGAAACAACAAACCACAAGGTCTCTTTCCGTTACGATATACCCATACCGGGTACCGGCTTTCTTGCAAAGGTTTGCCAGCTGCCGCAGCGGCCAGCTGTCCTCCTCGATTGTGGGATCCTCCAACAGCTGGCGAGCCGAGAATTTGATGCTCGGTAAGCCGAGGCCGAGGACTAGGCTCTTCGTCTCGCTGTCCTCAAGCAAGATGCGGTGGTGGACATACAGCGGCCGCCCGGCTGCGAGCTTCGTGTAGGATTTGTTTCCGATTTTTGCTGCCTCATGGTGCAGTTTCACGCCGTTGTGCAGCTGAGCGTGGTTCTTTGCGAACTTGAGCGTCGGGCGCAGCAGCCGATCGTTCCACGCCACCAGGTGCAACACGTCTTCGAGGCCGTTGATCTCCGCCCTAAGTAACATGCCTTGTGCATCAAGTGCACTCGCCATGTCTTCCATAGGAGCGTTGAGATTGAGTATATGGCCGTAGCTCTTGTTCAGCACGGCTAGACTGAAGTCATCCCAGGGCTTTATGCCGTTCCCCTTGAAATTGGGCCACTTTGTGCTAGTAGCGTTCTTTCTGGATGTTACTGTGCAGGGCACAATCGGCTTCTCCTGCGTGAGCACGCTGCGTAGGGTCGGCATCGTAGTCTCTCCTGGAAAGGTGGGCGATGGGAGGAAAGGTGGGCGATGGGAGGAAAGGTGGGCGATGGGAGGAAAGGTGGGCGATGGGAGGAAAGGTGGGCGATGGGAGGAAAGGTGGGCGATGGGAGGAAAGGTGGGCGATGGGAGGTTGGATCGTTTGCAATAGTGTTAGTCCTGTGACCAGTCTTCCGAGTGACTCCTCCTTCTTTCAAGCAGTAAAAGACATACACAAACACACAGCCTTCTTTGTACTTACCCCTCATTTGGGCGCCAAATGACTATGAATGATTGGTTCTGAATGGCTGTTCCTCGGCATGCATGCAGCCGCTCTCAAAAGGCCGTGAGGGATTTAGTCTATTAATAGAAAATGACAAACATTATGAAGAGAAATACTCGAGACGGCATGCATGCAGCCGCTCTCAACAGGCCGTGAGGGATTTAGTCTGTCAATAGAAAATGACAAACATTATGAAGAGAAATACTCGAGAATATGGAAAATGCATGATGAAGGGATTAACAACTACATATTGTGCAAATGTATTCCAGTGATATTGTCACCATGATGGAGACGGGAGCCGAAGTACGACCACCAACCAACCGCCTGTTGTGGTGCATAATAAAAATCGGCCCAACGCAATTTTTTTAAAAAAAGCCAATGAGCAGCCGATGTTGGAGGCCCGCTAGCGCTTACTATCAAGGTATGTCGACACCGAGGTAGAGACTTGCAGATTCTGAGTAAAGTTCAAATTTCCACCTCTAGAAAGCAATAACAGCTGGCTTTTCATCACGGCTCTCTTTGCTATCAGGTGCATGTGTCGCCAGCATTTTCCAGGGGACAAACAATGTGGCAATCAGGGCGACACCGCAAATGGGTTAGATGTGTCAATGTCGAGCGTGTAAACGAGGCCGCAGCCCACGGTCCCGAGCAGCGCACCGGCAAATATGGGCGGCGTGGGCAGTCCCGTCTTGGACACAAAGATACCACCAAGTACAGCGAAGATGACCACGGCAATGACGATGGGCAGGTTGTCAACGCCCGACTGAATGGGGGTGACGCCCTTGACGGACTGAAAATAGATGGGGAGGTAGTAGAGCAGCAGCAGCAGGTCGCCGAGGAAAAAGAACTGGTACGGGCAGATGGACCAGAGTTCGCGCTTGCGGAACAGCCGCGGGATCATCATAGCGTACTCGCCCAGCCAGATGGACCAGAGCACCAGCGCAGCTGTGAGCAGCCCAAAGCCAACTAAAAGACCAATCACCTGGCTGCTGTGCCAGGGATACTCGACGCCGCCGTACTGGAGCCCCAGCACGAAGCAGACAATCGCCGCCATTGTGAGGCATATCCCAACGGGATCCAAGTGCAGCAGCTTCTTGGAAAGAGGCATCGGTGGCGGTTTCACCGCCGCGGGGAGATGAAAGAAGATGAGGACCACAGCCACTCCGAGCGCGCCTACGGGAAGGTTGATGTAGAAGCACCATCGCCAAGTGACCTTTTCGGTGAAGGCGCCGCCAATCAACGGCCCAAGCACGGAGCTCAGTCCATACGTCAGCCCAATGAGCCCCATCAAAATCGGTCTTGTGTTGGGCGGGACGCTAAACGCGACGATGCTGGTCCCCCCGACAGAGATGCCCGCGGCGTCGACGCCGGCAATGGCGCGGCCTATGATCAGGACGACAGACGAGGGCGCGACACCACAGAGCAGGCTCCCGATCTCAAAGATGGCGAGCGACGCGATAAAAGTCCACTTGATATCGAAATATTTAAACGCCTTCCCAAGAAGCCTCGAGACCGCCAAAGGTCATGAAGTAGGCGGCGCTGTACCAGGACACGTCTTTGAGGCCGCCGAGTTCGGCTGTGATTTTGGGGATTGCGGTGCCTACAATAGTCTTTACAATGAGCTTTTTAGCCGTGTTGAGAGGGATGTGGAGGAAAGAAGCCGGTTTCTTGATCCAGGGAGATGAGAAACACACCCATGAGGGATGTATGTAGGCAACTGACGCCTGCGGGGACCTTCTAAAAATAAACTAAAATACAAAATGACACCCATGAGGGATGCGCCAGCCAAAAGAACAAGTCGAAAGCCGCGGGGGTATTCATCGAACGTTGCGTCGCTGCCAGTATCGCTGGGAGAGTGCGCATTCATCATAGATGGCGACGTCGGTTTTTCTGACGGGGTTTGCGACGTCGATGATGGCTTGGTTGTCGTCTCTGATTGCGGCCCTGGGCCGGCGTCCACTGCCGCCCCCTTGTTGGGTTGCACGGCGATGAAATAAATGGCACCTTTGTATTTGTTTCTGTCGAATCGATGAAGATGGTGAATGGCAAGAAAGTCCTGCCACGGTCGACTCAACGTACTACTCGACACATGTTACAAGGCTGAGGCTCCTATCTGGCAGCCATCCGCGCCTGCTCTGATTCATCACAAATGTCACTGTCCGATAAATGAGACACAGCTCGGGTCCATTTCAAAGCCCCGACCGTAGAAACAAGCCGAAAGTTGGAAAATGGACAAATCCGCCGAGATTGGGTTTCGACATCTCGGCCACTTGGGCTCGGGCGTATTAGTGGCCGCCGCTAACCTGTTCGTCCCGTAAGTCTCGGGCTGATGAACCTAAAAAATTAGGTTAGTTAACCGACTGAGTTAGCGTGTGCACCAGCTTCACGGAGTTCCTGTATTGCATTTTGGCCGATCGTGGGTGGATCAATCTGCTCATCCAGCCCCACATCAGCCACGTCTTACGGATTTATGAGCAAGATAGAGCACCAGCATTTGGCACACTTTTGCTGGCGCACATGGGTTATGTGTGATAGGATAATGTGTGATAGGATTTCCCCAAGGCGGATCCACATCGCACACTGTCCAAAAGCCATACACAATGTATCGGCACGTTGCGTACCGCCCACGCCAGGCGGCCGAAGGCTGAAAGTCTAGAGGCCCAGGAGGATTCTGCACGCCCGCCTTTCGTTTCCTTGCCCAACATGTACGAGGGATGCATTTGGCAAACTTGCAACCCGGGCAGAAATGATTGCCATTGGCGGCCCTAATGTGAGCTTCAGGATCTGTTGTCGTTTAGCTGAACTTTCTAGGCCAATATTTCGGGGGATGGTTTTGCCTGTCTTTATTGTCGACGCTAGCATAAAATGAAGGTATGAAATCCTTCAATGAAATCCTTCCTGGGCATAAAATGACATGTTTCTTGAGAGCCTTGCGGAGGCGCTTGATGATCCTGCACCAAGACGCCTCGACCCGCACCGGTCGAAACGCCTTCCCTCGTCGGACACTATTCTTTCATCATTTTGATTCACTGCAGAGCCTTGTTAAAAACCCCTTTCCGAGACATGGCAATTGACATCTTGACCCAAAAAATCTTGACCTAAAAAATCTTGACTCAAAAATGGAAGGTAGAAATGCGACCGAAATATTAATGCAACGTAACTTGGGGGCGATATAATGCAGCAAAGAGAAGTTCGCTGCACATCTTGACGCGCCTTGGATTGGGGTAGTTATCGGCCGCTCCTCAATCCAGAACCATATCGCGCCTCCACACGGCTGCTAAATCTAGAACCATATTAGCTGGCTCCGAGGTGCAGAAACATGGTGCGCGTCGGGATGTCGCATCGCCGCGATCTCCACACCTGTCAGCCTCGGTGGTTGTCTCAGCCGCCGCGGACTGGCTCGATGCACTCCTCCGGTAACGCAGAAGCAAGACGGATGACTGGCTCACGATTATACCCAGCCGCGGACGCATAACGCCAGCATCATTGTGATCTCGCTGAAGAATATCGATTCTGACAGACATAGGCCATCCGGCGCGACGCTGGATGATGGCAGGGAGAGTATTACAGCGGTAACTAGTGAGAACATGAGCGCGGCACGCGGGGCACTGCCAGTTAACTCAAAACTTTCGTATCAGCGATGCAGCAAGCATGACGAGATTCCCAATGCCGTCCATCCCAGAACACCACTCATTCCATTTTAGGGCACTACATTGTATTGCTGTCGGGGGGCGCGCCATGGTCGCCGTGGTCCCTGCGTCCCCACCGAGCTTGACCAGTTGACCGTTTTTCGTGAGCCCGAATTCAATCTGCGGACCTGACTCCATCTCGCCGTCACGCTGCCAGGCATTCTGGCCGGCCGCGTCCCACAGCTGCTTCTGGGCGGGTAGCGGGGCCAGGAGGACATCGCCGTCAGCCGCACACATGTCGGCTGGCTGAAACCAAACGAGCATATTAATGATTTGAAACAAGACGCAAAGTCTTTATAAATGTGTCAGCTTATCAACTGGCTATGTCTGAGTGTGCTTGTGCTGCTGCTGCTGTTGCTGCTGCTGCTGCCTCTTAGTGGGGGAAGGCTTACCGCCGTCTCGATTCTTCCAAAATCCAGCTTTTCCGTACAGTATCGAGCGTCGATGACGGATCGGACTTTGTATCAACAGCCATAAGCTGGATCGCGACGACCTGTTACGAGAGCATTAGTAGATGATTGATATGAAAGGACGCTGGACGTCGTGATTAGTGGCGCCGCCAAGACGGGCCCCATGGATTCTGCACAAGACATCGACGGCGATGCCTTTATCGAGGCCGTCAACGTTAACCTCCTCGGCGCGTTGTACACGGCAAAAGCCTTTCTGCGCTATGCGGCTGAGGGTGCCGTCGCCGTCAATATTTCCTCCTCGGCCGCCCATCTTAACTTTGGCCCCGGCTTCGCCTCGTACAACTGCTCTAAGATCAGCGCCTTCCACCTCTGGGACTCTATAGGATTCGCCAACCCTGAGCTGTCCGTGTTCCACGTCCAGCCTGGCGTGGTTGATACTGACATGAACAAGGAGGCCGGCCGTGTCGAGGCTGTCGGCTTTGAGGATCACGGTACGCTACCACTGGCTGACTGACTCGATATATTTGCTAACTGTTTCATCTAGTTTCCCTGCCTGCGACGTTTTGCCTGTGGCTTGCCAGCCCTGAGGCGCGATTCCTCAACAGAAAGTTCCTGTGGGCCAACTGGGACGTGGACGAGCTCAAGGCAAAGGCTGACGCTATTGCCAAGGGCAGTCTGCTCGACCTGACTCTGGTCGGCTGGCCCTTTGCGGCCAATGACTGGCAGGCTGACTGGAGCATGTAAATATAGTCAAGATTTGGTGGTTCATCCACCATGCATCTATTACGAGTGCCACAGATGATGCTGGGCTCTCGACGCGTAGATAATGACGGAAGCTTGCTTGCATTACGAAGGTGTTGGCTTTAAATTCGGGGTTTATCTTGTATTTATTTCCTATTTTCTAATATAATGCCTACTCACAACCTTCTTCAACTCCCAATCCACATTCGCTAAAAAGTCTCTGCTATTGTATGGTGTAATATAACTCTCCTGGTTTACCCGTACTGCCTGTCTGGCTGGCCATGAGACGTCCATGGTTATATCGTAACAAGGGCTAGCCGACCCGGACATGTGTTGTCTCCCACGCTTCTTGGCCCTTTTAGAGGGGTCCCCATTAAATGATTGCTCGTCTTGGCTCTGCTCACTCGGCGACTGCAATATCGTCGGGCTGGCGATCCTAGACAAACTTGGTCGGAGTTGCAGCGGAGTATTGATAGCTGACGCTGACGAAGGCTCCGTCGGAGGCAGTTGCTCTATGAAGGACAGCGTGGCGGCCATATTCTCGATACGGCACATATCATAGTGATGGCGCAACGCCGCCCTGTCCACAAAGCGATTTACTTGGGCTTTGCGGCCATGGTACTCAAGGAGGATGTCGTATGGCATAAAGACCCGGATATGCAGAGTCTCTGGGTGTATCGAGAAAAGGCGTTGGTCGAACATTTCGTGCAAGTGACTAAAAAGAAGGATCCCATTCCGTGGTGCCCAAGTGCCTTCCCAGGCTTCCTTCATTTGGCGTGGGCCAACTTCGCTAGTATCCTGCGTCCCGTCCACATTGTTGCTCGGAAGGGGGTATGTGTGGTAATGTAGTGGAGATACTATGTGGCAAACCTGTAGCGCGGGACCGATGGTTGGGTTGAGTATCCACGAGCGTCCCATACCAGTAACAACGCAGGAGTCGGCTGATTGAAGCAAGATGGCTCGAAAATTGGCCATGGTTCTTTTAAGTATATGATCGGGGATTTCGCAATTCGGGGGCACGACTATGCCAGCAAAGTCATCATCAGCCTGGTCTATGTCCGCATCCTTACGAGGTGACACAGAGCCAGATGCTGAGCGCTTTGAGGGAGAGGTAGAAGCAGAACTCCTTCCGCGCAATGTTTTGCGGAACGGATAGGCCGCGTAACGACGGTTGGCCGAGGCCTTCTTAGGGGGCAAATAGCGCGGGTCTTGTCGACGGACATAGTCGGAAAGATGCTCGGCACACGTTTCTACAAAATATTAGGCAATTAGTCGTTAGTAAGAATAATTCCTAGAGGTAAGACGGGCGATAAGGGTAATAAGGGCGATAAGGGCGATAAGGGCGATAAGGGCGACAAGGACGACAAGGGCGATAAGGGGGATAGGTAGGGGGATAGGTAGGGGGATAAGGGGGATAAGGGGGAGACGTCTTTAAACATACCCTTGAAATGCTTATTAAGTGAACTATTAGCTGGCAGATTACAAGCTTTATGCTTGAAGACTAGGTACTGGATGACTGCACGATCTTTGAGAGCCTCCCGCCGTAGCTTAGGAAGGGCGGGAACTGGTTGGTCTAGCCCATCCCTACCGTGCACAATTTTGGGAGCGGGGTTTGCATCATCAGGCGAATAGTTGAACGTTTTCAAGAGGCCGAAAGCGATACTATCCCACACACCCGAGCTTTCCTGTGGGAATTCGAAGCAAAGGCGCAATTCCTCAACAATATCGCGAAACGTCAAATCACCCTTGGCCGGCTGGAAGATGCCAGCGAAAGGGGTACCGTGGAACTGGTGTAGGAGCTCGATATTCCATCCAAGCACACGCGCTGCTGGATTTATGGCTGCAGTAGCCATGCTAGACGAGTTGGGGATAAGATGGAGATGAAAAAGAATAGCGACCGCGGTATTAGCAAACTCGTTTAGATGATAATAGAAGGTAGAAATCACCCTTTTATTACTAATTAGAAGGACCAACAAAAGAGGGGCGATATAATCGCGTCTTAGGCTATAAAAACACATAGTAGAGTTGTTATGATTTAAATGGAGACCTTGGCACGCGCAATTAGCTAGTAATCTATAATTAGCTAAAAGGCTAAAAAGGGCTAGCAGTATATAGATTTATAAGTTAGCTTTCTAAAAACTTAATTACTAATAGAATTAGAAGAATAAAAGATATACTAAAAGATATACTAATTTCCTAAGCTAAAAAATAGGTATATTAAGAGAGGAAATTCTCTTTCTTAATTAAGAAAATAAAAGAAAAAGATATATAAATTATATTTATTATTCTATATATTAATAATAGGTTATAATATTCTACTATAATATAGAATTAAACCTATAAAAAAATATAATTATTATTAATAATAGTTTCTTAATATAATATTAATATTTAAAAATACTATAAATACTATAAGTTTAAATATATTATATAGTTTTATATAGTAAATATAAATAAATATAGCTAGTATATAGGTTAGGCTTATACTAATATAAAGGTATATTTAGCTAGAAATTATATATTAATTATAAAAGAAAATACTTAATATAGTTTAAAGACTATTTTATATAATAAGAGTATTAAATCTAGGCTTAGAAAGCTTATTACCTCTATTTTACCTAGTTTAAAACCTATTAGCTAACTAAATATAAACCTTAAAACCTAAAAGCCTTTTTATTACTTAAAAGAGTTATTAATAGTTTATAGCTATATAAAAAACCTTTAAGAATTAAGCTAAGCTTAGGGTTACTTAGGGTTAGGGTAACCCCTATATTATAGTTAAATATAATATAGTTTTCTTTAATAAAAAGTAATAATATATTACTCTTTTTCTTATTATTATAAATCTTAATTAAATAACTTATAATAATAATAATAATAATAATATTAGTCTTAATATTAACTACTTTTAAACTAATCTAGCTTAAATAATAAAATAAAGATTCTTTTATAGAATATTTATAATAAGAATAATAATATTTAAATAGCTTTATACTTTTTTAATAGTTTAGATATTCTAGCCTTTTAAGAAATAGTATTAAGTTAGCCTTTCTTTACCTTAGCTTTAATATTATATTAAAGGCTTTAAAAAGAAGATTATATTATAACTTATATATATAAAAGATTATTAAAGAATTTTTAAAATACTATTATATTAAAGAATATTTAGTATATTTAATTCCTTTTCTTATTATTAATTATTATAAATATTTATATTAAACCTAAATTAAATTTAATTAATTCTATATTTAAAATAAAAGTAAATAAACTTATATTAAAAACTATAATAAAAGACTTTAATATTTATTATTTAATATAAAACCTTTATAAATAAGAGTTTAATATTACTATTATATAATAATTCTTAATAGTAGTTAATAGTATTTAGTATTCTTACTAAGTAGGGTTTTAAGCTATTATTTTAATTTATATTAATATATATTTTATAATTTATATTATTTATTAACTATCTAGATATATTAAATTACTTATTATTTATATATATATTTAAGTAGGAAAATAGTTTCCTATTATAATACTTCTTTATAAGTATATATTATAATATATATATAGTATTTAGTCTTATTTTATTAATCTAAAGTTAAGAATAGTATAATAGTTAGTATATATTATCTTAGTTTTTATCTTAGCTTATAGTAGTTAATTACCTTACTTATATTTTCTTATAAGTTAGTTATAAAAATAGGTTATATTACTTAACTTATAGAAAAGTTATTTAGAGTACTTTTAACTAGATTTAAACTAGTAATCTATATACTAACCTATATAGAACTCCTTAGTATAGAACTACTATACTATAAAGGTAAGAATTAATTATTAAGAGACTAAATTAATATTAATAATATTATTATTATTATTATTATTATATTTTAAATACCTTAATTCTAATAATAACTAAGACTAATATTCGGCTTATTGCCTTCGAACCGCGCTGAAAAATTTGCTACTCCTTCCTAGCGCAGACCCTCTTTTGCATTCTATCTTAGGAACGCACATAACGGGCTTGTCCGCCTTGACTTCTATGGTACAGATACAACCCTACTACACTAAGCTTCCATATTCTAGACGTGCTAACCCTACACCGAGCCTATTCTGCCACTGCCACTGCTACTATCTAGGTTCACCTCCACGATCAGCAGAGCAAAACCGCAGTCATCAGGGACTACGGGTACAGACCGGCCATCTTAGAGGGGGGCTCGCATTAAGGCGAAGCAGGCGTACTCGCCTGGGCTCCAATATATGCTAGGTCCTTCTAGCACCGTTTCTGCGCCTGTTAAGGTTGGGAGGTGGAAGGCGTTGTTGGGGGTACGGATACTATACGATATCTCGAGGAAGTAGGATAAGAAAGCGAAAGCCTAGATACATAGTGCGATAAGAAGTCCTAGCGATCTTCTTGCATAGGTAGGTACCTAGTATATACTGGACAGATAACAAGAATCCCCCTACTCTCTAATAGGTATATATTATAGGAAGGCAGTAAATAGAGTACTGCTATATACTGCTATATCACATTTTACATACTATTAATAATTAGTTATTGTCTTTCGCTTCTCTTAACTATATTCTAGAACTAGCACTAAATGCGGTTCTGAGCTATTAGTATATTCGTTTTTTATATTCCCTTAACTCTGCTAATTGCAATTAGTTATAATGGAAATTTGCGAAAAGGGCGAGATCTATATTGAGAAGGACAATAATGCCTTTTTTCACTACACAAAAGTTATTCTACAACGAGCCGATAATGAATATTTCTACGCGAAGACCAACCAACGTGCATTTCAGCGCCCTGAAATCGACATTAGCAAGCTCGCCATAAGCCCAATACCTGCTGAGCATATCTGGCCGTTGGCTGATCCAAAGTTTACTCGAGCTCCGGACCCATTTCCTTCTACCTACTACCTCAAACGACCCAGCCTCCTCTATTATGAGAGTTGTGACGACAGGCCCGACTTTACTGGGCAATTATTGACCGAGTTAGATGCCTGTGAGATCCTAAGGAAGCATCCACATCCGAATATTGCCCAATACCACGGGTGTATTGTCAACAATGGCAGAATTCGAGGGCTTGGTTTCTCAAAATACACTATAACTCTATCATAAATGCTGGAGGATAGGGTTGATTTTGATAAAAGTATGTGTCTGAGCGGTATTGAGGCGGGGGTCGATCATATGCACAGCTTAGAGCTCATACATAATGACCTCAACCCATCAAACATCATGATGGACGGAGATACCCCGGTTATTATAGACTTTGACTCGTGTAAACGAGAAGGGGACAAGTTGGGTCGGAAGACAGGGACCTTTGGATGGACTCGGGGTAACGAAGTCTATGCAAGGCGAGAGAATGACATATACAGCCTTTCAAGGATACGTGCTGTTCTAGTTGGAGAGGAAGAAGAGTTTTAAATTGAAGGTTCGAGCTTACATCCTATCAAGTCCTTTAAACCAAATTCCCACACAAAAGTCCGCCACTATTGTGTAGGCGGGACATAGCTGGCGGACCATTTGCACGCTTCCAATCCACAATCAAATACCCTCGCCCCATATAACAACCTATCCTCGCGAAATTTTGTGATCCAGTCGCAGTTGTTAGTAATAGGCTAAATCTCGCAAGTAGCTATCTATATATTGTAAGTTAAAGTAACACGCCGACCTATATAGGAAGATATACCCTTTATAGCAATAGCTCGGTTTTTACTCTTAACAATATAGTAAGCAAGGGAATCTAAGGCAGGTAATAGTTAGTTTCAGCATAATAGTTATTAGTATTATATTACCTATCCTTTATTATAAATAGGGGGTTTACTATATTCTATTATTATATACTATATATAGAAAATTAGGTCTATATCTATTAGTATATAGTCTATTTAAAGATTAAATAATAAATAGAAAGTATAGTAAAAAGCTATTAAAATAAATTCTAATATAATATATATAATATAAAGATAGAATATATATATTAAAACTCTTTATAAATTTATAGTATTTATATAGAATAAAATAATAAGGTAATAATATTATAGGTATTATTAAAAATACTTTACTATTAGTAATTAAATAGGCTAATTATAACTTATATTTTAATAATTACTATTACTAGAAAACTATATTTATATAAACTATAATACTAATTCTACCTAATTTAATAAACTATATATTAACTAATTAAGTTTAACTTAATATATAAATATTTAATATATTATAAGTAATAATATTTAATTAAAACTAAACTATACTATAGCCTTTATACTATTTTACCTATATTATTATTATATATTATAAAAGTAAGGTAATAAATCTTTATTAGCTAGAAAGCTATTATATATTACTAATAATTATATACTATTTAATTATTACTATTAAGGTATATAGTATATAATAAATAAAAAGATAATTACTTAAATATAATATAATAATAAGTATATTAATTTATAAAGAGAGTCTTATAAATATTCTATTTATACTATTACTAACTAGATATAAAAGGGGTATATAGAATAGTTTATTTATATAACCTTAATACTTAAGGTATTAATTAATAAAGAAAGAGTTTTAAATAGTCTATTAGCTATATATATAGGTAAGATTAAATAGATAGTTAGGTATAGTCTTACTACCTATATTAAATAGATAGTATAACTTATATTAAAAGGGAAATAATAAACTATTTATTAACTATAAGTTAGGGTTACTTAGGGTTAC